GCTTTAGGCCTAGCTGTAGGCTTTAGGGCGCTGTGAGTTAAATTATAATTTAAAAGTTTTAATTAAAAGGTATCTCAGGGAATTATAAGGGAATGTTACACTTGTTTAGCCAGGAAAGCCTCATTAATTTAAATGTTTTAATTAAAAGCTATCTGAGGGAATTATAAGGGAATGTTACACTTGTTTAGCCAGGAAAGCGTCACTGAGTCTAAAGGTTTTTGTAGGGTCATGCCAAGTGTTTGCAGTAGGGGGCGATGTTGCTACATGGACGGACGGACGGACGATATAATCTGTTGTAGGCTGATCCACTTCGTTCCTACCAGTATAACCTCCTCTCTCCAGTTGCTTTAATGTGGCAAAGCAGCTGGGTGTAAGGGGTGGGGGTTTATGGGGTGGGGGTGTATGGTGCTTTTTTCTGGAAGATTTTTTTGCTGTTTTTTCCTGGATTTTTCTGTTTGCGCGTGTGTGTTGCGGTTGCACCCGATTCAAGAGCCGAATGGCTCACAGGGCTATACCAAATAAATGAAACTGAAGCTGTACTTAACTCAGCTCACTTGGTTTGTCTAATCAGGGACTACTCACTGTCTCCAGATGATTTACTTGTCAGTTTCGATGTAGTCTCCCTGTTCACCAATGTACCTGTACCTGATACCATTGCAATCATTGAAGACTTGCTCCAACAGGGACTGAATCCAGATGTACCGACTTTGGTAAGGCACTGCCTTACCAACACTTACTTCAGCTGGAATGGTACATTCTACAAACAAAATGAGGGTACCCTAATGAGTTCTCTCTTATCACCAGTGGTAGCGAATGTGTTCATGGAGGAATTTGAGACAGATGCCATCCAGACATCCACCCTACGTCCTTCCTTGTTGAAGAGATACGTAGATTACACGTTCATCATCTGGCCACATGGCCTGCCAGCACTGAACCAATTTTTCAACCACATCAATTTCATACACCCATCTATCAAGTTAATCATGGAAGTGGAAAAGGATGGCAAGCTACCATTCCTGGATGTTTTGATCGAGAAGAGACCTGATGGCTCGTTGGGACACTGTCTACAGGAAAGCCACCCACACGGATGCCTATCTAAAGCCTGACTCCCACCACCATCCAGGGCCCGTTGCATCTCCGACCAGCACCACCTAGCCAGTGAGCTGGAGCACGTACACCAAGCCCTCAGGATGAACGAATATTCTGACCGTACAATCCGCAAAGCTGCCTCCCCATCAATGGGGAGACAACCATCCGAGAATCCAACCAATACCATGACTTTACCATACATAACAGGAGTTACCAAAAATATTTCCAAAATTTTAAAACAAACACAGGATCCAGGTTCGTTTCAACACAGTACACAAAATCCGTGATTTGATCCCATCTGTAAAGGATGTGATTCCTGATATGCAATACCGGGTGTCTACAAACTGAGTTGTGGCTGCGGCAGCAGTTACATTGGGGAAACGAAACGACATGTCTCGGACCGCGTTCGCGAACACAAGGCAGATTCGAAACACTTGTAGGACCAATACCTCTGCCATTGCTGATCATTGTTTTAATGCGGTTGGCTCACTCGAAATTGATTTCTCTAAGATGAAGATACTTTGCAAACCCACTGGCTATCAACAAAGATTCGTTCATAAAGCCATCCAGATATATAAACACAGACACAACTTCAACCGAGAAGATGGGTACAAACTTGAGCAATCATTAGAAGGACGTTATCAACCAGGTAAAGTCTTAGCTGACTGTGATGTTTCCATCCTGCCTGCCTATGTCAGCTGTTATTTACGACTCCGTGCATCTCTCTACTCCAGTGACCCGGGTGCTGCCGCGGGGTCCACTTTCTGCCCTGCCTCCTTCCCCCCACCTCCTCTCTCCCACCCCTACTGCCGAGGCCTTTATAACCTCGTGCCACGGCATATCTCTCGCCTTCTTCAGCAGTTTTTTCTTGCTGTAGTTGTCCCACCTGATGACGATTGCTTGTGTTGTGATCGAAACGTCGTGATCTATTCTTTTTCTACCGACGTGACTTTTCCTGCAGTCACAAAACCTTCAAATCAATATTAGATTACTAATCTATTATATACTTACAATAAACTCCTCTGATCTCTGCACATGATGGGTTCAGTGATGACGTCGTCCGGAAGCAGGTGGATTGCTTCACTATTTTGGCAAATCGCCCGATGATGCTGGATGTAATTACCAGCGAAACGTCATTCTCAAATTTTTTATGTTTTGGATTTACTCGCCAACACACCGGTGGGCTGAAGTTGTAACTAATTGGCATTTTGTTTACGTAACAAATCCCTTACTAATTGGTTGTGTCGGGTGGTGGAGAGTTACGACACATTTATACTTACACGATCTAACCTAAAAACCTTTATCACTAATATAATGAGCCAAGAATGTCTGTGTGTAACGCACGTGACGTCACTCTACATTGACTAACGCAGAAGAAGGTCGAGCGGCTATGATTATTTTTAATGCAAATTCGCTTTATTTTAGTATCTTCATAGAAAGTGAAGGCAATAAATAATTATACGCCGCATCACAGTGCATTTTGTGCCTTTATTTTTTTCTTCGGCACGTCCAACAAAAGGTAAGTCTCTACTTTACGCTTCCAAATTATGCTACAATAAACATCTGCTACTTTGCAGACATTGTATCGAATTCCAATTGTTTTTAACCCCAGCGAGCGAAAGCGGAAGATAAGTAGGTATCAGAGCAGTGAGTTGCAAGTAATTGAACATCCGTTAAATACAGCGCTACTGTGACATTACGTCAGGTGTTTTTGACATTGTTGCGTGCAACAACCACTGCCATTAATGCAGTGATGCGGTCAAATGCTGTGAGGTGTTTTATCAATTCCTTTTGTGCAACATTCACTGCCGTTAATACAGTGCTACAGTGAAATGCAGTGAAGTGTTTTATGACTTTATTTTTTTTTAATATTCCCTTCATTACATTTAGACAAGATACAATTATACTTTGATCAATTTATTCATAACTCTAATACTTCTCCTTTGGTCTTCGTTATTTGTTAAGTTACTTCAGACAGTGTCAGCACTCTACTTTCTTCACTCTGCGCTATCAAGCGTCCATCTGTCAAGATGAATTTGTCAGTTAACAGCTTCAGGTGATTTGAAAACAGTGCTAAAGTGAAGTTACGAGTTTTTTAAATTATACAGCCACAGAGATTGTTCGCCTTTGCCTATTGTGTAAGATACCGAAGAATCCTTGGTCAAAAAATGTACCAATTTTAATGCTTCTTTTGCCGCTTATGCTAGCTGGATTTGGCCCCTCTGCAGATCACAATGCCCCTATACAGTGTATAAATGCCCTGTCTAGATCTAAATATCCTCAGTGGATCAATGTGTTCATCAAGGATAGCCAACTGCAGGGAAACCTTTTGAACAGTGATAAGAGATTCACACAAAATTTCGTATACTGAGAAATCTTCCAAGTCCTTAATTTAATTTAATAAATCTTCTTGGTTCTTTCGGTAAAGTCACGTAGAAGGGAAATAATAAAATAATATAAATAAAACATAATAAAATAATTCTCACGACGTTTTGGCCACAACGCAAGCAGCTTTAAATCGAAATTTAATAAGTTAAGAAAATTGTCTTTGTGCTACATTTCCTAATAAAATTAACAATCACGTAATAAAACGTGAATTTACATCTTTAATATTACAACTTCCGTCCTTGGACGGGCTAACAAGATGTTCATACATCGGGCTAAGAAAATGTGAGATGGTGATAGTTGAAGAAGCGCTGCAATTGAACAGTTACAATGATGCACAAATAAACTGAATGCCAAAACCAAATCAAATAACACGAGCGTTGAAACTGACCAAGTAATTGAAGTATAAAAATACCGTACATTGCGGGAGTACTCCGATAAACTAGTCAGATAGTTATTTTTCATCACATCTATCCCTCTTTATGGAACGAAACAGGGTTTCTCTAAAAATATGGCCGTCACTTGATGCTAGTTGTAATTGCTGGCGAAATGTCATACTCAGATTGTAAATGTTGTGGATATGCCCTCCAACACACCGGTGTGCCGTATTAGTAACGAATTGCCACGTTCTGTTTACGTGACAAACCTTACTATTTGGCTGTGTTGGGTGGTAGCATATTTAACGACGCATTTATATTTAAGCGATCTAACCCAAAACACTTGTGTTATGGATACATAACGCACGCTTTTAACACGTTCCCATATTTTCTATACCCTTGCCATCCCAATTACTTAAAATATAAAGAACATAAAACAAAACATCACAATGCCATGCCTTTTGAGCAGGAGGCTGGAGCATGTATATTACCGGAGTACACATAATGCTCAGCAGAGTTAGGGGTGCTCCCGCGCTTACAGCCTATAATAGCTCTGCAAATGCCTGCAAGATAGAAGATCAAAGGCACCTGGATCCACCGGCGGACTGTCAGAGCCACAGCATCAAAAGTGTTTCAATCATAGGTTCATACCCCCCCCCCCCCCCCCCGTTCAACCACTCGGAGTGAAACAGATTCTCACTTGTAATTAGATTGATTTTTCGTCATTGTTGCCAGTCACTGTAAACATCACATTCATAATTTGGTTTTGCAATTCAATTAATGTCCATTCTCAGGGCTTATTATACTGTATATTGATGAATAGTCACCACATCGCTTGAGAGGAGTACCCTGTTCTGATTTCTGGTCATGACACATTTTAAAATGAACTGAGAGTATTTAATTGTTATCTCTTCCTTGGATTGTTTCCCAACATGATGCATTGCTGTACTCGTTTTTGCGGCGTCCAAAGGAGATTTCTTTCACTCTCTGCACTTTACCTCTCACATTACAACAGGGATTACATTTTTGTAAGTCGAGTTCAACATATGTACAAAGAGCTTATGAAATCTGAATTGTACAATTTTTGAAGGCTTTAACTGGGGTCGTCCTGGCACCTTGAATCCCAGCATTGTCATTTGATGCCTGCAGGACCGAAGGTGAATGGAGTGGACTATCACATCATCTCCGCCCACGATGGTCTCCCGCTAAGCATGCTGGGACAGGTGAGCAAGGAACTCTGGGTAAGGCTGCACGATTCACTTCCCTCCACACGTTCTCAGTCATCAATGTTTCCACATCAGGAAAAAAAAACATGATACGATTGAAGGGAAACCCCCTAAATTTGAGTAAAATCCCCACTCAACAGAGATGTGTATATATAATTTATTATCGGTGCGTTCAGACTTTAAAAAGGCAAGTGAGGGGACTGCCTTGCCATATTCACAGATCTTTATCTGTGAATGTCGATGCCAGAAATAGGTGCTTGCCTCGTCTTTGGGAATGGGATGCTATGGTATTATACTGCGCTTGAATAGCAAAAAAACTCAATCGTACATAAAAAAAAACATCAAAACGTCAGCTTCAAAAATATTGGGCATCCGGCTATTTATAAATAGGCCAGAGCTCCCTGCGGCTGATGCTGTGACGTAACCACGTGTGGGCCAGTTGTGCCCCTTTGCTAGACAATAGATAAAACTCGGGCCATGTAGTGCTCCCAACGAGTGACCACTGGACGTCACATCCGTGTTGGTGATCAGCTGGGGGAAGAGCATCACTCCGTTATTTAAATTTACATCCGCAGATGTTTGGTAACTGTCCGCAGGAACGAGCCATGCCTTAACAGGTTTAGGCTTCAACTGATCATTTTAGCTAATTGTTTATATATGTTTGTCTTTGCTTTGTCTCTTAATTATTTACATAAGTAAGGTTTTTTGTTCTTGGAATATACATGGATTATAATCATTCATCAACTTTTTGTATTGAAATTCATAATTGTGGTCACAATACATTCATTGAATCATGCTTTTAAGATCGAATTATTTATAGTTTATGCAAATAGCATTAAAATCAAATGTTAAATTTGTACCTTTGGGTTTATGGAACACGTAAGGCAGGATCGTGCAAGACTCGGAGACCATGCAAAAGTGCGACAAAAAAATCTTGACTTAAAGCTTTCGTGACTGCAGGAATTCATATTCTTTGTGTCTTTCGGTAAAAAGAGTTATAGATTTTTTGTAATGCCATTACGGGATTTGCAGGGAGTGGAATGATGAGCTGCATATTACACGCTGTGGCTCAGTGGGGCTAATCTTGCAGCACTTGGAACAGCCTTAGCCGTTCTGACGTCTTCTTGGTTCTTTCGGTAAAGTCACGTAGAAGGGAAATAATAAAATAATCCAAATAAAACATTAAATACAATTCTCACGACGTTTCAGGCCACAACGCAAGCAGCCGTCCTCAGGTGAAGAACAGGGCTGTCGGAAAGACGGCGTCTGAATGAACACCACCAGCGTATACTCTTAGGTTTTTTTCGGTAAAGTCACGTAGGTAAAAAATTAAATTAAAATTAATAAAAGTAAAATAAAAAATCACGACGTTTCGGAGGCTTAACAAGCTTCCGTCTTCAGGTGGAACTGTCACAGCACGATCGCAGTATCAAGTAAAGTGTCAAGTCAAGTGCTGTATCAAGTAAAAACAAAATACAGCAATCGTGCTGTGACGGTTCCACCTGAAGACGGAAGCTTGTGTTGCCTCCGAAACGTCGTGATTTTTTATTTTACTTTGATTAATTTTATTTTTTACATACGTGACTTTACCGAAAAAACCTAAGAGTATGAATCCTTGCAGTCACGAAAGCTTCAAATCTAGAATTAACCACCAGCGTATATTTAAGCTGGGTTAGAGGAGGAGGGCGCCTTGACAAAGGCATTTGCATATCAACAGATGAATTTAGCATATTTATGGAAAATGCAGATAGGGATTAGTCACTAGTGGAATGTGTAGGTGGTGGGGGGGGTCTCAGTCATATTATGCTCGTGTATTATGTAGGATTAGCAGTAATAAAGGGAGGAAGTAGGATTAGCAGTAATAAAGGGAGGGAATTTTAATACTAAGGAGCTGCAGCAACCAAACTTTCTGACGTCTTGCACGCGTACGTTTGCTTTTTGTTTAAGCATCTTGCCTGTGTCGCATAGAAACGGCCAATTTTCTCAAATCATGTCAAGGTCACTTGCATTTTAATGCTTTGTCACTTAGTAACATAAAAGTTCAGTTTCATTCTTTTGTTCATCATTGCCAATCTGGATTTGGTTTTTGAATGACACACGTCAGTATGGTACAGTCGTGCATTGCATTGCCAATCATTTGGAAACTTTAACCGTGTACTTAGAAAAATAAAACATAAAATGTGCTCGTTTTAGCAAAACGTGTACACTTGCATTTCCTTTTTTTTTGCTTTGCCTTGAGTGTGTCTGCTCTTTTATTTTTATATGCGTTTTGAGTTTATAGGTCGGACTACCTTCGTTTAATTTAGACTGTATTGCGATTCTCTCTTTAGTGGGGGCGAATTTTTACGAAAAAATGTTTATTGATTGACTTGCACACTTTGTGATGCCACGCTTTATTTCTTGAAGCTTGTGCACCACCTCTCAGATACCGGCGTACCCCCCCCCCCCACCCTATTGTGAAAACTCTACGTGGACCCAGATTAGAAAGGTTTAATTGGCACCGAAAATTCGGCACTGAAAAATTACCCCGCTCCTCCCCCCCCCCCATAGCGGTGAATAATGATGATGCTGCACCGCATAGTTCCAGCAGTTCTGCGCCATCCTTGCAGGTCCCGCAAACGCTTAACGAGATGATTGGTCGTTCACACCCTTTCCGCGGTTAGCGTCATCTCTGATTTGCGCCTCCGATTAACACGGTTGGCTACGTACGACGCGAAAGAAGTTCAATTAACGGACATACCTAGATCTGATGCCACCTACGTCTCATTGTGCACTGCCCGAAAAATTTGCTCCGTCTCATTTTCGTACTCGCTGGTAAGGGGAGGTTTAACCACAGTTAATCCCACTTTAATCTCCTACCCCAGAGTTGCAGGCAAGAGGACCAATTTCACTCCTTGCTGTTACCTTACTCACTGCCGCCTTCATTATTTATATTTCCTGTGGCATTAACGCTACATGCACCGGTGTTAGCTACGTGAGCAACTGTTTTGTTATGAGCGGTGCATAAGTTGACCTAATTTCCTTGCACTGTACCGGTTGGTGGTACGTTAGAGGCGATGGCTCCCTCAAGTGGCTCCACGGCACTGCCACTTTACCGGTCCTCTCCTTGGCATCTGCCCTGATGTTATTTTTCATTGTGTGCATCATCTGTGGTTTTGCCCACAAAACAATATGATGATGGCATCCCCCCCCCCCCCCCTTTGCACTGTTGTAAGTGTCGCTGTGTGGCACGTAACTTAAGCTTTTGCATATTTACCATCGGAAAATGTGTTGGAGTTATTAATTTCCAGTGTTAAATTCCAGCCCCATGGCAGACACTTTTAATTGATGAATTACTACCAGAGCATGTTTTTTGTTTGCATGTTCACCACACATATATATGGTTAATGCACACATGATTCCTTGCAAAAAGTTTCAGTTTGGTGTTTTAACATCTTAACACCTACATTTTTATTTAAAGCTTTCGTGACTGCAGGGATTCATATTCTTGGTTCTTTCGGTATTTTATTATTTCCCTTCTACGTGACTTTACCGAAAGAACCAAGAATATCTTAACACCTGTTTTATTGCCAGAAAGGGTAAAAACCTATACTTATACTTTTAATTGATATTTGTGTTGAACTTTTTTCGCACCGTATGTAGCCCAACCGTATGTAGCCAGCTGTGCTAAAGAAAGGTGCAAGGGAAGGACAAGCTTGATATACACTAATACCAGGGCCTCGTAGCCCTACGCGTAAGGCCTGGACATTGAAAGAGCCAGGTTTGAAAATTGGGGTCGAGACCCCGACGTTCAGGAATTTCTGTAAAAGTCCAGAAGATCCCTCCACCTGGAGACTGGTCATAGTGTGGTCAAGAGAGAGCATGCACCCAGTCTCGTGTGGTTGGTCTCTTCTTGTGTGGCAAATACTTTTCAATGGAATTCTGTTGTGGGCCTGTCTTTAGTGGCCTTAAAGAAGGTGGTCAGGTTCTCGACCATCTCGGCCTTTCACAAGGAGGTGAAAATGGGTTGCCCATGAGCTCATTTAAAACATTAACCAGGCTCTTTTAGGCGATGAAACAGTAAAGGCCACAACTCAAGTCCCATATGGCACCCTGAAACCTACATCTGGTGCTGAACTTGTTGTTTGGGATTTCTTTTAAGCGTTTAGCTACCTGGATGGAGTGTCTGTTGACTTGAAAACTTAGTTCCTCATCGCTACAAATTTGGCAGGGAGGATTAGTGAGCTTGCACACCTTGGTGGTTAACCCCCCCCTTCACGGTGATCTCAAGGGGGAAAGGGCAGTGTTGAGTATATCCCCTCGGTTCGTCCTAATGGCCTTGTCAGAACTTCACATTCGCCAAGAAATAGTTTTGCCTTATGTTACTGTAAGGCTGCGCTGTTGTGCTTTGCCGTGAATGTAATCGCCCTCCCGCCTGTGGTGCAGACTGCACGTTAACGTAGTTGTGTCTTGTGTGTGGGGTTGTGCACTCTGGTATCGACGTGTGTTTCGCAGGTTAAGGCCGAAGCTAGTCTGGCTCAGGCACCTGCACAAATGTCTCAGGTTACCAGCCAGCCCTCCATCACCATGGCAGCTCTTCCACAGGCACAGCTGCTGTTTGCAGGCGGCCAGATCGCTGGGGTAACGACCTCTTAACATTTTAAACAGCTCATCTACATTACAAAAGCGAAGGTTACTGTGCGAGCTCAGCCACAACTGACTAAAGGCTGTGGTGTGCGTTCCTTTTGTTTTATCCGGAGAGCACACACGCAGGATGGGGTAAAAAGTGTTTTTTTTGCATTTTTGTGTTATTGGCTCATCTCATCCCATTGCTGGATGAACGTTTTAATAATTTAATGTTGTGGTCTCTCAGCTCCACACAGCTGCAAAAAAGAGAGTCTAGTTATGTCGACATTCGTGGGAAGACTGTCAATGCAGTAAATTGTTTTTATTTGCAGTATAACATACTGAAGATTGTACTTTGATGTAACTTTCCATTTGGTAAGATAAGGTGCTAGGAAAGTGAAGCTTGATTTTCTTTTTGTGCTCTGTTGCCGAAAGGAAAACTTTAAATGGTAAATATTGACACTTATGTATGGTGTGTTCCACGACATGCAACTGCGGTTGAGATGCATCTTTTAATTTGTGTTGTGTTATGGTGGCTGCGGCACAATTGGTTCGGCTCACCGAAAACTACCAAACCACTCAGCCACCGAGTTGTGTGGTTACCACCGGGCGCACGGCACTTAGGTCTGTGTTTCTTTTTCCTGCAAGTTGACGCTGGCTGGTGTACAGCAGCACCTGCTGATACAGCAGGCGCAGGCTCAGCTCATCACTTCAGCCACTCAGCAACAGCAACAACAGCAACAGCAGCAGCAGCAACAGGCTACAACAGCTGGGCAGACAACTGCCCACTTCACCATAAATCAGTCCACAGGACAGATTTCACTAAGTCAACTGCAGGGACAGATATCCCTGGCTCAGCCTATACAAATTGCAACGCAGGTGTGACCCCATGATCACCCACCTCTGTCAGCATGACTCCTGTGGCCATTTGCATAAAACACTTCAAGTGACCTTGTTATTTCTTCACTGGCACTGCTTTAAGACAGTCGTAAGAGCAAGGTCCACTTTATATGTTTTAAACAACCGGCTACAGACTCCCAACCCTGGCTTCATCATCGTCATTCCATACACAGAGCCCTGTGCAGTTGATAAATGAGACATCTTTTGTGATGTTACATTTTAATGATAAAATATAACATTTTCTCTTAAATTGTTGGATAAGAGTTTGTTTAGTTTCACTACGTTGAAAGCGTACTCTCGTTCATGTAAACAAATATGACATTGAGAAATTCAACTTAAACGCTAGTCAGACTCTTTTGTGCAATGCACTTTTAGTGACCTCGTGTCGTCTCCACAGGGCTCTCTAATTGGCCATTTTCCTCGCCCTTGACCCTCTCCCCTGGGCTCTATCACGAAGCTTGCACGAGCTTCTCCTCTCACCGTAGCTGCGACATTGGAAACTCCGTTTCACCAGCTCATGAACGAAGCCGCACTCCTTCTCGTGAGTTAGCAGCGAGCACTGTCCATTGACGGTGTTTCTGGTTCCTTTTTTTTTTAGGGGTGGAATGGAGTGTGATGCAGCTTTTAATGTGAGCCTGGGAAAAGTGGTCATTTGATTGCAATACGGACAGCCTCGTTCGACAACACTGGTTGTCCAGGAAAGGTGCCGTGCAGTTGGCCTTCTTGAGTACCATGTGTGCCGAAATGCACCTTGTTGGGAATCTCTGTGCCGCTGTGGTGTGAGTGTTAATAGCCCTGTAACATTCTCCCACGTCTCAAACCATTGCATGATCCCCTGCTCGAAGACCATTGCATGACCAGCCCTAATGTTCGTCGTGAATCCCTTAACCTCCACCATTACCTGCTGTCAAGTGTGTGCAAATAAGTGGATGTGTAGTGATTTTTACGACCGTTTTGTAAGTTAAATTTTTTTTTATTTAAATATGTAAGTATACTTTGAGTTAATGTACATATGTATGTTGAACTTCTTTCGCACCGTACGTAGCCAACCGTGCTTAATTGGAGGTGCGGGGGAAGGACAACAAAGTAAACACAAAAAAAATGATAATATATATTTGCTGCAACAACTGACGATGCAAAATTTATTGTATGCCTATTTAGGTGAACCGGGTGAACGCTCATTAGCACAACAATCATCATATACTGTTTTATATATCGTGAATACGCATTTTATATTCTTTTATGATTTGGATTGGTATATTCATTTGAACGGTTGTAGTTTGAAATATATATATAATTAAATTGGATTTGTGCACATTGGGCTAAAACAGGAACACTGATGAGGCCATGGTTTTTTGTATTTGGTAGATTAAACCATGTACATTGAGCGGGTATTCAATGTGGATGGTGGTTTTGGATGAGAGTTACGATGGAAACTGATTTCTTGACTACAGAAAACAAAATTGACCATTTTTTTTGTCGGAGTAAAAATGAACAGACCCAATCGACAGTTGCAGCTGTAATATGCATTAAAAGAAACACGGATGAAGGCTAATTGGGTCCTCCGATTACACCCGTTGTTTGCATGTTGTGCGGTACATTCCAGTCGTGGAAATGTACGCATCCGTAATACAACTTGGGCAGTATATATATAAAATCATTTTTTTGGGTGTTAATTAAAACCTATTGAGCTTCATCTGTTGATGTACAATTATGTCGATACTTGTAAACATCAGGCATATACATGCATCCCGCTTTGCATTCATTGGATATCGCTGCATGGGTTGTGTAATTCGATGCTTGACTGTCTTATAAATGCATGTAACACTTTCCTTCTGTAAGCTTTAGGCTTATGTCGGTCATCGTTTCTGGCGTCCACAGACGTATTATTTCCAGTCGCAATTGCTCTCGGGGCCCATCAAGTGGGTGTCCTGTGGACGCTGCCAACAACAACAATCAAAATCCAGATTGCATAACAAATAAAAAACAACCTTATGTAACGATGCATTGGCTCATCTATTAAAAACGTTTATTATGCTCGCAGCACACGCATCTATGTGCGTGAAAATTTATATCTTTTTTTTAATCAGATGTGTTACGTAATTGGCTTTATATAAACCCTGCAAGCTTTACTTTCACCACAATGGCAAGAATGTATAGATTCTTGAATCGAATCATGACCCATAATCGTGACAATTTATCAATTACAATGGGGGCAAGGTGGTGAATCTGTTAAATTCCTGTTACGCATGGCCACACGTGCACGTTTGCATGCTAATTGGAATCCTCGGCAGCTCATGTAGAGGCTCGCAAAGTGATTATGACAGACAAAGCCCCAGTGCGTATTGCTCGCTGACGGAACCCCTCTGCCGCGTCGCGTGCCGGTGGTCAGGACCTCCAGACTGGGCTGCCTCTTCACCAGCTCTTCCTCCTGCAGCCCGCCACTGGGCTAGCCACCGGGCTGCAGCAGGCTCAAGTCATCCTGCCTCAAGCGGGCCACACCAGGCCAGGTGAGGGGAGGACCGGGGGCGGGAAGGTGGCTCAGGTCATGCACCGCCGTGGCTCACGCTCCCTCGATGTCCCCGCAGGACTCGCGCAAGCACAGAACGTCCTGCAGCAGTTGCCTCAAGTGACGCAGCGCAGCGTCGCAGCTCCGGTGAGTGCACGCAGAGACAATGATTCCCCCCCATGTAGCCGACATTGCACTGTTGGGGCGAGAGCTGTTCGGGTGGTTACTCATCATATGCTTACGAACGAGGCATTTTATACTTCGTGCACTGGCCATCACTTGTATGGGAATAAACTTTCCAAGACATTTCTCTCAAACCTTGTGTATAGGTGCCGTGTGCCCTTTGTTTTAATGATGCCGTGTCATTGATGATGTTAAATGGTTCATCAGCATCATCAACTTTGATCAATCAACTGCTGGTTCGATTGTCTCATCTTCTCGTCTCCTGACACCAATTATGTGTATCCAGTATCGGGCACATGATGATGACGACATGGCCCCGGTCTTCAGCCCTGGCGAAGTCGCATGTGTCAGTGTCGTTAAGGACTTCCCAATGCTCATTAGACGATCCTGATAAAAAGGCCCAGACGGGCAACTCGGCCCGGTGACGGCCTACTTTCGCAGCAAGCTGAGCGGCTTACACGCGCGTGCGCGCGTGCGTGCGTTGTCTTTGTGTAGTTTACCCTGCCCAGTAGAGCGACGGTGCCCGAGGGCGACGTGGCCGCGGGCATGGGCGTCGGCACGGGTGGGTTTGGCGGCGCTGCCAGCCCAGGCATCCAGCCCGAGGACCCCAGAGACCTGGAGGAGCTGGAGGTGTTTGCAAAAATGTTCAAGCAGCGGCGCATCAAGCTGGGCTTCACACAGGTAGTAGAGCGTGAGCTGGAGGGGGCTCTCCCATGTCGACACGCATCGCGTTTTGTTTCACGTATTGTACGCGCCAGTTCGTCTGTTTAGTTTTCTGTAATTCTTCGCAGGGAGATGTAGGCCTGGCGATGGGGAAGCTGTATGGCAATGACTTCAGTCAGACGACCATCTCCCGTTTCGAGGCACTCAACCTTAGCTTCAAGAACATGTGCAAGCTCAAGCCCCTGCTGGAGAAGTGGCTCAATGACACAGGTGTGCACGTGCGTGAGTGGATAGCGGGTATACAGGCAACCGTTGCGCAGAGGGCAGTGCGTCAACATCCATTATTATTCTGTGCTTCCCTGTCCCCCACGTCTATGCTTCCCTTCTTCGGCCGGGCGCCTTCTGCAGGACTTGAGTGTCGTCATCACCATTCGCAATCGTAATTCCGCGTGTGTTTTTTCCCTGGCTGTTCTCACCTGGTTTCCCCCCCCCCCCCCCGTCCCCCTGTCTCCACCGGGTGTATCCAGAGCACATTCCGGCTGACACCTCACCCGGAAATCAAAACGCGTCCCCCTCGGGTTTGGAGGGCTTGGGTCGGCGGCGAAAGAAGCGTACGAGCATTGACACGCACGTGCGCGTGGCTCTGGAGAAGAGCTTCCTGGAGGTGAGGCCCAATGAACAAACGTATCCTGCTCAATTTAAAGCTTTCGTGACTGCAGGGATTCATCTTCTTGTTTCTTTCGGTAAAGTCACGTAGAAGGGAAGTAATAAAATAATAAAAATAAAACATAATAAAACAATTCTCACGACGTTTCGGCTACAACGCAAGCAGCCGTCTTCAGGTGATCAAGACTCTATATCATAGAGCCCAATGCATCTCCGACCATGAACACATTTCCAGTGAACTCAAACACGTACGCCAAGCTCTTAAGGCAAATGGTTACTCCGACTATACAATCCGCAAAGCCATCACTCCAACCATCAAGAAGGATCCTGTTGAGGAGCCTTTCAAGACCATCACCTTACCCTACATTGCTGGGGTCACAAAAAAGATCTCCAAAATCCTGATTAAACACAAGATCCAGGTCCGATTCAACACAGTACATAAAATCCGTGATCTGGTACCGTCTGTAAAAGATGTGGTTCCAGACATACAGTACCCTGGCGTCTACAAACTAAGTTGCCTCTGTGGTAGCAGTTACATTGGGGAAACCAAACGACATGTCTCGGACCGCATCCGTGAACATAAAGCTGACCTGAAACACGGTAGGACAAACACCTCAGCCGTAGCAGATCACTGTTACAACTCAGTGGGCTCACATGATATCGACTTCTCCAAGACAGAGGTTCTCTGCAAGCCATCTGGCTATCATGAGAGATTCGTTCATGAGGCGATCCACATATACAAACACAGAGACAATTTTAACCGAGAAGATGGATTCTGGCTCAGCAATCATTGGAAAGACGCAATAAACCATTTCGATACACATTAGTGTGTGTAGAATAATACATAGTGTTATATTAAATGTATAAGATATAGGTTGGTTTACAGCAATACAGTATATAATTTAATGTTGGGTTTATCTATGGCAGTATATAGTACGGTATATGCTCGTGTGATATAAGAGAATAAGGTTTAGATGGAAGCATATTATAGAATTTTTACGAGGTAGAATTGTAATGTATTACTTGCTGTTAGTAACTCAGCTTATTATAGAGTATAGTAAGTATACTGATGGTGCGATGCAGTTTATACTTTAGTTTTTTATGTAGTTTATACTTTAGTTTTCTACGTGGTTGTTGAGTAACTGCAGCTACATATCATTAACATTCCTTTCCTTTGTTACTGCTAATCCCTGCACCCCCCTTGGTTGCTGCTGATCCTGCATAATGCATGGGCATAATATGACTTTGACACCCCCCCCGCCCAACGCCTACGCATTTTCCATGAATATGCTAAATTCCTCTTCACATGCACATTCTTTTTGTTAAGGCGCTCTTCAACCCCCAATGCAGCTTATATATAAGCTCCTAGTTTGGTAGTGTCTCATTCTTCACCTGAAGACGGCTGCTTGCGTTGTAGCCGAAACGTCGTGAGAATTGTTTTATTATGTTTTATTTTTATTATTTTATTACTTCCCTTCTACGTGACTTTACCGAAAGAAACAAGAAGATGTATCCTGCTCACATAAGTGAATAACCCCAGAGCTTGCAGCATGGAATGTTAAAACAACAACGACGACAACTATTTTAACTAATGAACATCTCCGAGTGTACAGAATGTTTTGTTTTGTGTATGAAACTCAAGGAGCTGCGTGTTTGTGTGTGTGCGTGTTTGTGTGTGTGTGCGCGCGCTTGTGGTATACGCGTGGCTGTGTGTGCGTGCGCGCGCGTGTCTCTGTCCGTGCGTGTGTGCGTGTTGTAGCAGAACTGCAAACCGACATCGGAGGAGTTGAGCATGATAGCGGAGCAGCTGCACATGGAGAAGGAGGTGGTGCGGGTGTGGTTCTGTAACCGCCGACAGAAGGAGAAACGCATTAACCCACCTGCCAACACCCTGGTGCGTGCCGACTGGTTAAGGGCTTCGGCACAGGCTGTAGTAATGCAGAGGGAGTGCTGTGGGTGTGGGGCTAACTTTGGAAAAGGTTTTTTGGATGTTGGGGCTACGTACGCGTACAAAGACTTGAACCTGTGTGCTTGCGTCGTGTTTGGTATATATTTTAACGCTGAGTGCAAATAACGGACTTTGAGGCTTTTTGAAATGCAGATTTTCCTTGGGCTTTAGAGAGGCGTGGCTACTGATAACATGCCGGACGCATATGTATGTGTGCATGACAGGTAGAAAGCACCAACTCTAACGCGGTCGTGAGCTTCAACACCGCAATGATGCCGCACTCAGGTACAACTGCATCACGTAATCCTCCGTCGGGTTTTTGTCAAGTCAGGGGCGGTCCTTTCCGTTGTTCTCCCGCTTATGAGCGCCATCGTGTGCCCGCACAATGGCACCTCCTTCCTGAGAACCCCTCGGTTTTGCGTGGCCGTGCAGGCACGTCGCTGGGCAGCAGCACAGTGGTCACCACGGCGGCACTGCCCTCCACACCCATCCCTGCCACCGGCTGCGAGATGCTGATGTCTCCACGGCAGCACTCGCTCTCCAGCGGGCAGATGGCGCAGCTGGCGGGGTGGGTCCACTGCGGCGAGAGTAGCCTTGCTCAGCCCTTAACTTCTTGCCCTGTCAATTCATCAATCGATTCATTCAACTAGATTTTTTTTTTTTGCTATGTGCCCTTGGCAATGAAATTATCATGGAGCGCTTCGCAAGTGAACGTTACTATTACGTCAATACATATGAGTTAATAATAAAGGTTTTTGGGTTCAATCGCGTATATATAAATGTGTCGTAACCCTCCACCACCCGCCACAGCCAGTAAGGTTTGTCACGTAAACTAAACGTGCCAATTAGTTACTACTTTGCCAGAATATCGCCCGATGATGCTGGATGTAATTACCAGAGAAACGTCGTACCACTCAAATTGTAAATGTTGTGGATTTACTCTCCAACACACCGGTGGGTTGAAGTAATAACTAATTGGTGCGTTGTTTACGTGACAAACCTTACTGGCTGTGGCGGGGGGTGGAGGGCTACGACACATACTTATGCGATCGAATCCAAAATCCTTTATTATGAACAATATGAGTTACACAAAACAATAAAAAGCGTACACAGTTACAAATTTGAAACAAATTATACAACACATATTTAGCTTATCCGATTGTGTTCATGGTGTGGTCCACACAATCTCGACTAGCACGCTGCACCATGAACACCCACATACTTAGACTATCACGATAATACAGCACAGGTTGTTTTTTGTCCATCCCAATGTCCTTTTTCCCCAAGTTATTTTTAATTTTCTCAGTTCAATAATAATTATTTTCTATTCCCCCTCATAATAGTGCTGTTTTGTTGCTGGCTGCTTGGCACTTCGGGCTTTGAATCTGTACTCAGCAACTGTGATATATAAAAAATATATATCAAATAAACTCTTAGTGGATTGCTATCCCAAGATGCTTCTGAAAATATAACTCAAACCCAGTTTCCAATCAATACATGTTCGATAACTTCTAGGAACTGACTTCTAGGTAAAAGGTGTTGGATGTTCCAATAAATATGAAGGCCTGAGACTGAAGGACCTCATAAGTAGTATTTGAAAATGTACAGTCCATCCTGAATTTAACAAAAAGCTCGTGTGTTGATTTAAGTAAGCACAGTGGCTGCAGCATTTTGAATCAATCCTGTGACCTTGTCTTGTTGAGTCATGTGTTTGTATTCTAATCTCTTTTTACCCTGTCAGTTCTTGTTGTTCATTCTGCACTCTTCTTTTCTTCTGCTAGCTGCCTTGCACTGCGCCCGATGCACCCTATACCCCCTAACCCCACCGTGCCCACTCAACTTGCTCCCCGCGTGAAACTCGTACCTCTACATGTGCGACTACTGGTTCCGCGTGATCATCTGCGTGGCGGTTGTGTGGGTAACTCTGCCTGCTCCGCGCCGTGATGGCCGTGGTGGTGTTTGTGGCGAGCGGCAGCGATTAGTGCACTGCGCTATTAACCCGGTGACACGAGTTCGATTCCTGCTCACAGCCAAAACCAGCGACGATTATCTGAACTGGTCCTGGGTGCGGTGCTGGCACCCCTCACCCCCGTCATGTGCCGTGCCGGCCTTCATAGGTGCTCTCTAACAGCACTTTCCTTAAGAGTTGTTAAGGCTACACGGGGGATTTTTGTTATTGTCTTTGTTGTTTTCGTCGTTCAGGGGCACTGTCGTCAGCTTCACGCCGGCGCCACTGGCATCGTCCTCGGCCCCCACCTTTGCCACCATTCAGAGTATGGCGGCAGCAGCACCCCGCGCACTCGCCCCGCACACGATCGGCCGATGCTGAACCCAATTTATGCACCTGCACCAAATCGAAGTTGAGAACCTTCTGATCATTGTGTCCTGAGACCGTTTTGCCCCGTGAGGTTTTGTTCGTCGAGGTTTTAAAAATATATACATAGTCCAAAATTAGCATTTTACAATGCAGAAAGTTTGAATGTCTGTTATCAAAAGTAATTCAAATATCTCTTTAAGCTTTTGGGGTTGTCTCTTAATTAAGCTGCTACCAATGGAGATTGTCAATGAATGTGTCAAAAATGTAATGCACACCAGTGCGTGCTATTGATTCCACCACCTGATCCCAGCACAGGTCTGTTAGTATTTTTTTACATTGACCGACGGTAATGTGGTGCTCGCACCGTATTTACAGCGTCTGCCTTAACATGGATCTCACTCCTGTGACACCTTTCATAAGAGCAGCCCAACCGTGTGCCGTTGTTATGGGCTTTTGAAAAATCGCTCAACAAACGAACATTTCAAATTAAACCACTACCTCTTCAGTTCTTGCGATTTGACATGCGTCCATTATTTTAGGCAGGATGAGTGACGCGCACAATCGAAATATTACATCACGACGACGACGATGATGCCGACCCCCCCCTCCACTGCGTCTCTGCCCCTGTACAGCGCTGCAGAGTGGGGGGACCCTGATTGACGGGAGCCTCCTGATCGGCAGCTCTGCGGGTGCCGCGGGCTCCACCCCGCTGTTCATCAGCGCGGCGGGGATCCCACTCGTCAGCACCGTGGTCACCACGCCCGCCGGCACCAGCGCGACCTCCGACGCCACGGCGCGCGTGCAGTAGCCGCCGTGGTGACGCGCGTGGCCTCTGCCTCGCCCTCAACGGCCGCCGCCAGGCCTTGCCAGCGCCACGCTGGCTGCCGACCGGGCCGTGGCGATGGATGTTGAGGATGCGACGTCTGTGTAATGAGAACAATGTCACAAAAACAACATTGGTGGGAGACTCGAGGAGAAACGGCGGTCGTCGTTGCTAACAGTGGAAACTTGTGTTTGTTTCCCTTACTTCATCACCACGGCATTTGCTTAGTCTGCCCCATCATTTCCACAGCCTCTGCAAAAACCGACTGCCTAACTACTGCCACCACAGGAGCCGGGCGAGGGGCAGAGGGACTTCAGCTGCTGCTGCACCAATCTCGGGACCCTGAGACTGTAAACACGGCAGCCGTTGGCCAGTTATTACCAGGTGGTGGATCAGGCTGTCGTTACAAACGCACCGCCAGAGTGCGAGCGGCAAGCACGCCAGCCAGCCAACGTTCCTCAACAGTGTCGCACACCCACATGGCAGTCACACCCTCCGCCCATGGGAACCGCAGGGCAGTGCTGACCCCAGCATAACCATGCTTCTCGTGTTAACGCCGCCGCTACTTACATGCGCTTTCAGAAATATTTGTGGCATTGCCATGGTACGCTATTAAGGTTTTGGGCAGAGCATCGTGAAGTGGAGAGGCCATTTTTCTCCACCCTGACAAGATGAGCCGTTGCTCTGGGCCTGAGTGTGGATTCTCTTCAACCCACCGGTGCCCTCAAGTTGTTAATCTGCCAGTGTGTACTTCTACTGAAGTGATAAAGAGATCAACTGTATCAGAGTGTATTCGGATGAAGCCCTATGGTACAACATTTTATAGCCTACCTTGAACACTCGTGTGATGCATCTGAACGCATACCCTTGGAGGTCACGGAGCTTTTTGGCAAGTATCCGTATGAAAACTTTGCAGATTATCCAAAGATTATCTCTGTGTGCTCTGTGTGTGTGTGATACATGTGCGGTCAGGAGACTTGTGCATCCAGCTGAGATTGAATTGAGTAATTTCTGTTTTCTTTCTCCACCCGTCGTGATGCGTCTGGTTGTTGCAGACGTGGTCACGAGCGAGACGCAAGCAACTATTGAAGTGCACAACTAGTTTTTGCCGATGCTGTCCGTTTTGCACACAGCTCTTGTTTTTAAATGCTTGTTCCACAGTGAGGGAGACATGGTTTTCATTTGCACAAGGAGGATGAGAAGCTGAAGTTGGATTTGACATTGTAAATGGTACATGCTGCATTATGAGGCTGTTTTCCATTGCCAAATATGTGTAGTCACGCCCCTTTGTACGTATTGTATGTTGAACTTTTGAACACGTAGGCTTTCGTGACCAATATCATCCATAATAGAGGTTTTTGGGTTAGATCGCGTAAATATATAAATGTGTCATTAAAACCCGGCACCACCCGACACAGCCAACTAGTAAGGGTTGTCATGTAAACGGAACGTGCCAATTCGTCACTAGTACAGCACACCGGTGTGTCGGAGAGTCAAGCCACAACATATACAATCCGAGTACGACGTTTCGCCAGTAATTACAACTAGCTTCATCGGGCAACAGCCAGAATTGGCATGTTCTGTTTACGTGACAACCCTTACTAGTTGGCTGTGTCGGGTGGTGGCGGGTTTTAATGACACATTTACACGATCTAACACCTCTTATGGATGTTGAACTTCTTTCGCACCCTACGTAGCTAATTGTGCTAATCAGAGGTGCGAGGGAAGGACAACAAACTAAGTTCAGAGAGCAGCCTGCTTTTAAACCTTCAGGTTTAACTTTCTGCCTTTAGGTCACAAGATTGCAAATGTGTGCACCATCACTGCCTTCTGTCTCCTGCCGCCCGAGCAATAGAGTCCGCCCGCTGGATGGCTCGATGTGCTTTCTCACCCGGTATTCGTCGAGCTGCCACTTGGAACAGGCAGGGGCAGTTGGGAGAGGTGCGTGGGGAATCGCCAGCACCGTTTAATGTAATCGAGTAAGCCTGGTCCTCAATCGGTTGGGCATTGTAGGCGCGTGGTCAGTGTGAAGGGTGTGTTTAATTTGCCAAGGGAAATGCAGCCAGACAGTTCCAGCCACATTGAGTTGAAGACTGTTATTAATCACTCTCTTCTCGTGTCCAACAAATCCATTGTCATCTTTGTGATGTTACTTCATACTTCTAAGAGTAAATTAGTGGTGCGTGCTCATGTGATTTTGTGAATAATAATAAGACATTGTTAGGTAAATTAAGATTAGTGCAGGCTAAAATAGTCCCATTATCTTTTGTGGATACACTGCTGCTTTCTCATCACAGTTCTCATTGCTCCGATGTCTGATTTGTTTTCTTTTTTCACATTTGCACATGAGTCTAACATTCGGGCATGTTGGTCTGGTTACATTAAGCAATGTGCTTGTGGGTCAATGTATTCCTGCTCATCACTTGAGCCCGGTTGTTGAGAGTGCTTGGGGTGAGACAAAGTGCAAATCGAAGAGAGCTGTCCGTCACCCCCCCCCCCACTGCATGCCGTTTGTAAACAGGAAATCTTCCATGTGCGCAGCTTTAAACAACAATCTAAATGCACGTTTGGTGAGCTTTAACTGCTTTCAGCTGGCACGGGGATACGGTGCTCTGTGTTCATGCAAAAAAAATAGAATCTATGAACTTGATAGCCAGGGTCAATTCATCGAGTTGAACATATTTTAACGTGAGATGTGACTGCATGCCAAGAATAATGTTTTGATGAGGGTTCGGTAAGGTTCTGAATTGAGTAAGTTATCGATTTAAAGCTTTCGTGACTGCAGGGATTAATCTTCTTGGTTCTTTCGGTAAAGTCACGTAGAAGGGAAGTAATAAAATAATAAAAATAAAACATAAAATAATTCTCACGACGTTTCGGCTACATATTCCCATGAATATGCTAAATTCCTCTTGATATGCACATTCTTTTTGTTAAGGCGCTCTTCTTCCACCTCCAACCCAGCTTATATATAAGCTCCTAGCTTGGCAGTCTCATTCTTCACCTGAAGACGGCTGCTTGCGTTGTAGCCGAAACGTCGTGAGAATTATTTTATTTTGTTTTATTTTTATTATTTTATTACTTCCCTTCTACGTGACTTTACCGAAAGAACCAAGAAGATGAGTAAGTTATGTCGCTCGGGGCAAGTTCTCCGCGTCAAATGAGGCAGCATTACAGGAGGTGTTCATTGTAAGAATGAGAATGTTTATCCTGGAGGAATCCGATGAGCCATGAAGCTCTTTGTCACATGTGTTGTTGATGCTACTCGCGCAGATTTCTGGTTCGTCGTCTTGCGACTTCGACAAAATATGAAAGAAGCTGAACACACGTCCTTACCTTGGCACTCGTCTGCCGCCTGCCGGCTTTCATGTGGAAGTGCTGAATTTTGGCGACGAAGCTTCCTCTGCTCAGGATCATTTCTGCATCGCACGGGGGGGGATTAACAGACGATTAGAAATTGGCTGCGCTTCTCGCAGCTGAATAAGTTGGGTAAAAGTAGAGAACTGGATCGAAATAACGACGGTCGGTTTGTGTTTCAACATCGATTCACGTGGCACATGCAGCAGCGTCGAGTGGTAACTTCCATTGGAGATTGAGTTTTGACTCCCTTCGTTGAGGGCATTCATTTATCTCTTGAAGCCACACCAGGAGCCCCTTTTGGTGTGCAGCTGGTCATGTATATGAGATCGAAACCTAGAGGTCGAGGACGTAATGTGTACTTGTGCCTGCATGTGTTGGGGCTCTATTGAATTGTGGGGAGTGGTAGTGGAGCGGTTGGCGAGCTGCACTACGAACCCGGCGTCCCGAGTTCGATTCCTGTTCACGGCCAACACCACTGACAATTATTTGATCCGGTCCTGGGTATCCCCTAGATCAGGGGTGGGGAACGTCCGGCCCGCGGGCCGTGTGAGGCCCGCGAAATCATTTGATGTGGCCCTGCCAAGGCAACCGCAGGCGCGACTCGAAATTCAATAAATCTAGGAGCAAACCTGGAAAAGCAGTTGCGAGTAGCAACATCATCAATAGCAGCTAACATCACACGCCTCGCCAATGAGAAGCAGTTCCGACCATCACAGGGGTGAGTTCATTAAATGTTTGACCAATTATAACAGGCAAATTTTTAAGTTGATACTTTTTGTTTGATCCGCGAATGATGTTATAAATATCCCAATGGCCCTTGGCAGAAACAAGGTTCCCCACCCCTGCACCTAGATCAACTCTGCCTCAAATCAATACCTGGTGCGGTGTGTAAACATTACCACTAGGGAGACAAAGGCGGCCTAGCGTGATACTGGCAATCTCTCATGTGCCGTGCCGGCCTTAATAGGTGCTCGCTAACAGCACCTGCCCCAACAGTCTCTTAAGGCTATATGGGGGACTTTGTCTTTTTGGACTCTAATTACATTGGGCACTGCAGTCACAGCACTTACGGACTCCTAAGAAATCTTTTTTTATATCAATGCAGTCCAAATGAATGGCAGAACGGTGAGTGGGAATGCATTCGATGCAGATTCAGTACGCGTTGCAAAAACCCGTTTTTTCTGTGCTTGGTCTTCCTTACACAGAAGTTACCACCCCGTTCCGAGGGCGACCTGTGGTTGGAACGATACTCTTAGAGGGAACCTGGGACCCCTGGAAGCGCTTTTTCCTATTCATTGCAGCGTCAGCTGGAGCTCCTGCTCGAGTGATGTTACAGTTCGTGGCACCATGTGCGCACATTGCTGCACAGCGTTCGAAATGTCTCGAGATTTACGCTTTCGGCCTCAAGTCGGCCGCAGCTTAAATGCTCTTCATTTGCCTTCCTTGTAGCTCTGAGTCTTTAAACAGTTTGCACGTAGCTCTGTAGAGATGCTGTGTGCGAGATCGGCGTTTCTCCGGACCTCAAAATACTTAGCATCATATCCCCCTCCTGGGAATGTTGGCAGGACCCCCCCCCCCCCCCCCCAGCAACAGCATCGTGAAAAAAAGTGTCCTGTGACTCAACGGGGACTTTCCTGGATAAATAGATATTCAGCAAGTGTGTGAACCCCTTCTGAGTTAGTTCTGACCACCAATATATTTGCCCCCTCTGGCACTCGACGTGGCTCTCATCCGTGATTCTCGCTGCCTTCGTTTCAGCGCGACTCGGCGCACAGATGTCCCCCCCTCCCCCGTCCCCATTAAGATCGCTTCTGTGTTTAAATGCGGCGGCGTGTGCTGTGCGCCACGCATTGCGGACGCAGTCGGATGATGAAGCAGGGGGAAACAAACACGGCGACATTGTAATTTAATTTAATCGTATCTTGGGCTTTTGTAGTTTTCAGAGGTTACGGGTTGTTCCAGGAGAAATAATGCTTAAAATATTGTTTAGTTTGATTTAACACGTTTTTATGGTCTTTTTTGTATATACTATATAGCAGTGGTAGTATTCCAGTGAATGATTACATTGTGATGTTTTTAACAAGAGTATATTGATTGATGAACACCATTGGCTCGCAACCTGGGTGCCAAGATCCACGATTCGGGGCCCTGGATATCCGCGTTGGGCATCTTCAGGGTGGGCCCCTCAAACGTTTATTTTTCATTCGAAATATTTAATTTTATTTGCAGGTAAAGTGGTGTTGGGAGCCAGTGGATTCTGAAACATGATTTTAACATGTACATTCTTTTTTTATATTTGTGTTATGTCCTGTACATATAGAGAGAATTCTTTTTTTAAGGTTCAATGATAGCCTGTGAAGAGATTTTTGTGCATGTGCATATGTACGTAAACCTGTATGTGCGTCCCCTTAAAGTCTTAAGCGCTGACTTCTATCTAGTTACAATACTTCATTTCCATTTATCTGGGTCGACACTTTCTTCCTAAGGCGATGCAGTTGGTCACGAAAGCCTCCCTGTTAAAGGGCACACTTCGACGGTGATTAGAAACCCCCACGGTGAGCTTTCGGACTGGCGGCACAGAAGTCGCTGTACATCCGAACTTATACATAAAACAGAAATAATTGGCGGTGCTTGTTGTGTAGGAGATGCCGATGCCCTGCAAAATCGCGTTGGAAGCCAGTGTCCATCGCCGACCCTACTTGTTCATCACCGAGTGCTTATAAGTCCTCACCGATTGCGGATTGGTTCCAGCGGTATTTTGATCAATGTCCTCAATTCGGCGAGCGTTGTCCATACCAGCAGTGCACGCGAATGAACAGTGCGTTCAGCCGACGAAGACTTGGTGTTCGAGGTGGCCAATATAATGGTGGAAATTCCAAACGGCAGTGTCCCATTTAACAAACAGCAAAAAAACGTGTGACAGAATATCGTCCTTTATTGGTTAAATGCTTATTCTGTTGACAAAAAAATAGGCTTAGGCGCTGCTGTTATTACGGCGTCGGTTTTTTGTGCAAGGGCTCCCTAACAAGTTTGCAGTATTGAGTTCACGACTTTCCGCGTATCTACTGCCCCTCACTAACTCATTACGGGGTCGGACTGGGTAAGCGCCTCCCACTGAAATTAAGCCACAAGCCCCCCCTGCTCGAGTAGGAAATAATAAATGATTGGTTTCACGTGGTAATGTGAGTTGCTCATATGGCGGTTACCGACACGCTGCGACTCGGAGCGTGTCGTTGACCACCTATGAAAACTAGATTTAGCCCGAGTACTAAAATCTAGTTTTATCTTAACCCGGTCTAAAATGATGAATTTATAGCCACCGATTAACTAAGCTGTGACGTGATGAGATTAATCATCTCTTATGCAGAGGCTCTCTGCATGACTTAACTGTTGTTGTAAAGGAATCGAGTAGTTAAAAATGCTCCGATTTTTTTTGGAGGTAATTTTCACGTGATATTGGCAATGACGCAGATACGGGGCATCTACTCTTGCGAATTGTGTCACAGGGTGTTTAATGTCCACTTTACGTTGCACAGTGCGATTTTGTATTTAGCATGAGCAGTTAGACAAATTAAAAACCAGTTCAGTGCAACCATTTTGACCAAACCATTATATTTACAATGAGAAAATAAAGAATATAGTACACATTGAAGCATTGGGAAACATTTTTTTAATAATAAAAAAAGATTTATTCAAAACTGAGTTCATTAAAAGTGTTTTTACGAGTAGCTTTCTGTTGCACTGAAACCAATTCTTTCATGTAAAAAGGGCTAATGAATATGGTTAACCCAGTGCCACATACGTCACGAAAGTTAACCTCACGTGAATACACATAGGCCATGACGATGCAAATAACAAAACTATTTTTGTACCGTCGGCAAGACAGACTTTCGCTTACTGTAACAGTAGCTCGTACGGTTCGGGTTTGTGCTCGTGTGCGTGCGCGCCCGAGTGCCGTAGGTATGCGTGGCGCGTGCGCCTACGATCTTGACCCCTCGAACACGGACCCATGACCCTCGTGCTCGCACCTCCCCTGGGATGAACGGGTACAGAGAAGAGTGGCTGTGGATGTTGAAGGAGTGCACCATTTACTTAAATACCTCATCTGTCTAGAAACCAAATGTCGAGCTTGTCCTAGTTGCACAGTTGGGAGTTGCATTGTTTAGTGGCTTTGTGCGTTCACGCGCAGCACTGCTTCAAATCGTGATCGATGACGAGCTCAGTTTGCTGATTAGGATGTGTGATGGGCGAACCTAGAGACGGGATCGCGATGATGAACGTGCATGGGGTTCAGGTTTAAGTTGCTGCACGGCACTTGGATGTGCGTTGTGCTTCCTCGCATCGGACCGTTCCATTTCGCGTCGGGGTGACGTTCCTGCCACCGGGTGTCCAGTTCCGATGTGCAGGATCTGCCCTGCTGCTTTGACGATTGTTCCACCCCCCCCACACCCCCCGTCACATAATTACCTCTGTGGGTGCCTCTTGAATGTGATGCATAGGTGAGGTGCACGCCTGCATTGTACGAATAATAAACGTAGCAGTTGTGACACTCCAGTCCGCTCGACCCCTCCCCGCGGTGCATCTTCAGTTCAGCTTTCCCCATGTCTTGTCATGTTCACCAACTGAATTGGAAATTGGATAATCAGTGGCACGCGTTGTCCATTGGTTGGTGAAGAAGCTGGACTGGCAGGTGGGCTGTGTGAGTTACGCGAGGGTTGTCGTTCCATAACCATTGGTTTCGTATGAAATGTCATTCGTTTTTATCTCTTTGTTGCATTCTGTGGGTTAATTGTTTAGTGTCTGAATCGGCTGAAATAAATAATCCACGGTTCACGTCCATTTCCCAGGTGGATTGAATACATTTAGCAGGACAATTGTTGAGCACACGCGCTGCATCAACGCTTATGGTTTACATTCTGTCCGAAACACACCTGCCATTTTCATATCTAACTAATTTACATTGCATCTGGAGGAGTAGTAATGGACGGGGGTGGGGGGGGGGGAGTCTTAAGGACTGGGACATGAGACAACGCCTGAGGCAACGTCTGGTGTCTGCCATTAAAATGCTTGTGTTTTCACTGTGGGTCAGTGTCAGCTCCTCCGGCCGTGCCCAGCGTAGGTCTGGAGAGCTGCCCATCACTGCTACGTTTCACGAGGCCTCGTTCACCCCAACACCCGCTTGCTTGCGTAGCCCGAGGACTCGAGGCTCGACCTGCGAATGCAGCGACGGGCGGTGTCCGCTGCTGCTGCCGGCAAGGTGCCACCTTAAGTCCTACTGCAGCTGGCGGGTTCGAGCCTCTTGTCCGGGGTGATGCGACGACCCGCGTCTGTACGCAAAGCGTTGTTTGTATGCGTGCTTTCCGCAAACAAGTGGCGTTACGCGTTCACCGTCCGCGTGAGCTGCGTGAGTTCCTACGACGCCCGGTGGTTGTAGCGTCTCGAGCAGAATGTGATGTTCATCTCAAGTGCTACGTGCAACTCCGATTGTGAACTGTAACGAGACGAGCGAAATGTGTGTTTTTGTTTGATTCGTTTTGAAACCAAAGAGAAGCATTCTTTGCCCGGAAGGGATCCCCAGCTCGGGGGGGGTGTCCGCCTGGGTGCCTGAATAATAGTTGTGGTTTTTTTTCACTGAAAATTTTAACTAAAACCAAAACTGAGTGCTGTACTGTGCTGTACGTGTGAATGTGTGCACATACGATTTGTACAAACTGACCCTGTGTCGCCTTGCTTTATCGTACAGTGCCATTAAAACGCTTAAGCGGATCGATCCGCTTGCTCGCTCGCTCGAGGAGCCGGCCCCGTACGTCGATGCTCATGGTAACTCCTGCATTGGTGGGATTGGCCCCCCCCCCCCATCCCTGGTTTTTGTACTCTTATAACGTGTGGTGTGCTGAAGCAGCCGACGAATACTGAACACTTAAATCAATGACTACTTCACGTAATTGTCCCGCCTGGCGAGCGCTGCATTGCTTTCCAGGGGGTGAACGGAGGGCCCTCGATGTGCCATGATTAACTTTTAAAGCCTTGCCCTTCACCGAGGCATGGCTTTGAATATAGCAGTGTAAAGGAACGTTCACAGAGAAAATAGAATACAGTTTATAATTATATTACACATGCTCAATCGCTGGCGCAGTGCCAGTGGTTTGGGAATTTCTCTAATGTAGAATGTCCATTGAATTCTAAGTTATGTAGTTTTTTGGGGTTTGCTTAAAAAGTATCGAGGATCATTCCTCTAAACTTACTCATACATGCCTGGTCCGTGGTCCAGTGTTATTGTACGATCAGTTTTCTGCACATTCACCCGCAGATTGGTTATTAGGGTCCACCGAGCGCACCTTTTGACTGACGAACACAAAAGTTGGACCACGGAGGGGGGAGGGGAGCATGCATGGCATACGACATGAAGTTTAAGGAGATCTTGTCTAGTGTGAAGTTACATCTGACCCTGCACATGCACATGGGGTCAAGCGATCGCACGAGGCAAAGCTGGCCCTGTTCATCTGGCCCATCGTGCAGCAGCTCCCTTCACCCTTTGGCTATCACTGTTATGTTCTAATACAACCTTAATATATTGGGTTTTCTTAAATCATGTATGTTTGAGATTTTGGTACTCCTGTATTTTAAGTATTAAAGGTATCTAGTAAGAGTGGCCTTGCGTTCTGACTGCCTTCCATGAGTGCGTATTGCCAGGTGCTTCTGTTGGTACCCTTTCCACACATCGATTACCTCGGGGGAATTTATCTGGATCCAAGTTGACTTCACTATTTAAGATTTGTCAGGATGATGGTTCTTCCAGCTGTGGACAATTTTGTTCGGTCAAAACGTGAACCACCTACAATTCGATTAACATTTCTACCTTCAGTGTTGCAAATATTTTTTGTTTCCTGCTAAATATACACATCTATGCTCCCATGCCTTTTTAGACCTACCTCGCCGAGTTATTTGTCCCAGTTACAGAACCTGTCGTGGTTTTACTTGCCTCTGAGAAAAGGTTAGAGCTATGGTTGAAAAGATACATCTCCACCTGCAAGCTCCTCTTCGGAGGATCAGGGCCCACTCAAACTCAGTCTGTGATAACTATGCTTGCGTGTCAACTGGGATTAAGTGGCAGTGACTGGACAGCCCCATTCACAAGTGGTTATGGCCTGAATCCTGTGGCGTCTGTAGAGGGGGGGGGGGGGGGCTTTAGGGAGGGAGGCCTGCTGGATGCCGTGTAGTTCGCATGGATTTTCGCTCTCCTCGCAAGCGATGGTGGTAGTGGCTCCGTTGGAAAAGTAATTTTCATTCGCACACATCGTCAAAACTCGTTTCACTGCCACGGTTGCATCCCGCCCACCTCCACGGGAAGATTCTTCTGCTCGCGTCTGGACCCGTGCCCCAAGGAGTCCCGTGTGGAAGGTGGGAACTGCAGGGGGGCCCTTCGTGGGTGGATCTCCCCAGGTGGTGCTTGGCTGTTGGTGACTGACTCCGCTCCAGTTATGGAAGGGATTTGTTGTTGTCTCAGTCTGTACCAAGTCCCACGGAGTCGGAGGGGTTTGATATTTTGGGGGATTGTACAATTTCGTTAACTCCAGCGCAGGTACCTCGGGTAGGGTGTGCACGTATTTAGAAGGGTTTTTTTGGTTGGCAAAAGCTGGTTGGTGGCACTTCCCAAGCGGTATAATTATAGCATTGCATATTGCATTGGCAATGGTGGATATGACACGTGTGGTAAACGGGTTATTACGTGATAGAAAAACGACATAACTCCCCCCCCCCCCCCCCCGTGTCTTACTTTGTATAGTCACCTAACCCATGTTATGCAGTGTGTAGGGCATTCTGTTGTATAGTGTTTTCCTTGTATGTTGTGTTTCCGCGTGACGCGTTGTTTAGCCGGGACGGCTAACTTTTTTCAACAGGGGGGGGGTGATGTAGGACTTGAAATATCACGCGCCACGCGTTCTGTTGCTAGGCAAGCGAGCAGAGTACAGTGGGAGCATCTGAGGACACGGTTGTTGTTGTCGTGGCATTAAGGGGGGGTCGTTAAGAGACGCGACAGGTGTTAGGGGTGACTGAGGACGCAGGCCGGTGATTGGTCAGGAGGGTGAGTGGCTAATGACCGACGCCGGCCTGGCGGCAATAACATGGTCACGTGAGGCTGGGGGCCTGGGGGCGAGTAGCAAAGCGGGGGATGAGATAATTGATTGGGACGGATTGGTGCGGGGATAAAGAGCACAGCGTAACGGAGAGACGGGAGTCTTGGTTGGGATTGGAGCTGGAGTGGTTGGTGCCCGGGAGAGAGACGGAGCAGCAGTGAGCAGGGATAGGTACGATAAGGATAGAGAGAACACAGTGTACGGTAGAGTGGATAGAGAGAACACAGTGTACGGTTAGCAGTGGATAGAGAGAACACAGTGTACGGTAGCAGTGGATAGAGAGAATACAGTGTACGGTAGAAACGGGGAGACATGGAGTGTTGTTAATGGCGAGTTGTGCATCGGAGCGAACGGAGAGACACGGAGCGATGATGAGGTGTGAACTCTACGCGTGAATAAACAAGACGAGAAAGACAACGAGAGTACGAGTCCTACAACTGGTGTTAGAAGTGATTGAAAGAACTACGCCGATATGTCAAAGAAAGTTACGAAGAAGAAGAACTAGCCGGCGGCATCGTCGGCTGACAGCAGCGATGCGGACGTGATACCTCCATCGGGAGTGGAGGCTCCCGCTTCCCCGGGGGACGCGACTGATGGGGCGCCGCCGCGTGCCGAGGGCGACCCGAACGACGAGGATGAGCAGAGCCCGTCTCATGTATGGAGAGCTACGCTGGCGGCGTGGGAGGTCAGGATGGCGGTGCTCACGCAAGAATTTGAACAATTTATGCAGACGGTACGGGAGGCGCCGACGGGATCGGATCAGCGGCCGCACGACCTCGTTACATCTGTGGGGGCCGGCGGCGCGGCTGGATCTCCCGATGCGCCAGGTGCACAGCTGGATGCTGTGGAGGAGCCGGAATCGCTGCCTTCGAGCACGCCACGCCGACTGCACGTGGAACGCTTCGAGGTTACAGTCGGCGACTGGACGGCGTTTACACGACGATTTCGGGCAGCGTATGAGTCGCTCGGGTGGACGGAAGCTGAAGCGCTACGGGCCCTGCCAACGGCCTTGGACGACGCGCTGGCGACGTTCTACGGCCTCCCTCGGGGGGTTCGCTTGTCGTTGTCAGGGATATTCACGGCGATGCAGGACATTTATGAACCTCAATCGGTCGCCAAGCGCAAGTTTCAGTTGAGGCGACGAGCGGTGGGAGAATCTCCCCTCGCGTATCGCAGTGCGCTATTGACCCTCGGCCAAGCGGCTTACCCGGCAATGGATGAGGCTGCCCTTGATTCCTTGGCCCAGGAGAAGCTGTTGCAGATGGCGAAGGAGCTACGAGTCGTCCTCTCACTTCCCAGCGACAGCGACGACGACGGGTCATCTTTGCAGATTGCCAGGAACATCCAGGTCAACCTGGATCTTCGCGACGAGCCATCGGCGGTGCCACCACAGCCCCTGGTGGTGGGCGTCAGGGCGGATGGAGGCCTACCGGAGTGGGAGCCGACGTCGCTGACGGCAGCGGCCGCACGACCGCCGTTGGGCCCACCCCGCCGCTCGCGGACGGGCGGACGTGGCGGTCCGCTGACGTGCTACGAGTGCGGGCGTCGAGGACACTTCGCACGGGACTGCTGGAGACGGAGAGGCGTCTTCCCGCGATCATCACGAGCCTACAACCGGGGATTCTACCCAGCGCAGGATTATCAGGCGAGTCGCGACACATGCAATACACGGCCGTATCCTACACCTCACCCATCCGCGACACCACACACTGTTGATCCCCCTTTGTATGATGCACAGGGGAATGCTGTATGGGGTGCGTTGGCTCATCGTGTTTTGGGAGCCGCGCCGGGTTCGTCGGATGTGATGGCGCTTGTTGAAGGGGTTCAGGTTCGAGTCATTGTCGATACGGGGGCTTCGGCGACACTTATTTCCTTGCAAACTTTCCGATTATTACCAACCTCGCCCCATGTTTTGGAACCTGTGGATGGACCGTGTATAGCGGCAAATGGGGGCAGTTTGGGAATTTTGGGTCGAGTACTTGCAACGATACAAGTCGGAGGTGTGCGTAACTGGATACATTTTGGTTTCGTCTGTTTTGGCTGTACCTTGTTTGTTAGGCACGAATTTTTTGCAAAAGATGCCAATTAAGATTTCGATTGAGAAGGGACGATTGGAATTGCCATCTGGGAAGTGCCTACATTTTTTGGGAACTCCGTCTAAATTTGCTCGTGTCAACGCTGTGGTTCAGGCGGTGGTTAGCCGCACGGTGCGCGTTCCGCCTGCGACGCAGATGCTTGTGCCGCTAAGGTTGAAAAAAGGGCTGTCAATGGGTAACTTGGAGGAAGGCATTCTGTTGTCGCCCTCAAATGCCGTGGCACGAATGCCCTCTTTGGTGGGTGCTTTTACGATGGTGCCGGCGATGGCCGAACCGTTCATTCAGATTGTGAACACGGGGCACGAGCCGGTCGTTTTTCAAGAGGGGACTACGTTGGCGCACGCGTCGGTCGCGCAGGGTTCGGAAGGAGATGCGTGTTTGGCAACTGGGGGTGGTGACACGCTGCTACGGGTGGAGGAGCAACCGAGCTGGTTTCGCGATTTGTATCAATGCAACGACGATTTGACACCCGAGCAGCGGACGCGGTTAAGGGAGTTGCTTTGGGAATTCAGGGACGTTTTTAGCTCAGGGAAGTTTGATGTCGGTCGCACGACCTTATTGCGACATCGATTGAATCCTCACCGTGTGAGCCCGCTGGAAAAGGATTGCATTCGGAAAACGGTTGACGAGATGTTGCAACAGAATATTGTCTCCCCTTCTTCCAGCCCATGGGGAGCTCCGATCGTATTGGTTAAAAAACGAGATGGTTCTCTACGATTTTGTGTGGATTACCGCAAATTGAATAAGGTTTCAGTGGCGGATGCATACCCGCTCCCGCGCATTGACGACTCATTGGACGCATTGTCCGGTGCAAAGTTTTTTTCCACTTTGGATCTCTTGTCTGGCTTTTGGCAATTGCCTTTGGACGAGGAATCTAAACCGAAGACGGCCTTCCGCACGCCGCAAGGGTTCCAATTTAATGTGCTACCGATGGGGCTGCACTCCGCGCCAGCCACCTTTCAAAGATTGATGGAACTTGTTTTGTCTGGATTGCAGTGGGAGTCATGTTTGATATACCTTGACGACGTCATCGTGTTCAGTAAGGATTTTGAGGGACATTTGCAGCGGCTACGGGCTGTGTTTGGCAGGGTGCGGGACTGCCAATTTGAAATTTAAACCCCAAAAATGCCATTTGTTGAGAACGTCTGTTAAATACTTGGGGCATGTGGTCAATGAAGCGGGGGTCGCCACAGACCCGGAGAAAACCAGTTGTGTACCTGCATGGCCAGTACCTAAGACAGTGTCGGAAGTACGTAGCTTTGTGGGATTTGCGTCATACTACCGTCGATTTGTTAAAAACTTTGCCACAATTGCGAGGCCGCTGCACACGCTGACTGCTAAGGGTAAGAAGTTTCTGTGGGGTGACGAGGAACAGCGTTCGTTTGAAACGCTCCGGGACGCTTTGGCGGACGCACCGCAGCTCGGATATCCAAATTTTGCGGAAATGTTTATTTTGGACACCGATGCCAGTGATACGGGCATCGGCGCTGTATTGTCGCAAACGAATGACGGAGTTGAAAGGGTCGTCGCGTATGGCAGCCGTGTACTGTCCCCGGCAGAGCAAAGATATTGTGTAACACACAGGGAATTGTTGGCGATTGTACACTTTGTGCAGCCGTATCGACCATACTTGTACGGGCGGCAATTTTTGGTCCGCACCGACCACGCGGCACTACAGTACTCCTTGCGGATCGATCAACCCTCGGGCCAATTGGCCCGCTGGCTTGAGGTCCTGCAGGGATACTCATTCACGGTCCAGCACAGGAAAGGGACGCGTCATGTTAACGCGGATGCTCTGTCCCGATTGCCTCAATCATCGAGCTTGTGTAGATGCTCCGAGGGATCGCTGCGCTGCGGGCCGCCGCTGCAGGGCATTTCGGCCAAGGCCGCTGCAGCCGATTCAGACCGGGTTGACGAAGCACCGGCTAAAGAGCCTGGGTTGCTGGGATTGTCACGGGATCGTTGGGCGTGCTTGCAGGTGGACGATCCTTCGCTTACCAAAATGAGGCTTCGGGCCTCTCGTTCCAAACATTCGGATGATCGGGCCTTTTTTCGACTCGTTGACGACCTCCTGGTCAGATGGGATATCGTCTTGCAGAAGTTTTGTATTGTGGTACCACTATGTTTGAGAGGGGAACTTATTCGCGACACGCACGAGCGATTGATGCACTTGGGGGAGAAGAAAACGGCTGACTCTGAGTAACGATTTCTATTGGCCGGGATTACAGAATGATGTTCATTTGTATGTTAAGGCTTGTCACGAGTGCGCACGGCGGAAGGCGCCGGCACAGCCATATCGGGTACCATTGCAGTCGATACGTGTTTCGCGGGTGAACGAGATTGTAGCCCTTGATATTCTGGGACCGTTCCCCGTTACCCCGCGGGGTCACAAATACCTGCTTGTGGGGGTCGAGTACCTCACTCGGTGGCCTATGGCATGGCCGCTAGCGGACCAATCGGCAGGATCGATCGTGGAGGCCTTCCTGCACGGTTACGTTTTTGACAAAGGTGCCCCGGAGCACCTGCTTACGGACCAAGATAAGAATTTTTCATCCCGCCTATTGAAGGAAGTGTGTGACGCATTGGGTACAAGGAAAATTCAGACATCCCCATACCACCCGCAAACCGACGGGATGGTCGAACGTCTTCATCGAACATTGACGTCTATGTTGTGCCAACAGGTTAATTCGACTCAGACAGACTTGGATCTCCATGTCCCGGCGGCCTTGGCCGCTTATAGATTAGCCCCACACGCTTCAACAGGGTATTCACCCTTCTATTTGATGTATGGTCGTGAACCAGAAGCCCTGGCCTTGGTCAGGCTGGGGGTGAAATCTAAATGAAAGTCGCCAACGGTGCCTGTCCCCATGCGTGAGGCATTGGATCTGTTGAAAGAGGCCAGGGAGGCCTCGCTGGGAAATACGGAACGAAGGCAGGCGGCTAATGAGCGCCTGCACGGTACACAGCCTCCACGTGAACCATGGCAGGTGGGGGACAAGGCCTGGTTACATTGTCCGATGGTGCCGGTAGGCACATCACCGAAATTCCATCGGCCCTGGCAGGGGCCCGTTGAGATTGTGGAAGTTCGTCGGGATCAGAGTGTGAGGATTCGATACGGTCGCCGATTATGGCACATTCACCCGTCGCGCTTGAAGAGATATGTGGTGCCTTATGATGCGTCATCTCCCATCCCGGAACGGCCTGTATTGGATGTGTCCGACGAGCATACTGTGCGGCGACGGAAGGACGCACCTCAGCAGTCTCCCCCCGTGTGTTTGCAGGATCGCCATTTTTGAGTCAGGGGACACCCCGGGACACACAAGGCCACGTTGGGGTCTCATCGGGGAATGGCCGGTGCAACGACGAGGGGCGCATGTTTCGAGCAGGACGCTGCCCCGCACCCACGGACAGAGATGCCCTGCCCCCTGTTCAGTCGAGCCGGGGTGACGGACCGGCTGCGGGAACCCGCTCAAGACAATTGACTTTTTATTAAAACTTTGGGAGTTGGGGATTGTGTACATTGTTGTATATTGTGTTTTCCTGGTATGTTGTGTTTCCGCGTGACGCGTTGTTTAGCCGGGACGGTAAATTTTTTCAACAGGGGGGGGGGTGATGTAGGACTTGAAATATCACGCGCCACGCGTTCTGTTGCTAGGCAAGCGAACAGAGTACAGTGGGAGCATCTGAGGACATGGTTGTTGTTGTCGTGGCATTAAGGGGGGGTCGTTAAGAGACGCGACAGGTGTTAGGGGTGACTGAGGACGCAGGCCGGTGATTGGTCAGGAGGGTGAGTGGCTAATGACCGACGCCGGCCTGGCGGCAATAACATGGTCACGTGAGGCTGGGGGCCTGGGGGCGAGTAGCAAAGCGGGGGATGAGATAATTGATTGGGACGGATTGGTGCGGGGATAAAGAGCACAGCGTAACGGAGAGACGGGAGTCTTGGTTGGGATTGGAGCTGGAGTGGTTGGTGCCCGGGAGAGAGACGGAGCAGCAGTGAGCAGGGATAGGTACGATAAGGATAGAGAGAACACAGTGTACGGTTAGCAGTGGATAGAGAGAACACAGTGTACGGTAGCAGTGGATAGAGAGAATACAGTGTACGGTAGAAACGGGGAGACATGGAGTGTTGTTAATGGCGAGTTGTGCATCGGAGCGAACGGAGAGACACGGAGCAATGATGAGGTGGTGTGAACTCTACACGTGAATAAACGAGACAAGACGAGAGTACGAGTCCTACAAGTGCATTGAGTAAACTGCATTGAGTACACGACTAATACATGGCAGAGGCCTGTTTTGTGTCTGTAACATCTCAACAGTACACCCATTAGAATTGACAATGGTGGAATCTCAACCACTGGACAACCAGAAGGCTCAAGAATCGACGAGCGCCAAAGTACGGGTGTAATGAAAGATCATTCAAAAGTGAAAGTACGGTCTTTCATTACACCCATACTTTGTTTATGAATATGAAAGTATGATGTTCTGGTTGACAGCGAGTCTTGACCATACTGAAGCATATGCATTACCTTGATGGAAAGGAGAACTGATTCATACTGGTAGGAACCTCCTGGTTACACCAGCCCACAGGGGATTATTGTGTCCGTCTGTCGTGCATCCAAAAATGGGAGGGATTGGGGTGGAGAGGGGAGGGTGGGGAGGGAGGGGCTGGGTGGGGTGGGGCTGGGTGGGGAGGGGCTGCTCACCTCGTGGTGCCCTTATAAAACTCAACGTTTAACCTACTCACGCCTGCTTGTGCCCGTCCTCACCGTTGGCCATATTTGCGGAATACACCACGCCGCCGTTGACCCTGGCCATTGACCGAGCAACCCAACGTTCCTACCAGTTCCCTCCGCAGGAATGTGTTTATTATATCCAGGCGATGTGGGTGAAGACGTTTGCTGCAAGCCCCTCTGCCATCAAGGGCAAACAAGCGCCAACAAATATTTTGCTGTTTATTTGCAAAGAAAACACAAAATATGGTCGACAGACGTATACAGTACAAAATGATTAACATCCCAATAACCAATAAAAGTAATTCAGAACATGGAAATGCTTGTTTCTATTAAATGAGCACGGCCATTATCCAATCCCTTGTCACATGACTGATGGTGCTTTTATTTGACAATTCTACACGGGATGTATTGCTGGAGAGCAGGAAAACGGAGTAGAAATTGTACATCTGCCACTCCAGCCTCAATCCCCACCAAAGTGGTGAGTTTTTGAAGCAAACGGGTCATCTGTCCACACAAGATATTGATCATGCTGTTATGCCACTTTTTCACATAAGTCATTTGGCAAACAAAGAATATACCAAACTTACAATGAATACACAAGTAGTAAACAACACACGGTTTTACCATTGGCGGTATAAATCTAATGTAGGTGCATTATCGGCAGGGATGGCACCTATCGGTATTTACAGATGGATGTTAATGATCTGTGCATTTCTAAAAGATTCATTTCGGGGCAGCAACGGGAGAAAATTACTTTTTCTTAATTGAGTAATACCACTTGGCATCTATCATGTAAAACTGCACATCGTTTTGTTGACAAAAGTGCACATGCTATGTGTGAGGAAGAAGGCTGTGAGATGATGCCATTTGTTCGAGCGTGGCTGTCAAACCCCGAACCAACCAACTTGGACAAATGAGACGGTGTCATGATCCGATGACGTTTTCTGCATAAAAACGGACACACTGGCAGTGCCCCGAACATACGGGGTTTAGAGGAGCAACTGCCCCAATACAATCTCGTGTGGACTCCCGGGCGATGGCGTGAGGTCTGGGAAGAACGGTCTGCCACGCTCTTTACATATCCGAGGGCCTCGTGTGGCCATGCAAGAGAAAATTGCCACGATTTTTTTTTTAGCTTTTGCATATAGCTGCGTAATACACGTCTGGTGTCAAATAGAAAATGTGTGGTGGATGGTACCACAAGACTCAAGAAAAATCTTTATTTTAAAACTGATATATAAAATTGAGTAACACTAAGTCATATGGTGATCTGGCGAGCCACTGTCGGTTATCGCTGTTTTAACTCATCTATTTTAACTCATCTGTTTTAACTCATCTGTTTTAACTCATCTGTTTAAACAATTTGGGAAAATAAAAAGTTTACCAGTCAGGGTTTTTGTAAGATTGCCATTCTGGGGTTGGCGTCTGCTCTGAAACACAGTTCCAAAATGCAGACACCACAGCTGAAAGCTCTGTTACATACACCTGCATATATACATGGATTCCTGGTGGAGATTGGTGGAAATGCAAAAAGTTCTCAAAAAACAGACTATCGTTGTGTTCACAGATATACCAAGACACCTGCATTAGCTGACGTGGCAATGAAATGAACCTAGCCAAGATAAACTAAAATTAAATAATAAAATAAAAGCTTGGAAAACTACATCCCTCACTGCATTATTACATTACACAATAATACATGGGCAGAAGATTAAGTGCAACACTATACATAACTTTTTTTACATTCGTATGCATCTTTCCAATTGGCTTGCACCAATTGGAAAGATGCAGGCCGCAGGGGCACCTGGCCGGCTGGTTGTGAATGCTCGCAAAGTGGCACGGCCTCTGATCAAACTTTAACTCGTTCAATTCTACCCTCCACCCCTATTTCATTTACCCCAAACCAACCTTAACACCCGCGATTATCCTGATATGAAGTTGAGATTATTCCTAACGCCTGATGTTCTAACCTACTTTTACACTACCCTACTAAGGCATGTCATTATTCGTCAATTAAAGATTATTCTCATGATACATGCATTACGTATTGCTACGCGTTGTGTATAGTTGGTTTACATTACCCCTGCAAAAATTAGAGGTGCTACAATCGCCACAATGCAAATTGTGATGGTTCATCGAGGGGAAGAGAATCGTTAAAGAACCCCATCCTAGCTTACCAGTCATTACAACCCACTAATTGTTCTTCCTAATGACTTTACTCCTAACCTGTTGATTTGCAATGCAGTAAAGCCTAGTTTGTCACCTAACGATAACCATGATATCATTGCCTATGTACAAATACCTCCATCCGCAAATATACTTTTTTTTTCCACTTGCACGCACCCCTGCTATTCATTCAGAGTCCCACATTGATTGACCCTGGGCATGACATCATATTGACTGCTTCTTTCGTGTACCCACCAAGCTCCCCGGCTCACGGAGCACACAGCCTGTACGTGTACCGTGGACATGCGGCACTATCTGTGTGCGCATGGACCTAGTTGCCAGGCACCATCTGTGCGCGTGTGCACCTGGTTGCCAGGCACCATCTGTGCGCGCGTGCACCTGGTTGCCAGGCACCACTGTGCCTGCAGGGCCCCCGGTATCATCAGACAGACCCAGGGTAGGCACAAGTGCTGAACTCTGGGACTTTGTGCAAAACGTTTCCTGTGTACTTACAGCTTAAGAGTCCGGTACAAATGTGTATCCTAATACCCAACCTGGAGGCTATTTCTACGGCCTTTTGTAAAAATAATTTGGGGACAGGTGCTGTTGGGTTTACAGACCTGTACTGAAAGTAATGATCGCGATGATTGAATTTTTTAATTTACAGTATTCGTGACACTACAACCAAATGTTTGGATACGTTCTTTTTATACATTTAGTTTGTCTAAAACAATCGGGCACCAGAGTGAAATACATTTATTCTGGGCAACAGCTGATGAAATATTAAGTGTTTTTAAAGCATTCAAATTTAAAACCAAACATTTCAAAACTGTCACATGCTTTTAACGCCAATAATTGTCGACAGGTAATGGCACGTATTTTACCTGTATAGTTAAGTATATACTATACATATGGTGTATTCATATTGAAATTAAATGCCACTTTTAAGCTGTAAGACTGCCTTCACTTCCACTTTGGTTCTTCCAATAAAAATGCAAATACACGCATTTTTCACCTTTAATTTTAAATTATTTCCCACTGGGCTGTGGCACTCATGCCAAACTGGCGTGCCAGTCGTAAAAGGCTGGCGCGAGGGAGGGCAAGGGAGCGAGGGCGGCGCGTCACTTGCGCATGACGTGGATCTCGTCGCCGTCCCGCACGCCGTACGTGTGCACGTTGCGTCGCGGAAAGCGCATCTCCTCGACAATATGGGCGCCCATGTTCTCGGCCACGTGGAAGATGCGGATGCGGCACGTGCCCTCCCGTGACTCCAGCGCCTCGCGCAGCTCCCGCTTCAGCTGCGCCACCGTCTGGTCCAGACGGATCGCCAGCGCCCTGCAGCAGCCGTCGAAATGTACCTGCACTTGCGCGACATCCTGCGGCGTCAGATCCACTTCGGCCAGCGGCTCCAGCTGCCCGTGCCGCTCCTGGAGCTCTGCCAGCCTGGTTTGTGGTGGTGATGGCGGGTGAGGGGTGAGGGGGTGCAAGGCGAGGGGGTGGGTAGGAGGGAGAATAATGCAGGAATAGTGGAAGCATGCCAGAGAGAAGTCATTCAGTCTATGGATGACAAGGCCGGGTCGGAACCCACATGCCGCTTCTTCCAGAGGTTTGAGCTTCGTGCCCTGCGGCTGCCCTGGTTAATACTGCAGGTGTATTTACATAGAATACATGCCGACTGCTTCACATGGGAATTTAATGAAAATAATAGTAGGAAATGAGTGCAAGTGTCATGGTCCAAATTCCGAAAATGATTAAATTACTCGCAAGGTACCTATTTGTTTAAAACCACAGAACATCACTCCCTACTGTGAAACTACTGCAGACAATATTCATCTGTAAAAGAAGTGCATTCGCCATAGCCTTGCACTATGAGAATGTTGCGAATACCAAATGCACGCATGATTTGGATTTGATGAATTAGCCAGGAAATGTCTTCATTTGATGTACTGTGGATTGCTTCAATGACCCCACTGAAGTTTAGGAGTTAACAGGACCCTGTGGGGTGGGCTGGTAGGAACGAATAACCAAAGAATATAAACATAATGTATTATTACACTTGTTTAGCCAGGAAAGCCCCACTGAGTCTAAAGGTTTTTGTAGGGTCCTGCCAAGTGTTTGCAGTAGGGGGCGATGTTGCTACACCTAATCTGACAATACGAAGGGAGAATTTGAGGCCTAGTTCTACACTTTAGGCCTAGCTGTAGGCTTTAGGCCGCTGTGAGTTAATTATTAATTTACATGTTTTAATTATTTATGTAAAAGCTTTAAATGTAAATGTTTCTATTTAAAAACATCAGGGAATGTAACATTGTTAAACATTAACTCCCTTTCACAGACGCGGGGGTACGATACGAAGGGAGAGTTTGAGGCCTAGTTCTAGGCTTTAGGCCTAGCTGTAGGCTTTAGGCCGCTGTGAGTTAAATTTTAATTTAAAAGTTTTAATTAAAAGCTATCTCAGGGAATTATAAGGGAATGTTACACTTGTTTAGCCAGGAAAACCTCATTAATTTAAATATTTTAATTAAAAGTTATCTGAGGGAATTATAAGGGAATGTTACACTTGTTTAGCCAGGAAAGCCTCACTGAGTCGAAAGGTTTTTGTAGGGTCATGCCAAGTGTTTGCAGTAGGGGGCGATGTTGCTACACGGATGGACGGACGATTTAATCTATTGTAGGCTGGTTCACTTCATTCCTACCAGTAACAGGCATTCTCTACTGTAGGATCGGTGGTCTGGTCAGTGTTTCCACAAACGCAGCCGGGATTTTTTTGAACTTCCACTTGTGAAGGTAGTGGGCGAATCTGCCATCAGGAAAGTGGATGTATAGCCTGTGAGCACAATGGCTGCTTGGCCAATGTGCAAGAGTGTGGCGCCTCAAATCCTCAAAGCCTCCCTCCCTCTCTCTTCCCCCTCAAGCAGTTGCCTGTTTGTTACATACAAAAGTGGGTTGCCCCAGTAAACTTTGGGTAAGCCAATGCAGGGGACACAGGAATTGGTGGATCACGTATTTATGAAACATTCAAACCCGCTGGGATGCAAGACGGTCAGGATACCTCAGTTGAGCAAATACGTTCACAACCCATCTCTGTGGACCTTTGAGTGTCACCCGCTGTGCACACGCAAGTTTTCTTTGGTTATTCCTCTTCCTTCCACGTGAAAAAGACTACTTTTCAAAAAAGAATCGGGCAAACATCCGAATGCAAGACGCTTCTGAAAAAGAGTCTCGATGTTGAGTGAGGCTTTCCTTGATAAGAAAAACCTACATTGTTATTACAACTACTATCATAGCTCACGGAGGAGCCCTCACCGGGAAGGCTGCTGATTGGTGGGGAAGTCCATGTAGTACCGGATGAAGAACCTCTCGGCGTCTTCCCGCTCGCTATCGCTCACCCAGCTTCCGTTGAGCACCTGCACCGAGGGGAGCCTGCAGGAGAGGCCCGACAGCGCTCGGCACGCTTGGCGCGCAGGGAGCACGTGACGCTGCGCCGCCTAATGCTGCGCAGCCTAGCGGGTTGACCCCGCGATTGCGTGACGACAGAAACATGCCACGGTGCGCCAAACATGTGGTGTCAGGCCAACTCGGTGCTGGGGCGGCGGGTTTGCCGCAAGCAGGACTGGAAACGTGTGCACACATACGCAGTATTTGTGCGCGAGCAACGCTTGCCCCAAATCTCAAACCCGGCTCAAATAGGTGGACCTTGAACAGCAATCTGCAGCGTACGTCTTGGGTGTGTGTGGGTATGTGCGACTGCGCAAGTCTGTGAACATGTGCACATGTTTTGAAGTGGGTCCTTGTAAATGTGTGAGGGTGCATGTCTTTATACAAGTAAAAAGATTAAGGAACACGCTGACAATTCATAACATGAATAATATTGGTCGCAAAAGCCTGGGTGTTAAATTGACGCCGAACAATTCTAAACTCATTTTACCGCACACCAATTATAAAAGCAAGAATTGAAATTAAAAGATAAAAAATCTTTATGAAGCAGCATGATTGACTTTTAAAATTGGTATACGGTAAACGGCCTTAAAAATTTGGCAGCCTACCGCATATAATCGGTCGCATTGGTAAGTACGTATATGTGTCTGCCAGTCATCTCTGTTCACCCATAACACCCGAGTCTGTCGCGTGACCTCCTGACAGTGAGCATTCCACAGTTCTCCATAAGAAAGGTTTTTTGGGTTAGATCGTGTAAATATAAATGTGTCGTTAAACTGGCCACCATCCGACAGCTAATTAGTAAGGTTTGTCCTAAACAAACTGTGCCAGTTAGTTACTACTTCAGCGCACCAGTGTGTTGGAGAGTAAACCCACAACATTTACAATTCGAGTACAACGTTTCGCTGCTGATTACAACCAGCTTCATCAGGTGCTTAGCCAGAATTGTGAAGAAGTCTTCACGTGACTTCTTGACGCAAAAAAACTTTTATGGATATTGGTCACATTCCACAGTTCGCGTGGCCTCAAATTCCGCTTGTAGCTTGGCACAAGGTGCTGCGGTGACATCACCACCACTGAGTGGCGAATGGCGGCTGTGATGTTGCTGCTGTTGTCTGTGTGAGTGCGTGCCTTTGCCTGCGTGCGTGCCTTTGCCTGCGTGCGTGCCTTTGCCTGCGTGCGTGCCTTTGCCTGCGTGCGTGCCTTTGCCTGCGTGCGTGCCTTTGCCTGCGTGCGTGCCTTTGCCTGCATGCGTACGTGGTGCCTGCGTGGCCCCATGGGCTGTCACCTGGCGACGGTAAGTTTGCGCCTCTGCTCATCGTTGTACTCGGCCAGCAGGGGGATGCCCAGGAGACGCAGCTCTTCCAGTGATGGAAAGTGATTCAACTTCTCCACGTCGGACCAGTCTGACAGGCCTGAACGATGCACACGTGCACGTGAGGCGACAGCAACAATAACATCTAATTTGGGTCCATAATTTCTGCAAACTACAATTAAATAGGGACAGTTATTGATTGATGCAGTGCATTCTAGTGCTGGTGAATTGGTAACTTTAATCCTGCAGATTACATCTGGAAATTACGGACGCAAACAGTCGGCTGAAGCTGAATGCTGCAGACCGCGTGGTTACATTTACAAGTGTGGCAAGGAAGGAGGAAAACGGCAGGGTTTTTAGGCAAAACGGCTCAATGATACACGAGTTGCCGAATGAATGCCTGCTGCACAACAGGTGGGAAGAGCAGGCTTACCCCAGTTGTGCAGGTTGAGGTGTTTCAGGTTGGTGAAGGCTTGAGTGAGCTCTGCCGGCTCAGAGCTCAGGCTGCCCACACGGTTGTTGGACAGAACCATTGTCTCCAGAGATGGGAAGATGAGGCCCAGCATGAGCACATCCTGCCACTCGCCTGTGCGCACACAATGCCACAACGCACACTCTGCATTTCTACGCCGTACCACGATGCTAAACCACGTCTACGCTTCCTGCTTTCAGCACTGCGTGGTGAAGTATGGTCCCCATGATCAGCACTGCACGAAAGGGCTCTGCATGCATTATGGACACCACTTGCATTTGCAAATACCACACGTCGCTTTCTCGACGCAGACACTGGGTTTTAAAGGCGAGCACTGTACTTGCTGCACTTCCAGAGGCATCTCCACCACTCGTGGGAACTCTGCACGCATGGTGCACCATGTTTAAAGGTTAGAGCCTCACGGAGCTGGTTGTCGGTGATGTGCAGCAGCTTCATGTTGTGGTAGACGTCGGGCGACACCACCACCGTTGTATAGTCGTTGAGGCACAGGAACAACTCCTCCAGCCTGCGGGAGATACAAGCGCCACACGTCCAGAAAAAATCCATCGACTGCCTGTGATCACTCAAGTGCAGTGTGAGTTCATGGCCTCACCAATGGGCAGCCCAAAAAAACCCACCACATAAAATTTGGTCCCATACTTAATTTGTCTAAATTCCAGCTCTGAGAATTACAAAAAGATCAGTTTGACTGTTATCTGATGAACATAACTTAGTGGCGGAGCAAGTGTTGCCCCCCCCCCCCCTATATTGTGTGCACTTCAGAAGGGATCTCAGATGTAGCTCGATGTTATCCGCTTCCATGGGCCATTCTCTAACATGATAAATTGCACTTCTCTGCAAGAGAATAAAATGGATACTTTGTCTCATGACACGACATCGATAGCACAAGAGGGATATAAAATTAGGGGAATTAAAAAAAAAAGCAGTCAGGCCTGGAGCCACACATAAAGCGTGCATGAAGGCGTGGGTCTGCACTCAAAAAAAGCGTGTACGAAAGCGATCGTGTATTGGTGCACTCCAGGCTGCCTCTGCTTACTGTGGCATATTTCTCAAGAGGGTGTGAACCGTTTCCCAGGACGTCTTGGTGTTGTTGAGTACCAGCTTGCGCAGGGACGGCAGGCGCAGGCTGGGTGGCGAGGGGCACGCCCCCAAAGGGTTGGCGCTCAGGTTGAGAAACTGCATCCTCGGCATCTGCCCAACAATTTTGCCGATCTGCAGAGACGCACTCGGCAGTGACTCCCCCATCCCCACATCTTGTTTACGACCAAACCAGCCGCAGCTTCAAAGCGAGGGCCAAGTCTCCACACATCACCTCGGACAAGAGAGGCCAATGCTCACGGTAAAGCCTTGTGAGTTTCACCTTGTTCAGCTGCAAATCCTGAATGATGAGGTTTTGACATCAATATATTTCACGAGACAATATTAGACGTATGGCCTAATAATGAAAATCAACGTACAAATATGCCTCTAGTTGTTAGCTGCTGTGAAATATGGATCAGAAACATTGGATATTGACCGAATGTTACAAAAAAGCTGGGGTTTATTTTGTTGTATTGCTAGATTTGTGAGAGACAGAAATGTATTAGAGCAGTGCTTCTTAAACTTTATTGCAGCCTTGCACCCCTTTGGTTCTCAATCGTAAAAAAATGTTAATAAAGACATAGGTTTGATGAAACAAAGTCGTTCTACTCATGTGCCCGTGCTTAATTTGTGTTTTAATGATTTACCTTCTGTCTCGCACCGCCAGAAAGGGCATCTCGCACCCCCAGGAGGTGCGTGAACCCCAGGTTAAGAGCCACTGTATTAGAGGCCTTCATACAGCAGTGGACACATCAGGGCTGCTAATGATGATGGCTTATGATGAAATCAGTTATGATGGCATTAGTATGTTTCATTGATAAGTGTATAAATGACTTACACTACGTAAAAAAAATGTCCGAAAACCATACAATCAATTAGACGCTGAAACAGAAAAAATACACTGACTGTGGTTGCACAACAGAATAACACAAAATGAACCCGTGCTACAAATCAATCGCCATTTCATAACCTGCTGCATAGCTAGGGCGGTGGAAACACACGTCTGATCGTTGACATACCACTCTACTGTCAGGACTGTTGTGTATGAGAGTGAATAATACGCTCATAATTACTTTCTGTAGCACGGCACGCAGTCCTGGCTGCCAGCCGCCTCACCTCTTCCCAGTCCTTGAAGCTGTTGTGCGATAGGTCGAGCTCGGTCACGTGACTGCACAGCTCCAAGATTTGTGACTCGTCGCCGGCAGCTGCGATGTCGCACATGTTGAGCACCAGGATTGGAGGCACGTTGAGATAATCTGCTCGCGAATGCACACAGCCACCGCACGTACAACCGGCCTTTACTTAAAAAAAAATTCCCATAATTATATCCCGATTGTGCTATCAGCATCATGTCACGAGATGAAGCTACCATTCTGATTTCTCACAGAGCAGTGCACAGGCCTTTCTGTGAAGAGAACTACCTGCAAAAGTGGATGTCACAGAGCTACCTCTGATATCACTGTGTAACAATTTTGTCTGTTCCTGGGTAGTAAGTGTTAAGAGAGCGAGGAAGACGTTGTAGATCCAGATGACAATTTTAGAGGTGGAGCTGAGGAGAGAACCCCATACTACCCCAACCAAAAAGACCTCAACGACTTGATCAGAGATCTTGGTTTCACCAAGTCCAATGCCAAGCTTTTGACGTCTGGGCTCAAGCAGTGGAACTTGGTGGATAAAAGTGTGCAAGTCGCAGATCAGAGGAAGCGTCACCAACCTTTTTGCAACTTCTTCACCTGTCAAGATGGGCTCTGCTTCTGTCACAATGTGACCAGTCTGTTCGAGGCAATCAGAATCGCCTGTAACCAGAATGAGTGGCGCTTCTTCATTGACAGCTCATCCAGGAGACTCAAAGCCGTGCTGCTCCATAATGGCAACAAGTGCCCATTTTTCTCCTGCCTCACTCGGTGCACCTCAAAGAGGATTACAACAGCATCAAGACCTTGCTGGACGCCTTGAAGTATGATGAGTAAGGCTGGGAGGTCATCGGAGACTTCAAAATGGTGGCATTCCTGATGGGTCTGCAAGGCAGTTTTACCAAGTTTCCCTGCTATCTTTGCCTTTGGGACAGCAGGGACACCAAGGTGCACTACCACAGGTGGGACTGGCCACAGCGGACTGAGTTCTCTGTGGGGTGGAACAACGTCAAGTGGGAGCCACTGGTGGACCCCCGGAAGGTGCTGATGCCACCACTGCACATCAAATTGGGCTTTATGAAACAATTTGTCATAGCTGTAGATAAGGAGTCAGCAGCCTTCAAGTACCTTCAAGACTTCGTCCCTAAGCTGTCTGAGGCAAAGGTAAAAGCCAGTGTCTTCGTCGGACCACAGATAAAGAAGATCCTGGAGTGCAATGAATTCCCCAAGAAGCTCACTAGTAAGGAGAAAGCGGCTTGGAACAGCTTTGTCCGCAGTGGTTCGTGGCTTCCTGGACAATCACAAGATCGAAAACTACGTGGATCTGGTTGAGACTCTGGTGAAGAACTACGGCACAATGGGCTGTAAGCATGTCCCTCAAAGTCCATTTCCTTGATGCTCATCTTTATCAATTTAAGGAGAACATGGGAGCGTACTCGGAGGAGCAAAGCGAACGCTTCCACCAGGATATACTGGACTTTGAACGCCGCTACCAAGGACAGTATAACGAGAACATGATGGGAGACTACATTTGGGGGCTGATTCGTTAAAGTGATTTACAGTATAATCGTAAATCTCGAAAAACTACTCACTTCTAAATCTTTTGTAGTATAAATACACATACATTTTTATTAAAGTTTTTTTTCTTCTGACTTTATGTTAACAAAAAGACACAAATTCGTCCGTTTTCTCATTGAAAATATGTAAATTGCAAACTATCACTGTCCTGGTCACAAAAGCAAAGTTTGTGGGGAATAAGAACCATTTCTGTACCTTTTAGGCATAAGCAATTACGAAATAATACTTACTACCCAGGAACAAAATTGTGTTACATAGTGTATTCATTCAAGGGATGTCTGGTTTGCAAAACAGGGGGCAGCACTTTCCCATATGTCCAGCTTCCGACAGTAATATTCACGGTTGGGTGGAAACACCAATACTTTAAGTACTCTGAGCTGGAATTTAAACAAAATTTGTTCCGAACCAGAACTACAGTGATGTTTTTTGTGCAATCATTGGTAACACCATTGCTGTGCAGTCAGACCATTAACTCATTTCACTTAAGAATCCGGTTTAATTTTAGGTTGGCTGCCTGGATACAAATACAGGATCGAAGCAAGTGCCAAGCTCAGCGCTCTAACCTTTGAGCCACCCCAGCCACCGAAACACGACGCGTCTCACCGGAAATCTCACAAACAACGTCTTGGGGCCATTGAATATAGGCACGTACTGCGACACCAAGGTTGTCATTGCTGACAACATTGATAGGAATCTCTGTTGGTGTGGACTAGCCTGGTTAGTTGTATCCAGTTTTGATTCGAGTTGAGAATCTGTCTCAGAGCCGCCGACGTAGCCAACCGTGCTAACTGGAGGTGTGGGGGAAGGACAACAAGCTAAACACAAAAAGCAGTTCTAAAGAAATTAGTTTTCAATCTGGATTTAAAAGTGCACAGCTCCAGCAGCTTCCTAATATCGGAAGAGCGTTCCAGACAGCCACAGAAGCGCATCCAAATGCGCACAATGCAGTGACCCCAAGTTATCGAAAGATTGTCTTTAGCCTGATTACATAGCTTACAGGGCTCTGCTGAAGGTTTTATCCCACGTACTGCGGTGTCGCGCTCTATCAAACTGTGCTATCCGAGTCGGCAAAAACCAAAATGGACTTTAAAGAGTAGCGATCGTGCTCTCCAGCCTCCGTAGTGTAACCTCAACTACAGTCTTTTGGCCTGCAAAAACCACAATGGAGTCATTCTTCTTTTCTAAACAACCGCCATTCGCCACAAAGTGGCGGTGACATCACCATGGCGCTTGTCTCAGGCTATGTGCACACACACACCAATTTTAATGTCCCGTTTAAAAACAACCATACACACCACGTGGCGTTATTTGCGGCGGGGTGTTGAGGATGATGCGCCGCACTGGGTAGTTGTCGGGGTTGTACTTCTCCCGTATGATGTCCACCAGGCTGCGCCCATGCTCGCAGCTCATGTTGACGCCCGTGCACCAGCAGGCCTGTAACATTGCTGCACAGAGGAAAACCTTTGCTATTGAGCGTGCACGACCATGCGTGTCCCGCAAGCCATCGACATTCCACAAGCGGTTGGTTTGATTGGGATGTTGAAAGTATATTGAAAAATTTGATTTGCCCCATTCGCTTTGGGCTGGAAAGTGCCATAGTGTGCAATAAGAGGTGTGATCCAAGAGTAATAATACACGTAAAAGGCGTGATTGTATAACCATAGTATCAGTCATACCAACACGCCTTGCATGTCACAACTTTGAACCTTGTGAATTGGTAGCCTAGAACTAGGCTGTGTACATTACACATGCACACAATGGCACCTTTTGCCCAATGGATGTCAATTTTGTGTGCAGTTATCGCGACTCCTATTTGTGTTCAGCCTGCAGGCAATTTTCTGATAATTTAAATAACGTGTCAATTGGTTTGAGGAATGACCTTGGCTGTACCATGACGCAATGGATGTGCTGCACTTACTATGCTGCACTGCACTTGGTTATCAGTGTAAATCGAGAGCTGGACAGGGGATGTCTTTTGGTTTATGTGAATATGGAGGAGGATGTAACGTCTCCATACGTGGGAGATGTTTAAACATTGTTGGCCATGGAGGTGATGTCATTCGGTTGCACAAGCCAAGTTTAACGCAGTTGGGGGGAGGGGGGTTAGTGGGCGGGGGTAGTGGGCAGCTCCGTATTTGTGAAATGGACGAAGGGGGAGTTGCTATGTGCTTAATTGGTTTCAGTGGCCTCCGCTATATTTCACCGTACTGCGGTCCTATATAGCGTTCAGCCTCTAATCCAACGGACCAATTGTAACGCAAGTCTTTGTTAAACGGTCTTTAGTCTGAGCAGAATACCAATTTAAATTAAAATCTGCCTATTCTGAACCCCCATCTCCCACGCTTTTGTCAACCAGGTGTGACAGAACAGCCAAGCCCTGACTAACAAAAAAGGATGTTTATTTTATCTTGTCATAAGCCTCGTTAAATAACATTTGCTGCAATTAAATACAAAAGCAGCGGTTTTAATGTTTGAATCGGGAAGTGTAAGGGAAAAAAAAGAGTGCCAAATTTTGTCAACGCCCTGCAACAATTTTTATTGGTATAGCGACTACATGCAACTGCATCTCAAGATGGTTTACGGAAATGAGGGACAACAGCAGGGGAGGGGGAAGTGTGGGGGGCAAGGACACATGGGAGGGGACAATGCGACACCACAATGTGGCATAAAACCTTAAGCAAAGCCCTTGAAGCTATATATTCAGGCTAAAGACATCATCCTTAGAGAACTTGAGGTCACTGCTTTGCGCGCGTTCAGATGTGCTTCTGCAGCCGTCTGGAATGCTCTTCCGATATTAGGAAGATAATTTTTAAATCAACTAGATTGAAAACTCACCATTGGAACCTCCTTTGCCATTAGCAAAATATGATAATTGTTTTTTTTTACCCTTTTATCTGGCAACAAAACTGACACCTTTTTTACAAGGAGTCATGTTTGCATTGACCACAATACCTGCGGTCGGAATGCAAACAAAAAACACAACTCTGATAATGTATGCACTGTCCTTGAAATTGATTGGTCCACACCCGAGAAAAGCTTTCCTTAGAGCCTAGTCTCACATGGTGTTGAACCAGATGACGCCAAAAGGCGCACAACTCAAAGGCAATGCACCATCAGAGTATAAGAAATCGGGGTAAGCATTTACACCATTGGAACCAGTAGCAAAATGATTGTTTTTTTTACCCTTTTATCTGGCAACAAAACTGACACCTTTTTTTACAAGGAGATTGAAAACTAATTTCTTTTATAACTGCTTTTTGTGTTTAGTTTGTTGTCCTGCCTCCACACCTCTGATTAACATGGTTGGCTATGTATGGTGCGAAAGTAGTTCAACATGCACATGCTACAAAATCATTGCCGATGTATCCTTGGGAAGCATATATATTACTTTCTCATTGTTTTCAGACAGTGACAAAAACAAACAGCCTTGCTATTACAAGATTTGAAGCTTTTGTGACTGCAAGGATTCACTCTCTTAGGTTCTTTTCGGTAAAGTCACGTAGGTAAAATAATAATAAAAATAAAAATGTTTTTTATATTATCTTTATTATTTTTATTTTTACCTACGTGACTTTACCGAAAAAACCTAAGAGTATGAAGCCTTGCTATTACTGTCCATAAACCAGGAACTGTACAAAACAGGAAACGGTTCAGCTTCACTCTGCTCATGTTTTTTACGAAACAAAATGTTTACATGCGTAGCAAAATGCTGAAATAAACCTGCAAATACTCAGTGACCAAGTCGGTCTGCCACAGCTCTGGTGAGTTGAATATTCAGCAAAGCAAAAAAACACATAGTAAGGCACAAATATGAAGTATTTTTTGTACAGTTCTGTCCACTAAACGGATTTATCATCTTACCAGCAGTTGTCCTGCTGTATCGGTTCCGCCTGATGACGGTCGCTTGTGTTGCGATCGAAACGTCGTGATTAAATGTATTTTATTTTATACCTACGTGACTTTACGGAAAGAACCAAATAATATGGATCCCTGCAGTCACGAAAACTTCAAATCTAGATTGAAACATAAACCAGTTTAGAATAAAAATTTGCTCAGACAATTTGTGTTCAACTAGACCAGGGGTCGGCAACCTACGGCTCCGGAGCCGCATGCGGCTCTTTACGGGCTGCTTCTTGACGATGAGTACGTATGTACTCAGATGCATTGCGGCTCTTGAAATACTGAATTTTGTACCGAATTGGAAAGAAATGGCTCTTCTTGTTATTTTGGTTGCCGACCCCTGAACTAGTCTATATAAAACTACTTCTCTCTTAAAATGTTGCACACAAAACATCCACTGCCAGCACTGTGGTTTGTTATTTTTAACTGTTTTGAGAGATAATGTCTTGCTGAACCGGTCATGTAAAATGTGCTAGAGGCTAAGAGGATGCTTCATCACCATCTGCAAAATGTCAGAGTCTTGAAACGTTGGCTTGTTGTGTTTACGAGTTGTAAGGCAGTGCCCGTGAATGATGACAGTGGTGAAGTATTTTCGGACTGTGCCTCTACGCCATTGCCACCCGAGCCCCCTGACACATCACGAGGGCTCGTGTGGACGACAGTGGCATGGCAGAGCAGCCATCGGGCGCGCCTCTACAACCCTATCAGCCGCTTGAGCACAAAGGAATTGAACATCCCACGTTGGTTCGATCCCACTGTGGTGCGGAGGAGTTCCAAGACATGTGCTAACTGCAACATCCAAAACTCTTCAAGGGTAGAAAAGCACAACGCAATAACACGTGGATTTATGTACATGCACAGCCCATTCGTCAATCACCTGCGGGATGAGGGCCTTTCCACGCCGTGCGGGTCATGGGTGGGGGGTTAGTCAAGGGGTTGGCGACGGCTGGGAGCATATAAGTAGGAACATAGACATACTGTAAAACATTGGATTTTGCTGCACTGCTGCCCTCTGCTGTTCACAATATATATGTTTACGTAGCGTCTAAACGCAGCTCACATTGGAAGACGCTGAAAAGCCTATGTGTATATCGCAGGGAGTCGGCTCACCTGCGGCGGTCCTGCTTCAGAGTTGTGCCACCACTGCTGCTGCTGCTGTGCCCCCGAGCTGCGCCGCCGTAGCACCTGTCGAGCTGCCCGCGATGCGTGAGGAGCAAGGTGCAACTGTGACGTGATCTTATCCACTCCTCGCGTGCGCTGTCCGTTAAAAAGGTCCCTTCATGCGCCACTCGGTCAACAGACTGACGAGGAGGCGGGCACATGAAAAACAGTGGCTTGTTATCGTCTTTGCACGCCAAATAGAACACAGGCACTGGAGTGCATATTTAACATGAGGCCGATGTGTAATCCCTTTTGGACCATCGAGAAGAGCATCACATGATGCAGTGTTAGGTTTCCTTAGCTGTGAGAGTTGGGGCTTACTGCAGACAGGGCTTGCAAGAAGACCCCAGTGTTTATAACAGGGCGAAAGTTTAACCACAAATATTTATATAAATAAAACAAATATTTCACGTAAGTTTGTATTGTATGCACTGTGGTGGAGGCATCACCCATTTCTATTGACAGCCATCTTAGTCAATAGGTCAGAGCAGAAACTGGAACCACCTAAGGTAGTAAAATCTTAATAGTACTGATTTACCTATATGGATGAGAGTGCACTTTTTGTTAATACACTGATTTGAAATGGCTACCACGTGAGTCACTGTTATTGGCCACAATATAATTGGAACCACTGAAATCGTTCTCCCTCAAGTGATTCCAACAAGTAAAATATCTGCCCTGGGCTCATGGACTACTGACCTATTGCTTGAAATGCTGACCTCTCTGTAAAGCGACCATAGCAGTATAATACTCATAAAAAAGGGACTCAACTGTATCAACCCTGGGGAAATTACAGGCCACAATGTCCCTCCACGACTCCACCACCACTCTGGCCAGAACTTGAATTTGTAACCTTCAGATTATGCGTTATCTACACACCACGACCACGGTGGCATGAGAAGCGCGCTCAGCACAAGCTTAGAGTGAGAAAATAAGTTACTTTTCCAGTGTTCGCGAACCCGGGTTAAAAATCACAAGAAACACACCGGCCTGATTGAAACACCAAGGAAGGGGCATCACGTCCACACATCTGCAGCTGAAGCAGGAGCACGCATCCAGGCGGGGACGCGAGTGTTCACCTTCCAGGCGCCCGCATGGGAGCCAGCAGGTGCCTGCGTGGCTAAGGGCATGAACCGCTTAGTGCACGCGGTGATGGCACTGCCGCTTCCATCCCCGTGCAGGAGCCCCATCATCATTTATTATTCAATACGAGCAGCAGCGGCGGAGGCAGCTCCAGCAGTGCCAAGCATGACCTTCGATGAAGGTGATCGTGAAGGTGGTGATGGTAATAGGCGATGTGGATGGGTATCTAGTGACAAACGTGATGATGATGTTGATGAAGGTGGTGAAGGTAATGGTGCAACAATCAGAATATTTATACTGGATGAATCTGATGCGCTATAAAGAGGTGGTGATTAGCGAGCCTGGTAATAATGGCTTGTGATCGTGGTGGTCGTGATGGAGGTAGTGATTACATTGAAGGAGGTGAAGATTATTGCGACCGTGATCATGGCGACGGTGATGTAATGGTGTTTAATGTTGTGGTGATAGTGGTAATGGTGAATGTTGTGGTGAAAGTATTGATGCTGATGTGGTGACGTTGCAGTGAGAGCTGGTGGAGGCAAGTCTAGACGCCAGTACCCCACCGGGGGATGCATCTCACCACTGGTGGCTTTTAAATGCTTTTTAATAATAAAATTAAACAATACAGCATGGCAGCGAGGACGGGGAATAAGTGGTGAGTTGCGTAGCTGGCTTCTATCCGGTAACCCAAGCTCCTTAATTCATATTTTAGATTCCATGTGCTCATGAAAGCAACAATCAATGAACTATTTAAAAGCACATGAGAGCCCATTGGGACAAAAAAACAAAGGGATGTAATGGTTTATCTATTAAAATCGATTCCTACGCCCATGATACTTGCATCAATTAATGCATGATATTATATTGCTTTACACGAAAGCCAAGAGAGATTATACATGCACCACAACGACAAAAAATAAAATTTGTGTTTAAGATATGGCATGGCATCAAACGGCAACCAAGATGAATAATTACCATCCCTACTCCATTGCAGGGGAGAGCTGTGCTAATATACAGGATCCAAACAAAGAAACACCAAAAAGTATCTATTCAAATAAAAAGATATTGTGATGAAATGTATCATTTATGTGGGAACATACACTTTAGCACACTATGTGCCATCATCAGGTTCCCCCCCCTGTGCATTGCGTAATGATGTTAAACAGTCCTGGCACGTTCACCGACTCCTCAGTGTGCAGAGCGATCACGGTCACGTTGAAACACTGGCACCTAAGCATACCCGCTCCCTCGCTTAACGAGTAATTAACTAGTTACCCTACTGATTTATTATCCTACACATCTTATTCAGTACCTACCTTACCCACTACCTAGCCGAACTAGTACCTAAATAACTTACACACCTATTACTAGTGCTTGTCCAACCTATTATATATAGTACTTACCTACCAGAACTAGTACCTACCCTATCTATTGTCAATCCTACCTAACCTATGTAAAAAAAAAGTACTTTCCATAATTATTACCTACCTTCTCCAACACCTACCCTCCCCAATACTGACTCAACTCGCATCATGGCTATTGTCAACAAAGCAGGATATGGTATCTGAAGGGACAATATCTGAAGCATTAGCCTACTTTGTCTCTTGTATAAGACAGTGTTAACGATTACCAAAGCGACTGGTTTTTTGTGAGTGCAGTCCTATCTACATTCTGTGAACGTGCATGATACCTAGCCTGCTAAGAGCACTCAAACGAACCCAAGGAACGACTTTGGGTTCGCAAAGCACTTGTCTAAATTGTCTAAATATTCAAGTCTAAACGCCAAGGCTTAATTTAATCAGTCTCTCTGGGTCAGCAATACAGAAAAAATGTCCACATCCAACACACTACATCCAGTATATCTCTCGCGATGGCTGTGACTACCTCCAGTGGCTGATGCTGCTAGTTCCATCTCCCAATTGTGGAAATTGAAACAATGGGCACGTTTCTTATATCCATCCCCTGCCTCTGTGCACCCAGCAGTATAATTGTGCAGGTGGCGGGCAGAGGGATAAAGTGTGGGTACTCCCACCATCAGTTTGAAAAAGTAGGCCAAAATACCGTCTAGGAGTTCTCTTGAGATCAATGCAGTGAAGGTCCTTCTGCCAGGAGTGGCACAAGCACCACCGTTATTACCTTTCGCACAATCCATTGTGTTGTTGTCTCTGTGTGTGCACGTCTGTCCTGCAGTCTACCAGCAATCCATAAAAATATTCAGTGAGAAATGAAAACTCTGCTAAACACAACATGCAGGGCGTCTGCACCACAAACCACAGCGGCTTGACACTGGCGATGAGCCAGCAGAGCAATACCCTAAGAGCAATGCACTAATATAATAGTGGGGTGGGAAGGACGCAGCTCAAGGAAGCGGCACAGCGATATTCCTGGAATGAGACTCATTAGAGTTGGCAGAAGCTCATGCTCAGCGACAGCTCCACATGTCACCAAGGGCTTGGGCTTGGCGTATCTATCTCCTGGCTTGGACGGCGGCTGGCATTTGCTTGACACGTGCAGCAGCACAGGAGGGTGCATGAAGTGGGGTGCAGTAGTGCACAAATACCAAGAACTGCCATCTTGCCTGAACAGACTGTTATGGTAAGTGCTATTAGCGAGTAGCACCTATGAAGGCTGGAATGCCACACGAGGGGGTAGGTGGTCAGCACACACCCGTGCACACATACACCTACTTTGTACATGTACGGTCCGTCTTAAATTCACCGCTGGATGAGGGCCTCCCAATTCTGTACATAATAATCAGAGGCATTATTTGCTCATGCTGCACCATGCTGGTTAATTCAGGGATCATAGATATCAGAACAGAAGTATAGTACAACAACCTATTTTGCTCCTCTGCTGTCCACAAAGTAGGCCAAGGCCACATACATACTAAAACAAATATACACCCATCTTTTACAGGATATGTGCTGTTAGCAAGCACCTGCCTGGATCGACAGGACAACGTGATGTTGTGTTATGTATAGCTAACACATTAGCCACCTTTGCCCCAGTGTTGATGTTCACACTCATTTAAGGCTAAGTTGACCGAGGGGAGGATCAGGCCAGTCTCAGATACCACTTGCTTCTGATGTTATCCATGGGTGAGTATTGAACCCAGGATAGAAGGGGTCCATAGAACTTCAGCGTCACTGCTTCACTTTGCTAAGAAATGTTGTACTAATTAAGAAAAACATGATCGCAATGCATGGGTGCCGACCATTCAGAAAAAAAAACACTTATGTGACCCATCTGGGTGGCGAGTGAGCTGGAGCCACACACGTCGAGACACTGAGAGACACACGAAGGCACGCACTGAAGTACATACATACATACACACATACGAGGCACATGTGGTGGTTAACGTTACAGCAGGCGTTGAGCTCCACATTTGGTTTTCGAATTGCAGGTGACATATCAATGAGCAGACGCAACGTGCAATCCCCCACAGTGGGCGCTGTTGGGTCATCGCCAGACGTACCGTCCTGCAGGTTGCAATAATTTATTGGCTGGAAAACCTGGAATGGTTCTCGCTGTCTGCCTGACGTGGAGCCATAGCATGTTCCCGACAAAGACACTGACATAGTGACACAGAAAGACAAAGCTCCTCCGTGTAGGTGAAGTGGACGTGTGGGGGTAAATGCTGGTAGCGAGGACATTCAAGCCGACCTAACGCACGAGGCGTGGTGTGACCAATTCCATGCCCCGACGCATGGATGTTTCCAAACCATGCCAGGCATATACTGTATTTATTGGCGTCCACAGAATGACATGCTGAGATACAAAAACAACCGTCGTTCGCCACGAATTGGTGGTAACGTCACCGCCGCTTGCCCGTCCCAGGCTAGGTGGACTTTGAGGCCATACACACACACACAATCACAGACAATGCCAGAAAGGATGGGTGCTGACCCGTTCAGAAAAGAAACATCCATGTGACCCGAGAGTGACATACACCCATGCACACTACATAATTGCCTTTGCAGGACACGAAAAACGAACGCACACATACTGACACGGCCCAAACGAAGACAAAGATCCCTCTTATAGCCTTTCAAAGACTGTTGGGGCTGTTAGCGAATACCCATTAAGGCCGGCACGGCACACGAGGGGGTGGGTGGCTAACACCACGCCCGACCGCCTTTGTCTCCCCACTGCTGATGTTTACACACACCAGGTTCTCGTTTAAGGCTTCGTCGACCTTGGGAATTGAACTCGGGTCGTCGGATCCGTAGTGCTAACCACTGCACTACCTCTCCCCACAGGGATATTGACATACACCAAAATAGCTACACAATGCTACTCCAACACACACTGGCATATACACATTGGCACACACCAACAAACTGTTGACACACACCAACATACACACTGACATACATATTGACACACCCAAACCCTTACCGACATACAAACACAATGCAATAATATTGACCCACACAAATATTCCCCGTACACTGTATAGAGAGCACCTACATCATACGCTTTTCTGCACCCATAAACGTTACACGCAATGACATCCCCTAAATAAACACTGACATACACAGCAAAGGCCGCAGTGTCAACCCCCTCGAACCCCCGATACTCCTCGTCCCCATCACCCCATCAGTCTGCTGAGGGGCGCCTCACCACACTCCCCGAACCCCTCGATTCCCACCAAGATAGCGAGCCCACCTCACTGGACGCCCATCATTTCCCTGGGTCCATCTGGGGTTACCTGCTCCCATTCTGGGAGACTCTGGCAGACTGGGCCACCACCCTCCCATCTCCTCCCGGAGGACCCTGGGTCTCCCGTCCCTTCCCGGACGCTGCCCCTCCAGGTCCCCGCTGCCCCTCCAGGTCCCCGCTACCCCTCCAGGTCCCCGCTGCCCCTCCAGGTCCCCGCTGCCCCTCCATGTCCCCGCTGCCCCTCCATGTCCCCGCTGCCCCTCCATGTCCCCGCTGCCCCTCCAGGTCCCCGCTACCCCTCCATGTCCCCGCTACCCCTCCAGGTCCCCGCTGCCCCTCCATGTCCCCGCTGCCCCTCCAGGTTCCCGCTGCCCCTCCAGGTCCCCGCTGCCCCTTCATGTCCCCGCTGCCCCTCCAGGTCCCCGCTGCCCCTCCAGGTCCCCGCTGCCCCTCCATGTCCCCGCTGCCCCTCCAGGTCCCCGCTGCCCCTCCAGGTCCCCGCTGCCCCTCCATGTCCCCGCTGCCCCTCCATGTCCCCGCTGCCCCTCCAGGTCCCCGCTACCCCACTTCAGCCCCGCTGCCCCTCCAGGTCCCCGCTGCCCCTCCATGTCCCCGCTGCCCCTCCAGGTCCCCGCTGCCCCTCCATGTCCCCGCTGCCCCTCCAGGTCCCCGCTGCCCCTCCATGTCCCCGCTGCCCCTCCAGGTCCCCGCTGCCCCTCCAGGTCCCCGCTGCCCCTCCAGGTCCCCCGCTGCCCCTCCAGGTCCCCGCTACCCCTCCAGGTCCCCGCTACCCCTCCAGGTCCCCGCTACCCCTCCATGGTCCCCGCTGCCCCCTCCAGGTCCCCGCCGCCCCTCCATGTCCCCGCCGCCCCTCCAGGTCCCCGCCACCCCTCCATGTCCCCGCCACCCCTCCAGGTCCCCGCCGCCCCTCCAGGTCCCCGCCGCCCCTCCAGGTCCCCGCCGCCCCTCCATGTCCCCGCCGCCCCTCCATGTCCCCGCCGCCCCTCCAGGTCCCCGCCGCCCCTCCATGTCCCCGCTGCCCCTCCAGGTCCCCGCCGCCCCTCCATGTCCCCGCTGCCCCTCCAGGTCCCCGCTGCCCCTCCATGTCCCCGCTGCCCCTCCAGGTCCCCGCTACCCCTCCATGTCCCCGCTACCCCTCCAGGTCCCCGCTGCCCCTCCAGGTCCCCGCTGCCCCTCCAGGTCCCCGCTGCCCCTCCAGGTCCCCGCTGCCCCTCCAGGTCCCCGCTGCCCCTCCAGGTCCCCGCTGCCCCTCCAGGTCCCCGCTGCCCCTCCAGGTCCCCGCTGCCCCTCCAGGTCCCCGCTACCCCTCCAGGTCCCCGCTACCCCTCCATGTCCCCGCTACCCCTCCATGTCCCCGCTACCCCTCCAGGTCCCCGCCGCCCCTCCATGTCCCCGCCGCCCCTCCATGTCCCCGCTACCCCTCCATGTCCCCGCTACCCCTCCATGTCCCCGCTACCCCTCCATGTCCCCGCTAACCGTGGGGTCCCAGGGACTCGCACCTGGAGACGCGGAGGAAGGGAGCCGCCTCTGGATCCAGGTCGCGACGCAGCCAGAGCGCTGGAGAACGTTGGGCGGTGACGTCACCTCGTAAACACAGGCCCGTGACGTCACCGCGCAAGGGCGGGGCGTAAAGACGCCGGGCCCCGCCCCTCGATTGCGTCATTTGTACAGCGGCCCGGGCACGCGACGCGGAGGCCGAATGGAGCGCGTGACGTCATCGCGTTAAACGACGTGATGACGTCATTTACTGCGGCTTCGTCTTCCGTCACACCGCGCGTGACGCCACCGCGCTACCCGTCGGGTGACGTCACGACGCGATCTCCCCCACAAAAGCAAAAGGGGGAGATTTTCCGGCCGTCGCTATTGGACAGTATTAAACGAGCGTTAATGTGCAACGCGAACGCGTATTTTGTTGTTTAGTGTCAGTTAATGTGCATGCACGCTACACTTGGTGCAGAGGGCGGCGAGTTACCGTGGCAGCGCGAGGATTGGTCGGTCGCCCCCCCCCACCACCCGTCCCCGTCGTGGCGCTTGCGCGAGTCCGAGCAGCGCGGAGCAAGGAGAGACCCAAACCCGGGTCCTGCGGGTGACCACCGCCGCCGCCGCCGCCACAAACAACAACAACAATGACCCCCGTCGTCCTCCCCGCTTAGTTGACCTCGCACTCGCCCACGTGACCAAGCCCCGCCCACTGCCCCCGTCGGCCAGCCAATCAGATCTCGTGAACACGCCCCCCCCCCCACTGTTGCCATGACCCCCTCGCGACCACAACACAGCTGTTTAAAAATAAGTGCTTGTCATGTTGTTGTTGTTGCAATTAGGACGTTATATTCTTGGTTCTTTCGGTAAAGTCACGTAGAAGGGAAATAATAAAATAATAAAATTATAAAACATCTATTTTATTTTTTATATTAAAAATATAAAACATCTATTTTATTTTTTATAATAAAAATAAAAATTTTATTTGTATTATTTTATTATTTCCCTTCTACGTGACTTTACCGAAAGAACCAAGAAGATTTAACCAAATAGTTATTTTTTACGGAAACCAAACTTTATTTGTCAACTCCTTCAGAATGGCTACATGCCACAGCCCCCTCCCCCAAACAATCAGTTGTTTAACAAACGACGTCAAATCATGTAAAAAAAATTGGTTTTATTCTTTCTGGCAATAAAACAGGTGTTAAGATTTTGATGTCAAGCTTTCGTGACTGCAGGGATTAATATTCTTGGTTCTTTCGGTAAAGTCACGTAGAAGGGAAAGAATAAAATAATCTATATATATAAAAACGTGAATCTGTCTGTCTGTCTGTGTGTCTGTGTGTCGCCGGACCATACGCACTTTCATTGGACGGCGGTTGCCCCTGGCAACGGGTAGCGACGCCTTCGCCGCTTTCATTGGACGGCGGTTGCCCTGCCAACGGGTAGCGACGCCTTCGCCAAGGGGTGGACGCCATTTTTTATTCCCGTTAAAAATAGGCGCACGCATTCACACGCGACTCTGACGTAAATTCATCACAGTTTCACGTCCTCTTCACTCCCCTCCCACCCCAATGTGTTCAATTACTATTATAGGCTCCGTAGATAATAAAATAATAGCGATTAGACAGTATTATTGTAGCGCGGGGGGGGGGGACGCCACCCGTACCCTGCCTCTGCCGGGTGGCCAATTTAGGCGAGGCCGGAGGCTCTGCACGCTACTAGGCCTCGACACCCACCACGCGACTCTGAGGTAAATTCATCAAAGTTTCACGTACTCTTCACTCCCCCCCCCACCACAATGTGTGCAATTAATATTACTTTTAAACCCAACGCGCCAAGAATCTATTCTTTAAATGGTGACTGTACAAATAGTCATTAAGCTGGGTGAGCGTACTGCCAGTCTATTATGTAGACTGTAGCCTGCTTATTCAATTGTCTGAGTGTACTGACAGTCTACAATGTAGACTGTAGCCTGCTTATTCAGCTGGGTGGGTGTACTGCCAGTCTATCATGTACACTGTAGCCTGGTTATGAAGTAAAGTTAGTCAATTTGTAACACGTACGCTTTCGCAAACATTATTCATAAACAACGTTATTCGGTTTACATCGCCCTATTTATTTATGTGTTGTAACCCTTATCCACCACCCGACACGCCCAATCTGCTAAAAATGGTCACGTTCCTAAAACAATAACACTTGACTGCTTTATCCCACCGGTGTGTTCAAGCGTAAAACCACAAGAATGACCATTTCTCATGAAAAAACAACTGTATAATTATGTTTAAACCTCACGCGCCAATAATGGATTCTTTCAATGTTCATTCTACAAATAGTCATTAAGCTGGCTGAGCGTACTGGCAGTCTATAATGTAGACTGTAGCCTGCTTATTCAGCTGGGTGGGTGTACTGCCAGTCTATCATGTACACTGTAGCCTGCTTATTAAGTAAAGTTTGTCAATTTGTAACAAGTGGCCTTTCGCGACCATTAATCATAAACAACGTTACTGCCTTTAGATCGCCTTATTTATTAATGTGTTGTAACCCTCCACCACCCAACACGGCCATTCAGTAAAAAAGTGTCACCTTCATAAAAGACGAATAGTTCACTGCTTTAGCCCACCGGTGTGTTCAAGCGTCAAACCACAACCATTAACATTTTTTATGCAACAACAACTATCTCATTACTTCTAAAACCCTACAACGGATCGGCGCGCATCACTAAAACCTTACAACGGATCGGCGCGCCTCACTAAAACCCTACAACAGATCGGCACGCCTCACACAAACCCTACAACGGATCGGCGCGCCTCACTAAAACCCTACAGCGGATCGGCGCGCCTCACACAAATCCTACAACGGAAGCGTAACGCATTGTAGTGTCGTGGTTAGCGCGCCACGCTACGAACCTGGCGACCCGAGTTCGATTCCCACTCACGGCCACCACCGGTGACGATTATTTGAACCGGACCTGGGCCTCCCCTAGGTCGACTCAGCCTCAAACGAGTAACTGGTGTCGTGTGTGAACATCGTCACTGGGGAGACAAAGGCGGCCGGGCGTGGTGAATCCAAGTACCCGGGCGAAGCCGGGTAGTAAAGCTAGTACAACTATAAAACGATGAAAAGTGGATTTCACACCTGATGATGATTGCTTGTGTTGCAGTCGAAACGTCGTGAGAATTTTTATTGTTTTATATTTTTATTATTTTATTCTTTCCCTTCTACGTGACTTTACCGAAAGAACCAAGAATATGAATCCCTGCAGTCACGAAAGCTTTAAATCAAAATTAGGACTTTATTTAGTCTACACATGTAGGCTTTCGCAACCAATATTATCCACAATAGAGTTTTTAGGGTTAGAACCCTATAAATATAAACATGTAAATGTGTTGTTAAACCCGCCACCACCCTTGAGTGAATTAAATATAAATAAAGTATTATCCAAAAACTTCTATTATGGATAAGACTTTATTTGTATTGAATAAACTTAAGGCATTCGTCAGTGACACTGCCTTACAAAATATATAATAGGCGACGTTTTCGGGCAATTAAAGGGGCATACGCTGTGAAAGGTGATTGCCCAAAACGTCGCATGTAAACCAGTGTTTTTGTTTTGTTAATTCTACACAACTGGCAACGCAGCATCACCAAATAATGTCCTGCTAAGTCTTCGTAGTAGGATGCGATGCTGCTGTGTGTAATCCCATTGGAGTAATTAGCTATCTCAGTAAACACGCAACGTTTTCCCAACGTTCTCCATGCAGACAGCCCCGTAGGGTCAAGGGGGCAAGTTGTATGTGCAACGTGTGGCTAAGCAACATTTGGTTAATTCAACTTCATATAACATACATGCTAATTTCTCTAACCCCTCTCTCTCCGCCCCTGCCCCCCTCTCTCAAGCTTTTTACACCTTGCCACTCACCATTTCCACTCATGGACATGCTAATTTCTCTAACCCCTCCCTCTCTCCCCGCCCCCCCCCCCCTTTCTCTATTTAAAGCAATTTTTTTCCCTTATACGTGACTTTACGGAAAGAACCAAGAATAAGAAGTGTACTTGTAAACATCAGATTCTTTATTTGGACTTGAGGAATCCGATGAGCTATGAAACTCTTTTTAAAAGACATCCAGTATGGACAGGGCCGGATTAAGGCACGGGGGCTTTAGGGGCAGCAAGCCCAGAGGCCTCTGCCAGCTGGATGGCCTCCAAATATTAATTGAAAAGTTATTTCATTTGTGAATGCTCAATTTAATTTGTTGTTAGCCTTGTCAATTTTTTTCTTAATAGCTCATCGGGATTCTGCCTGCGGTTAGCAGTGAACTTTCCGTGTCTGTAAAAACTCCATAATATAGGGTTATTTTTGGGTTAGATCACGTAAATGTTGTTAAACCCGCCACCACCAATTAGTAAAGTTTGTCACGTAAACATAACATACCAATTGGTTACTTAGACAGCAACACTGGTGTGTTGGAGAGAAAAGCCACAACATTTACAATCTTATTCTTGGTTCTTTCGGTAAAGTCACGTAAAAAGGAAACAATAAAATAAAAATTTTATAAAACAATAAAATTCTCACGCAAGAAAAAAAAATCTTGCTGTGTTTTTCACACCTGATAATTGCTTGTGTTGCAGTCGAAACGTCGTGAGAATTTTATTGTTTTATTTTTATTTTATTATTTCCCTTCTACGTGACTTTACCGAAAGAACCAAGAATTTGAATTCCTGCAGTCACGAAAGCTTTAAATAAAAATTTACAATCTTAGTATGACGTTTTGCCAGTCATCACAACAAGCATCAGGCGGACAGCCAGCTTTGTGAAGAAATTCAGTTTTGTTCCTTACATAGAGGGAAAGGTGACACATTTATATTTACGTGATCTAACCAAAAAAACATCTATATTATGGATGATATTCTTTATAGATTTTAAGCTTTCGTGACTGCAAGGATTCATACTCTTAGGTTTTTTCGGTAAAGTCACGTCGGTAAAAAAAGAATAATAAAATAAAATAATAATAAATTAAAATAACTAAATTAAATCACTAGTTATTTTCATTTATTATTATTTTATTTTATTTATATATTTTTTATTTTACCTACTTGACTTTAGAATCAGAAAGGGTTTTATTATTATTCGCCATGAAAGTTCGCACAGACAAGGAATTTACTTTGGCAAGAAGGTGCACTCAACATATAGGAATCTTAAATCTTAAATAAGTGGTGTACAAGTCTAACTATACTAAAGGTACAAAGTCTAACTAATACTAAGGAGCTAAAGTATGTAAAAATTGAATAAAATAAATTTAAAATATACAATAGCTATAATATAAAATTACAAAAATGCAAAAAGGGTAACATAGTGCAAATATGGCAGGGTGTCATTGTGCAGATATAGTGTTAAAGTCAGTTTGAGCGTTACCTAAAAAACCTAAGATAATGAATGATATTGATCAAGAAAGATTCCTCCTTTTAAACGCGGCCATTTTAAACGGAGGGGCGTGGCTTATCGCGCGCACGTGACTTCACCCCTCCACTCCTGGGCCCCTCTCCACCACCTGTGCGCTCACGTGACGTACCCCACCGCCCCGCCCCCCATCCGGAGTTGTTGACGTTGTCAATTCGATTCCCCCCGGTAGCGTTCAACTCAATATCGAATCGATTCGTGTCGCGACCGTTAATCCTATCGTGGTCGTCCGCGATTTCGATTCTGTCTCTTGTTACGAATCGATTCAAAACAAATTCTAACTTCGCGTGACAAATCGATTCGATTTTCCCTAACCGAAAGAGAAATCGAATCGATTGGGCGCGGTATGGCGGACAGGGTTGGAGAGACGGATCCAGCGGAGTTCGGCATGAAGACGGACGGCGTGGGACTCGTGGGCAGGCGAGTAACAACAACAACGACGACGACGATGGGGGTCTCACACTCGACACGGCGCACACCGCTAACAGATTCAACGCGTCGCGTGCGGCCTCGCTAGTCAACACGGTGCATTACAGCGTGGTGGTCAATACGGCCTCACTACAGTGCAGTATTACTGTACTGTGTAGAATGTATACAGTAGGGTATATATTCTAGATTTGAAGCTTTCGTGACTGCAAGGATTCATACTCTTAGGGTTTTTTTCGGTAAAGTCACGTAGGTAAAAAATAATAAAAAATAATAATAATTATATAAATAAAATAATCTTTTATTTCTCTTCTTGGTTTTTTCGGTAAAGTCTTTACCGAAAAAACCAAGAAGATGAATCCCTGCAGTCACGAAAGCTTTAAATCGAAAAATATTTTATTTCTATTATTATTTTTTACCTACGTGATTTTACCGAAAAAAACCTAAGAGTATAGTAGGGTATATACTACATGACCGGTTTATATAATGCGTAGCTGTCAACCCATAGGGTTTACCCCGTATTCTTGTACAGGGAAATTGAGTTTTCAGGTCCATACAGCGTACAGCGGTTTTCAATAAGGGCAACAAAATTCTTTTTTTGTGTTTATCCCTTTGTAGTGGAACTTTGTTGGATGAACGTTGAGATTCATAAGGGGCACGGGGTGATGAGTAAGATCTGAATTGGTCTGTAATACGGTAGGCACTGATATAAGTATGTGGTATATAGTAGTGTATAGTATCATACCTGTCAACCATTACGGTTTACCCCGCATTATTGTACAGGGAAATTGATTTTGCATGCCCATACGGCAGGCAGCCGTTTCAATACGAGCAAAATAAATGTTTTGTCTATTTGTTCGTTTCTCCCTTGTGATGAGACTTTGTGGGATGGACGTTGAGATTTTTAAGGGCACGGGGTGACCAATAAGGTCCTGAATTGGTCTGTATATAATGTAGGGCGCTGATAAGGGGTTGACAGGTATGATAATGTACAGAGAGAAGAGGTGGCGTAGTGGATGGGATCGAACCCACGGCCTCCTGCATGCCAGGCGAGGTAGTTAACATCTCGCCACCGCGAGTTCGGCGTTAGACATGGCCTGCTAATCAATACGGTACATCACAGCGTACGAATCAATACAGCCTCACTGCAGTATATGCTACTGTATATACTATATCTCATGGTCCAATCTAAAACTGCATCCGCACAAACCATGGCAGCAGATGCGGATACCTGATGCACGAATGGAAACTTAAAAAGTCTTCAGTAGTGTGCGAATGTGGTCATCCAGAAGAGACCGTACAACGTATAACGACGCAATGCCCAATTCAGTTTAACACGAAGGCTTTCGCGACCAATATCCATGATATAATGTTTTGGGGTTTGATCGCGTAAACATAAATGTGCCCTTAAACCCGCCACCACCCGACACAGCCAATTAGTAAGGTTTGTCACGTAAACGGAACATATTCGTTACTAGTGTAACGACGACTTGACACACTTCTCTTGACGTGCCACTTTATTGAAGACACGTTCACTTGACACAGGCGGAGACCCCATTGCAACAGCCCCGAGTCTCCCGTGCATCTCCCTTGTATACGGACCGCGGCCACGCCCCCCTTCCCGAACCTTCTCGCTTACTCTGGACGCTCGCTCCACCAGCAGATTCTACCGTCCACTTCCGTCACCTGACCACGCTCCCTTCTCGATCATTCCCGTAGCCACCAGTCCCTTCGCACTCACAGCTGACACTCCTGTCATTAGTTCCTGTGGCCACTAGTGCATTCGCACTGTAGGCTGACTCCCCTGTCATTACCTTCCGTGGCCACTAGTCCACTCACACTGCATGTAGACTCTACTGTCATTACACGAGTACAGCACACCGATGTGTTGGAGAGCAAATCCACAACATTTAAAATCTGAGTATGAGGTTTAGCCAGTAATTACAACTAGCTTAATCAGGCAACAGCCAGATTTGTGGAGAAATACTCCTGTTTCGTTCCAATTCACAATTACGAAGGAGACATCACAGAGATACAACTTCGCTACTCCTGACGCGGTTGTCTGGGCTTGACCACCTGTTTTGCATCTACGTCAGCCATACTAAAGAAGAAGAAGACTACAGTAACAGTGTATGTATGTTGAACTTCTTTCGCACTATATGTAGCCAACCGCGCTTATTGGAGATGCGGGGAAGGACAACAATATAATGTACAGGCAGAAGCGGTGACGTAGTGGTGAGCGCATTAATAACCTGACACAGAGACCCAGCCACGGGCGAACAATTCCCAACCGGCACTGACCAACGTGGTGAAGTATGGGCAAACAACAGCCACGTCCCCCGTGGCGTGAGGAGGCTCTCATCTATCAGTAGATTGTATGCATTGTACTGCCCTTGGACATGTACACACGGATTTCTCACAATTGACTCAGCGCCCAGTAAACATCCTGGTGGTGGCGGTGTGCGTTAAATACCCGAAGTACACCACACACACAATATTAGAAAATAGGATTTGACGTGTCCGACCAACACGCACGTGTCTGCTACGTCTTCAGAAAGAGCGGTCGGACAAATGTTGATGCATTCTCCACTGAGGTGTCATCATATCTTCATGGATGTTCTTGGCATTTCGTTACAATATTTTATACTGTACGACGCAAGTTCCGACCCTCCATGTGTTTATGAAACATTGCATGTGCTGCCCCTTTTGTCGAATCGTTGCTCAATGAAGGCTACCCGAAAGTCGTGCTGGTCGTGGGGGTTATCTGATCAGATTTCACCACGCTGGTCAGTACTGTTTGGAGAAGATGGGGAGCACAGACGTGACAACAAAGTTGCGTAACATTACCATTTAAATTTTTATTTCATGCTGCCAAAACACCACCCCCCCCCCCATGCACTGGTACATCAGCCTGAGTATTCAACGTACACTTATAATTAATCGTGTTCCATCCACTGCCTGATGAAGGCCTCCCCACATCATCGCTTTCTTTGGCGGTCCTGTGATGCCATCTCATTCCACCACGGTCCTCTTGCACTGCAGCGTGATTCCCCTTTGACTGACATTCAATCACAAATATCGACCGTCTTCCCAGCTACAAAACGTGTCTTGTCCAAGCTCTTCGACCTTTCTTAAGTCAACATGATGTCTGTGATTTGCATTAGTTATAATCACTACTGTGTTATCAATGAATTTTAGTGAATAATTTTACTATTTATCTTGATTTTTCCAACAGAATTTCGGAAAATATCTTCAGTGTCATTGTAGAGAGCCGTAGAGAGACAGTTATCTGCTTACCAGACACCTCTTCTGATTTGTATATTATGCTTTCTTGAGATTGTTAAATATTTAAATAATGAATCGATGCTTCACCAAATACATGTGAGAAGTGGATGTGTTTTGTTGTTAATTTTAAATGTCCTAAATATAATTTGTGAACTATTAAAATAGAGTACTGTATGTATATAGTTTCCCAAACCTTGTGCATTCTAAAGAACCTTAATATTCAAAATTCCCCCACCAAAAAAATATACAGTTTGGAATAGCATATACATCGAGTTGACACCCAAAAATAATTAGGATGGAAGTACATGTTTTAGGTGGGGCTCCACAGCACTATTTGACTAATTTTCTCTATAACTATATTGCATGATTTGTACACAGTTCCAAATGCATATTTTCCAGGACACATGACTGAAGTACAATACTTTCGTGTGTGATCTTTGTCCACATTTAGTTAACTTCAAAGGGGGACAGTACTGTACATGCTTTTAGCATGCCCATTAACATGGCCATTACTTGAATCTCTGAAGCCTCACAGAAGCAATATTGTTTGGCGGTTGCAGCCTGGTTGAGAGCAATGACGTTTTGAGTAATGACGTGTGCTTGAGAAGGGCACGGCCAAACACTCCCCCGTCCACCTTCCACGTCTACGTGGCAAGTATTTACCCTGGCATTTTGGCAGTGACCAATGGGTGTACTGTGGAGCATTACTATTTTAAGATCACGTTCATATTTCTCACATGACCGTGACTCATGTCCAACTTAAAATAATTGTCGTATGCCAGTTAAGCTTAAAATGCTAATCGCCGTGCAAACATAGGTTTCCAGTCCTGAATGTAAACGTATTATGTACATGCAGTATTTATCTGTATATAGCAGTGCATATTCGCCTAGTTCTATTTTAATTTATGTTTAATTCCATGAAAAATGTTGGTTCCCTTGCTTAAACAAACACCCAGTATAGCCACGAGGTATACGTTATTATCGATATTAAACGAAGCTGCTTAAAATACACATTTTCATAATTTACAAAGACATAAAATTACTTTTTAATGATAATACTCAAATAATACTTTCTTGGTCAGGCTATTGCTTGTGTCATTTATTCAATCACCAGTTTGTTTTGTAATAACTAGCCTTGCGTCTGCAAGTGAAACATAAACCTAAACATGACTATAACTGGAAAATAAATTAAACCCGAATTGAAAAATTTGACTGACTTGCTAGACAAGCTAAAACATACCTAGATATGTCAGATCACACAGACTTTGTGTGTGCAAGAATTAAGTGTGTTCACTGTCCTTTTGGTTGTCTGCATTTTCCATGAGTCTTCCAGTTTCCCCCCATTTCACAAACATACTCATTACGAAATCGGCCAAACATCTCGAGCAGGACACTTGTAATTGGAGTATTGCAACTCAGTTGAGGCTTCCCTGGCTATAGCAATCTTTTTGCTAATGTATTCATTCAAAACTTTACAAGTGGTGGTATGCATGGGTCGGTGTATTGGTATAGTTGTTTGTGCACTTTGTTATGAAGTGAATTTTATTTCTGGCCATAGTTAACATCAGTAGCGAATATCTTTGGTTCTTCCGGTAAAGTAACGTAGAAAGAAAATTAATTAAATAATATTATACGAGGCGTTGTTTCTCTGTCTCTGTGTGTCTCTTAAATGTAGCAATCTTTGGAAGAACGTAATCAACCAGGTAGGGTGTTGACTGTTGTGTTAGCCGACTCTCTGTTCTGTGTTGTATTGCATTATATTTCTAAGTTCACTAGGTTTGTTTTCTCATTCATTCTTACCTGATGACGGTTGCTTGTGTTGCAATCGAAATGTATTTTATTATTTAATTTATTTTATTTCTACGTGACTTTACCGAAAGAACCAAAGAGTAATTCCTGCAGTCACGAAAGCTTCAAATTAAGTTTAGTAGCAAATATCTGAACCAGTCCCCCCCCATAGGTCAACTCGGCTTTCATGGTTATTTACATCAACATAGGCAATTGCTGGCCTCACCATCGCCTGGCCTACCTTGTTGACCTTAATAGGTGCTTGCTAAACAACACGTGGCACTATGGCCTATAAGACTAACAACGGAAAAAACGCTTGCTATTATGTGGGTGTGTGTGTTTGCAGGCTGGGGCGAGTACACGCATGGGTACAGCAACGGCGCACATTGCTGCGCCCCTGGTCCTCCTTTGTGGAGCAGAAGCGTTTCACGCGGCCACGCGACCTGAGCGAGCTCTGTCGGCGCGTTGTCCGCAATGGCGAGCACTTCCAGGCCAACTACATGATGGTGTTCCTCGGACTCGCCGTGTATTGTGTGTACGAAATCGCACCCTGCAACACCACAGGGTTCTGTGATACCGCGACAGTCAGTAACACTACGACACTCCGTGATACCTTAACATTCCTTAACATCACAACAATGTGACTGCATAATATCATGGAAATAGGGGATCATGTGACACTCTACCACCATGACACTGATATTGTGATGCTGCACACCATGACAGTAGAGCACAATGTGACACTCAGCAACCCCACAACTCTGACACTGGACACTCCATAACACCATGATACTTCTATGTCTGTTATACTCCACCACAATGTCATTACAGGGACTCTTTTTAAAACATTGATATTAAGCTTTAGAGACAGACTGGATTTGAATTTTGCATTTAGACATGCGTCTTCCATTTGGTTTATGACCAAATCAACTGGAACGTGCCTGGTCTTGTTAGATCTCGGAATCGAATCAGGGTTTAGCCTTGATAGGGATTTGATGGGCGACCACTATGTATGTCACAGGTGTTTTAGGGTGTTGTGGAGCTGCTTTGTCAGCAGAGGGGAGTGCAGCGCAGCATATTCCACTGCTGTACCATTCTTTTATGTTCCAATGTCTATGCTCCCTGCCTATACGTACCTGCACTGAAAAATATAGTGAAGTATTATCAAATAATCCCATGGCCCGCACAGTGTAGAAAAGCCTTCCAGAAGTTGATAGGCAAAATACCCATACATACATGCACTCATTTTATTTGACCATGTGGTGTTTTACGTGGATGTGTGGCGTGGTACTTTGGCTGTGCAGGATGACCTCGCCTATGCTGCTGCTTGCCCTCGCCGTGTTCCTGGGCGCGTGCTACATCATCAGCCTGCGCTCACAGACCTCAAAGCTCGTACTTATAGGTGCGCTGCCCGTGCACCTACACCACAGGGGAATCTGAAAGGCGCCTTTTGTGATTGCGTTAAATTTTAAATCAAAGTAAAAAAATGTAGTTTGCCAAATCTCACAGAAGGGAAATGGCAATTAAATCATCAACACACAGGCCTTCCATTTGTTTGGGGAAGGCAGCATTTGAAGTGTTTTTTTTGTGAGTGGGTGCAGTGCATGTAAATGTGGAACTGGTTATATAAGTTGTGGGGAGTGCATTTTGATATCAATATTCTAGCTCCTGCCTGCAAAAGAAATCTGGACTCTATTGTATGTAGGGTGTGTAGGCATATATGCCTACAAAAGACATTTATTTTTTGGGGAGGAGGTGGGGGGAGTGAAAAAAAATTTGGTAGGGGTTGACAATTTTTGGAAACTTGTTGGATAAACTTTTTACACCCACATAACGTTTTGAGTCAGGCCTTCTGAAAGGCTCTTTTAATTTAGTTGACGGATAAACGGACAAACAGAAAGTCGGGATTTTACTTTCGATAACACCTCGGTGATATAATGGCTATTTGAACTTTGCTTGGGCCTTCCATAGTACTACCTCACCTAAAACACATGCCAGGCACAATATGTCAATATCCTTTGCCAGCTTTAGTGCTCTTTAGTAGATTCTGAATGTTGAATGGCGATTGTGTTGTGTGTGCAGGTCGTGAGCTGAGTGTGACACAACAGTACGGGGCAGCAGCAGGCGTCTCCTTTCCACTTTTCTGGCTGGCTGGCGCTGGTTCTGCTGTCTTCTGGGTTCTTGGTGAGGCACAGGGTCACTGTGTGCACACTCCTAACAATACACACACACACCCTTGTGTGCCTTGTGAATGTGTGTATATTTGTTGTGTGTGTGTATATTTTTTTATATGGGGAGTGGTAGTGCAACAGTTAGCGCGCTGCACTACAAACCCGGCCACCCCAGTTCGATTCCTGCTCACAGCCAACACCTGGGCTTCCCCAAGGTCGACTCAGCCCGAAATTATTACTGGTGCGGTGTGTAAACATCGCCACTGGGGATACAAAGGCGGCCGTGCATGGTGCTGGCCACCCACCTCTTGTGCCATGCCGGCCTTCATAGGTGCTCACTAACAGGACTTGCTCCAAAAGTCTGTTAAGGCTAGATGGAGGATCTTTGTCTTTGCGTATATATGAAGAACAAGTGCAGTGGATCATGCACTGATCTATGAACCCAAACCATGGATAACTTTAGTCTCAAGTGGTATCCAAACTTGTCCTCAGTCTCCCCTGAGTCGACTTAATCTTAAGATTATTATTGTATGAACATCAGCAGTGGGGAGACAAAGCCAGCCGGGCATGAGGTATTTACCACTCGCTTGGATGTAAAATCGGCATTAATTAATACTTGCTAACAACACTGGAAAATACTGCAAACTGAATACGTAAGAAGAGAGCCACTTTATTTACACACGAGAATTGAACCTTACAATACTCTAGCACCATGATATTTTAAATAATAAAAAAATCACTCATCTTTTTTTCTGGAAGCTCAAAAAACCAGAGTAAAGTCCACTTATTATTTACAAACTCATTATCCATTGTTGTGGAGCAGAACTTTTTCCACATATAAATGTGAATTAGTCCATTGGCTTGCTTGCTTTCCAGACCAATGTTTTCCAGCATAATTTATTTAAGCAAGTAAACTCTGGACTGGTTTTGACCTTATTTTGTACCACATTAGCAGAATCAGGCTTTTTAAACAAATGCTGAGTTACAAAATGTTATGATGATTATGTGGTTGCATAATAATGCCTGAGGCTTGAGAGCGGTAGACTAACCTGTCTACGTACCAACAGGTGCGACTCTGTTCGTCATCGGCGGCCATGCCTCGCTGCACTGAGCTGGAACAAAACGACTTTGAGGAGCTGCAGATGGAGAGTGTGTAACCGTGGTCGTGGTGGTGGCGGGGTTGCCTCCAACAGGGGCACTGGCACAGTCACCGCTGAACGCGCCGCCATGCCCCCCCACACAACCGCCAATATCTGTTATCACGGTGTCCTTGCCAAGCACCGGTTGTGTGTGTGGTGCCGTATTGATGCACACCAGCAAGTTAACATACCTTGGCACTTTCCTGTGTGACATGAGTCAGTGATGCACTTTCCTGCTATTGCTTTCACATGACTTTTCAGATTACGTAAAATATTTTCTATGTTTAGATTGTTCTGGAGGTGTTATTATGAATGTACATATGTACATATAGTATACCATATTACATTCCTTATATTGCCATGTGGTGAAGGTTATTTTTTTTCAAATACATTTAATGGTAAAAATGGAAAACAAGAACAGGGTATGTGAATACGAGTTTGAGAATTGCTGTGTAAAACATTGAAATGCTTTGCAAAAGAAAAATGATTAAAATACACTTTACATTGTGATTGCATTTTAATAACATGCATACAGTTTATCTGTTTCCATATTCAATACCCCTGGTTGTTGTGGTGATTGCTTGTAACTAATAATCTTTAGTTTTAAAATATGTTGAGGGATACAATAACGTGTTTTGGGAAATAGGATTACATTCAATAACCTCCCAAAGTGTGCAAATGTTACTTGCCCGCCTCATAAGTGAATGGATACGTACACAAACCATTTGTGAGGTGAAACAGACCACTTGCAATTTCTGATTTTCACTCGTAGCCCTCATTTTCTGACGTGGGTGAGGTGGCTCAAGATTGCTCTTTAGAAACCTGACCATTGCTGAGGTACTGAAAGTTATGGGTTCTTAGCTGGGGGTCCAATGGGGACATGAGTTGGCTCCAGTTCTGATGGCCATAGGGGAACTCGTGTTTTGTAGCTGCTGATGACATACGTCAGATTAATATGAAGGTGAATACAATAATATGCCTGTGGGTGAAGGGCTATAGCCTGACGTCCAAGCTTGGTTTTTTCCTGGAAACCTGAGGTGGATCTGAATATCCTACCGGACCTGTAGCCACTGCATATCCCTGGGTTCCTTTGATGCCGTCGCGGTCTGTGCTGGCATGTCTATAAAAAAGACAAGTGACATGGAGTTAACACCACGTGCATTTGTCATTAGCCACAGCTTGTCTGGCTTAGCATATACATACCTGCAAATCAATATTGCTCTTTTTGATGGGGGGGGGGGGGTTGGGAGGATCTAAAAATGTTGGTAACACCTTGCAACTGTATGAAGTTGTGGAGAACAAGCTTTTAGGGCACCGGCTGTAATGAAAAGTTTTACAAAATGTAATAAAAACTATGAGAGTATGCACGTCTTCATTTCTAAGCTTTTGCCTTTTTAAGATATTGCAGAGCACACTAATGTATGCGATATATTTATCTCTACGATGATGGTTATGGGAAATGGTAGCATCGTGTCTGGGTCGGCTTAAAACAGGTGTGGTCACCACAGCCTGTTTGCACAGAGCTGATGGCTCAGTTACTCCCAGTTAATGAGTTGATGGCTGAGTTACTCTGCATAATTAATGAAGGATATGACCAAAGTGCACTGCAGCAGAGCAAACGTTTAAGATCCTCTTACCTCGTTTGCAAAAATAGATCGCATGTTGGACTAGTATCTCGGAGCACAATTGAAAATGTCTCGCAACAATTACAGAATAACCTCACCCTCTATTATTTCCCAAGTGTCCCTTGTTTAAAGTGATGTCGGTACAATGTTTTCATCTGGATGACTGAACCTTTAAGTGGGGTCTGGCGATGTAGTGTCGAGGATAAATTATAAAACGCAAATAAATTGGTGGGCGCGGGGAATTGGTGTTGCCGGCCAAAGGTGACGTGTATGCAGGACCTCACTCGTGAGGTTCTTCAGATTCCAATGCTTATCTCTAACCCATTGAACATGAAACATTGGGCCAACGTGGGTCCAACGGTTCCAATCACATGCCAATGTTGGCCCAACGCAGCATGTTTAAGGAAATTGCTTGGTTATATTTTTGGTTCTTTTGTGTGCTAAATAATACAAAATGAAAATTCTGTACAATCGCTGTAACTGAGTTGGCTTCAAAAATAAAACAGGTTGTGTAACACGAGATCCGTGGTTCCGTGTGTAGTGACTCTTTCTCGTCACGATATGGTGCCGGGGCTTGTGAAGTCACGGCAGGTAATGTCATTACGGGCAGCCGGGTTATTGGCTGCAGTACCAATCCTAGCGGTGGTTGGGTGAGCGCTGGTTAGCGTGGAGGCACCGCGAGCAGTGTGCGATACCGGCTCCCAGTGAGGGAGCGAGAGGGAGCATCAGCCAGGGTTACTCTGGGGCATGACACTGGCTGAGCTGTTGTCACGTGACCGGACGATACTGGAGGGGGGCCACCGGTGGACGGGGGCCGAGGGACGGTCACGTGGTCCCGAGGGGCTCTCGGGAACATTCGAGAAGGAGCTCGAGAAGCCTGGAAGGTGGGCGGGTCTAAGGGCGGAGCCAGCCCGGGAGCATTTCATGAGAGCTTCGTGAGAAGCTCGGGGGTTCTTCAAGTGTTGGTGTTGGCAGATCCACGTCGGGGAGAAGAAGCTTCTTGCCACGTGGTCCGGGACCCAGCTTGTGGTCCGGACCGGGATAGCGAAACGTGTCTAGTTTAGCCGTAGCGTGGTTAGATGGGCATTCGAGACCCGAGTGTAGATCGTGTTGTGTTACATGTTAATGCGGAATAAATAGTGTTGCTCCCAAGATAATGTCTGCGACACAGTTGGACTCACTACAAGTGCATTACTAATTCGGTGTGCCACTGGCTCGGACGAATGTGCCAGTTGAAGGTTTTGTTTCACTGCCTCTACAATATTTTTTTTACAAAACCTCATTCCAAAAAAAGCATGAACCTTTGTAAATCTTCCATAGAGGTTTTTGGGTTAAATCGTGTAAATATATAAATGTGTCAATTGGTTTTTTACCCTTTTATCTGGCAACAAAACTGACGCCTTTTTTTTTACAAGGAGTCATGTTTGCATTGAACACAATACCTGCAGTCGGAATGCAAACAAAAAACAACATAACTCTGATAATGTATGCACTATCCTTGTAATTGATTGGTCCATACCCGAGACAGCTTTCCTTAGAGCCTCGTCTCACATGGTGTTGGACCAGATGACGCCAAAAGTTGTTGCCAGATAAAAGGGTATAAAAACAATTATCATATTTTGCTACTGGCAAATGAGGCTCCAATGGTATAAATGTGTCGTTAAAACCTGCCACCACCCGACACAGCCAACTAGTAAGGGTTGTCACGTCAACAGAACATGCCAATTCGTTACTAGTACAGCACTAACCGGTGTGTTGGGGAGCCAAGCCACAACATTTACAAACTGAGTACGAAGTTTTGCCAGTAATTACAACTAGCTTCATCAGGCGACAGCCAGATTTGTGGAGAAGTCTTACTGTTTCGTTCCTTATATAGAGGCGTAGATGTGTTCACCACCCTTCTGCGCTTTTGCACAATGTGGGGGGGGAGGAGGATTACTGAGGCAATGTACATTATGCATGTGCATTATGTGAGCCCTTTTAACTTGTCCTTCCTGTCTATTGTGTTTATAAAAATAGCCCTACCAACGGTAATCCCTATTGAAGTACGCTGCCCTTTGTAGGCATGCATTTAAATAATGTCGTGACAGCCCGGACGGCTGTATGTTACACGTGGGGGGATGTCGTGACAAATGACGTCACTACCATGTCGGGTCTGTACACACGCGCGCGTCCATAGGTGCACATTCACACCCTTGCTGCAGACACACTCAACTTTCAGGGTGCGTACGGCAGTAAACGACTGAAATAATAAAGCCGCAATGCTGCGCGAAGAACGCCTTAGACCTGCAACACATTTGTATGGCACTTTACTCGCGGAGGGTTGGGGGATGCGTGACGTGAGCAGCCACACTGCGTGACGCTTCCGCACACGGGTCACATGACAGATGTGACGTCACAGCTCACTTGCCGTGCAAAATATATCCATTATTGCGCCCCCCCCCCCCAAAAAAAAGTATATTTTTAAATCCTTTATATTAAGTTCGCTTGCTTGCTTGCGTGCTTGCGTGCTTGCTTGCTTACGACCGTGCAAATCTTTCGGTCGTTTTTTAACCCACTTCCCGTGATCCAATCGAGCTGACATTTTCCACACAAACTCGTTGTGCGTGACAATACATTTTCATTAAAAAAAATTCCAAAATTTTACACTGTTTAGGGAAACAAATTTAAATATTTAATTACCAATTGCTTAATGCTGGCAGACAATCATCTGACCCATAGGTGGCAGCCATCTCAAGCCAGAGGACGAGAGGACTCTAGCCGCCACGTATATAAAGGATTTAGAGGGAAAACTTTGTTTTTACGGGTTAATTTTTTATACTTTTTGCATTGTGTACAGTCTGGAAAGTACCCACATGGCAAATTTTAAGTTTGTTGCATGTCGGAAAGTATGCTAAACATTTAAAACAGACACACAAAATCAAATGTTTTCGTTCCGGATGACCGCTGCAACGTATGATCTTGTGTTTTTATTTAGTGTGCTGATCTTTAAAGGTGCATTTGAAACATTTTAATACTCCTACTGATGCTCCTGCTGTTGTGGAGTGACTCATGCAGACAGCTATGGCTACAGGGTTTGGTGGTACATGTTGTTAAGGTAGTTTATTGTGAAATTTCGGTCACAGTTCCTATGATCACTGTTACATTGCTTATGGCTTTATACTGGTTGGAACCTCCTGGTTACATCAGCCCACAGGGGATTATTGTGTCTGTCCGTCGTGCAGGGAGGGGCTGGGTGCGGAGGGAGGGGAGGGTGGGGGGGCTGGGTGGGGGGGCTGGGTGGGGAGGGGCTGGTGATCCCGTGGTGCCCTTATTAAACTCAACGTTTAACCTACTCACGCCGGCTTGTACCCGCCCTCACAGTCGGGCATATTTGCGGAATACACCACGCCGCCGTTGACCCTGGCCATTGACCGAGCAACCCAACGTTCCTACCAGCTCCCTCCGCAGGAATGTGTTTTTGGTGATTTCGAAAACTTTTTTGGTTTGGCCATGTTTGTTTGTTGTATTACGTAGTTAGAATGATGGCTTTAATTTAAATTGTCTTGTGGTAGTTGTTGTTGTTTGACTTGTATCCCACTGTGATTTTTGCACAGCGTTGGTGTACGGTGCTTTAATTCTGGAAGACTTTGCAGTTTTTTCCTGGATTTTTCTGTTTGCGCATAGTCACTTTAAGATGTTTTCTTGTTCATGTTTTTTGTTTGTTGCGGTTGCACCCGATTCAAGAGACAAATGGCTCACAGGGCTATACCAATTAAATGAAACTGAAAACTGAAACATATTCACAAATTTCCCTTTTATCTATATATAAAAATATTATTATATTAAGGTGTTGTTAATTAATTAAATAGCACCACAGCATTGCCGCGTTACCTGTGCGCATTGTGGTCCAGAGATATGCGACGCTGGCCCCCACCCACCCACCCCCCGACGCCCTTCAGCGCGGACTACTTGCGACGCGCGGAAGTCGAGAAGACGTCGACTGCCAAAAGCCGATTTACACCGTTCACGGCGGCAACGCGGCAGCGGCGGCGGATGACTCGCACGCTCTGCCGACGTCACGCCCGAGCCGACCGTTTGATTTCGCAGAGCGCGTGCGCGTCGCCGTCCGTATCGTCGTTTTCTATTGGGTTTTGCAGTGACGTCACGCGTATATTAGCCAATGGAGTGCGGCGTTACGGAACGGCGCGCCTATCACGGTTGGGAATTACAAAGGGCAGGGTTGAAGTGGCTTCTCCCCCCCCCGCCCCCCTTTAACCCCGCCCCTCGATCCCACATAACCCCCTCCCAGCCCCGCCCCTCGATCCCACCCTCCCTCCCTCTTCCCCGTCCATCCCCAGGTCGCACCTCCTCGCTCCTCGCTCTTCCCCAAGCGGTGAGGATGCTGTTATTGGCGGGCACCGGTGGCCGATTTCGCGTTCCCCGTCGCGCGCGAAGTCCCTCGCGAAACGCTGACGGCCGCTCGGCGATTGCGGCGACGAGAGGCGGTGGCGGAGGGTGAGCGGACGCGACTGCGAAGCCTGGGCCTAGGGCCTACCTCGTCGCCCCACCCCCGCGTCGCCGCGCGGTTAAGGAGCGAGAACCCCGACGCCGTGAGACGCTCGGTGGCTTCCCGAACACGTCTGAGCGCATCAAGGAGACGTTTAGGCGTTCGTTTGACAGGGGAAAGAGGCGGCGGCGCGACCTCGAGCGCGGTCTTTGTTGTCGGCGGAGCTGCGTGAGAAGCCTGGGCCTAGGTCAGGCGAGGAGACATGAGGCCTGAAAAGCGTCGCGTGGAGGGGGGATCCCAGTGGCGGCCCCATTTCAATTTGTTTCCGAGTTTGTAGTTTAAAGTGAGAGGAATGATTAAGTTACCGAAGGTGCTTTTTATGCACCTGACCGCTTGGATGGACACACTCGACGTTGGGGGTGAGGGGGGGGTTAGATAGGGCAATGTGCAGATGAGCCCTGGAGTAAGGAGGGGCATCGGTAGAAGGGATCTTCTCCCCGTGAGGACACTGGTGAGACGATGAAATGTTTGATGTGGGGGACACCGGAGTGGGTGATTTGCTAAAATTAAAGGCGGGGGTGGAGTGTCGAGGTAGACTCGGGATTTGCAGGGACAGCAAGTTGGGCGTAAGGGGAGAGAGAGACCGGGATTAGAGAAAGAATGGAGCAGGGGAAAGGCCGGCGGATATATGGGGAGATCAGCATCGGGGGAGATAAATTTGGTCGGACTGAAGCCGGTCCTGTGTGCGGATACCTCGAGAGTACAGCACCTACTCCGGGCCGGGATTAATTTTACACAAAGGAGTGTTTCCTTTGATGGCTTTTTGAGGTTTCCTGCACATTCTTAAAACGACGTCGCTTGGAACAAAGTCTGGTCCTGTTTCACAGACGGCCAAATCTGCGTACTTTTACATAAAACAGGTTATATGTTATGCATGCATTGTGCACAATTGTGTGCATACATAATATCACAAGATATTGCATGGATATTTTTGTGTTTTTTGTAATGTTTTCATTGCATGTTTATTGTATTTAACAAACGTGTTTTTTGATCATTGGGACTGATATTATTCATTCATTAATCCCCCCCACTTCGCGCAAGAAGAGTACGCAAGTGTTGTCATCACATCTACGCCTCTTTAAGGAACGAAACAGGTGGACTTCTCCACAAATCTGGCTGTCGCCTGATGATGCTAGTTGTAATTACTGGCGAAACGTCGTACTCGGATTTTAAATGTGGCTTGGGTCTCCAACACACCGGTGTGCTGTACTAGTAACGAATTGCCACGTTCTGTTTACGTGACAAACCTTACTAATTGGCAGTGTTGGGTGGTGGCGGGTTTAACGACACATTTGTATATATTTACGAAATCTAACCCCCACAAATGTCTTATTGGTATGATTGATCCGGAAAGTATTTTACGTGCGATTGTCCAATATGCCGTACCTAACCGCGTGAAAATGTTCGAGTAAATCTACAGAAATAATTGTAAGAAAGGTGTCGATAGAATTGTCTTTTTTTTGCCAACACCAATCGCGTCAATAAGCCGACTGGATGAGCGTCCTGTTTACTACCGACGGGGTCGGTCCATGGGGCAATTAATGATTTACACGCTCTGGAAACGATGCAATGTACATAAATGTGTCATGAATGTGTATACCGATTCATGTACTGTATATCTAGATTCAAGAATTGTTTGTAGTCATTGGTATGGCCTTCGTTTAGTATATTGCTTGTTCCGTTTTAACCATTAATGCTAAACGTTATGTAATATCGTATTTCTTATGCCCGATTTTTGTTTTTTTTGCGTATAAATTGTTCAACGTCATCTCGAACGCTGAAGTAGTCTACCCTCATCAGCCATGATACATCCACTTCTGAATCAAGGTCTCCCCAAGCAGTCACATCGCTCGTGTTCCCAGAATGTGCAACAATCCACCTTAGCACCTGCACACGAGTTGATGCTATCGTTCCATCTCCACCGTGTACCCTGTTGTTATTCTTGACACCCGGCCAACACACCGGCAAAAAAAAGTCTCAAACCTGTGTAATTCTCTAATTCACGTGATATATCTGTCTATTTTATTTCAAGCGTGTACCTGTGCTTTGGCCACTTTTGAGCTTTTAAACGTATTTTCTGTTTCACGCAAAGGGTACGCTTTAATTCCACGGAGTCCTGTTTTTATCGTTAGACCAACTATAAAAAAAAATCCAATACAGTACGATCATTTTTCTGAACAGAGTATGACATTTTAATTCCTTCGTGTCACGGGGAATTATGGGTACCTGGGACGTCACGGTCGCTGGAGGAGGAAGCTGAGTGCGACTAAGCATTGCCTCCCATTTTGGCTGTCGCAGCCGAGATAATTAAAATACATGCACCACAAGGGTTAGTATATCAATATATTTATCGGTGCAATTGTCACCCGGTTGTGAAAAAATTCCAGTTGTGCAGGGGATAAATCGTTACATAAGTCAATTTCTCCTGTAGCGTGCAAAAGTACAGTGGGATTAGTCGAGTGTCACCGTGTCTTTGTGTCCAGCTATGCTTGCCCATGCTAATTAAATAGAGCGTGATATCGCTTTGTGCAACTGGACTCGATCTGGAGGGATTGCAGCTGATACGCTAATCTGCAGGCTTTTAACTATCGATTCCTTGATTAATGTGTATCGAACTGATTATTTTGACATATGCATGCATATTTAACGCATTTTTCACTTTAGTTAATGGTTGCACTGCGTGAGATTGTACAAACTAGGTGGTACAGACGGCACTAAACGAGAGAAACTGAAAACGGGCAACAAAACGAATATATTTAGTATTCTTGGTTCTTTCGGTAAAGTCGCATAGAAGGGAAATAATAAAAATATAAATTGTCACGACGTTTCGACTACAGTCGACTACAGTCGAAACGTAAGAATTTTATAGTTGTATACTTTTATTATTTTATTATTTCCCTTCTACGTGACTTTACCGAAAGAACCAATAATATGAATCCCTGCAGTCACGAAAGCTTTAAATCATAATATATTTTGAATAGAATTGTGACATTAGTTTTGTTGCCACCCAAAGGTGTAAGTTTCTGTGTAAATCTAAGCATGAAGTGAAGACGTGAATCGTTTATCTAAATGCGGTAAATCTTATCAATTTGCTAGCAGAAGGTTGCCGATTGTCCCAACGTGTTCTGCGCTAATTGTTGCTTTTGATGTGGAGGTTGAATTATAATTAGGGATGATAATTATCATCCCGCCTCTCATCACAGGCTCTCCTGCTAGTGTATGTTGGCGCAGAATAAAATGTGAGGAGTGGCACTAATGCACCAATACAATTCTCCCCACACAGTTGTAGATTTATTTTCCACTTGAATTGTTGCCAGGACTGATGAGTTGCACCTCATTAGTTTCCTACCACACCACTGAGGCTCTGCTCTATATTGATTCTGTGAAAACTAGCACTTAGGAAATTAGGATTGATATTGGATACCGGAGGCCAGAGCCAGATCATAGCCATGACTCTTGTCCTCTTCTTGGTTCTTTCCGTAAAGTCACGTAGAAGGGAAATAATAAAATAATAAAAATAAAACATAATACAATAATTCTCACTACGTTTCGGCCACAACGCAAGCAGCCGTCCTCAGGTGAAAAACAGGTCTGTCGGAAAGACGGCGTCTGAAATTTCAGACGCTGTCTGACGCTGTCTGAAATTTCAGACGCTGTCTTTCCTTCTACGTGACTTTACCGAAAGAACCAAGAAGATGACTCTTGTCCTGTTACTAAACATGCTCATCAAGAGCTTTTTAGCGTTTCCAGTATTTACCTCTTGCAGAGATTATTGATACCACACTGGTTACTTTTTAACTTTGCTGGGATGAAACTTTATTATTCGGTCATGATCATGTGGGACTACAGCAAGAAACAACTGCTGAAGAAGGCGAGAGAGCTGCCGTGGCACGAGGTTATATAGACTATATGGGTCGGGGCTAGAGATGGGTGGGGGGCAGAGTAACATCTGTGGCGGCGACGTGAGAACTAGGGGGAGAGAGAGAGGTGGGGGGTTGCCAATGCAGCTACAATGCCAATGCAGCAGCATAACCTCGTGCCACGGCAGCTCTCTCGCCTTCTTCAGCAGTTGTTTCTTGCTGTAGTTGTCCCACCTGATGACGATTGCTTGTGTTGCGATCAAAACGTCGTGGTTTGTTTTATTTCTAACTACGTGACTTTACTGACAGAACCAAAGAGTATTCGGTCATGTTTCTGTGAAGTGCTTTGTTCAATACTATATTCGGAAATAGTTATCTGGCTGGATGATGTGGATGGATTTTTGTCTGGCCGTGTGCCACACTCCCCAAGTGCTTGTGCGCTTGTCTGCGTGATGACGTCACCTGCATCCCATACCGTTGAACCGGGTTCCTGCGTGCAGACGTCACTTCTCCCCACCCACACTCCACTATAGACGTGTATCCCGCACACGGAGAGGAAAGAAAGCAAAACGGAAAGAGGACAGCGAGGGAATGTGACGAGCAGTGGGAGAGGAGGTTAGAAGTGACAATAAGGAGAGCGTGTGAAAGGTGAGAGAGAAACTGATAGGGGAAGCGGATGGTTTACAGGAGAGGGAGAGAGGGGGCAGGAATAAAAAAAAACGATAGACAGCGAGAAATCGAAATAATTTGCGATGTGTAGAGAAAGGCGAGAGAAAGGTGGAGAGACATTGCTCTATATATAAAAGGGAAATTTGTGAATAGTATAGTCCCCAACATGCTACAAACTTGAAATTTGGCATGTGTGTAGCTTCCATACTGAACACAATGTAAAAAGTATAAAAATACTTGTATTTTTTGGGGGGGAAATAATGGGTATAATATATTGCACGGCAAATGAGCGGTGACGTCACATATGTGATGTTTGCATGCGGCAGCGTTACTCGGTGTGCCTGCTGACCTCATGCATTCCCCCCACCCTCTGGGTAGGCCGTGTATCCCGCACAAATGCGCGCCAACTGTTATCATTTTAGACTCACGTTTTGCTGGATGGCTGGATGGACACGTCTTCTATCTATATCGACTAGGACTAAACTATAAATTTCCTGCAAGTACAGTATAAGAATACAACTTTTGCTAGCTGGGAGGGATGGACATTACAGAATTTGAATCTGTTTCTTAATGGAGTAAAAACATTATCTATCTGCAAATTGATGTTGAAATGAATGACATGGGAAAAGTGACGGTTTTAGTATAGGGCTAAAATGCCGATTAAAATGTATTCATGATGATACGTTTGTGCACCTTAGCGCAATGTAAACAACACATCGGTTTAACTTAACCTTCACGGACTGAAATACAATAAAGCCTGAAGCAGATTGTCTATTCATGTATTGATAGTCAATTCAGTCTCTTATTTCTGTAATGCAGTAGTGGGTGGACCAAAGCCTTGTATTGCCTGAGCAGGATATTAAGAGTGCTTTTAACATTTATTTTAACTGCCAATTGTATCGGTCCCATTTTTAAGTAAAAGGGGCTGAATAACTTTTGTCACAGGTGAATGTTCTTGATTCATTTTGGACTAAAAACTGAGCACATCACAGAGTTGGTTTTAAAGCAGATCCCATCATTTTCAATTATATTTTCAAAATCTACATTTTATATAATATAAAATAACATTTTCAGTTGTACCACGTCCAGTGAACATGTGAATGTGGAACTGTTTCCAGGCTGTGGTCTGATTGATATTTCATCCCGATCTTTCTGCATTACAAACGGTTTGAAAAAAAACCCTTTAATTTCATCTGATTTTTTACCACATACAATTTTTTTTATAAAATGGATGCTTTTGTCTTGCATAATTTATCACAGCTGCTGTGTGCTAATTTAGTGATGGCGTATACAGTGCGCTTGATTCATCATTGCACAGGGCAGTGCTATTTACTCCAACAATGCTTACCATCTTCTTGGTTCTTTCGGTAAAGTCACGTAGAAGGGAAGTAATAAAATAATAAAAATAAAACATAAAACAATTCTCATGACGTTTCGGCCACAACGCAAGTATCCGTCCTCGGGTGAAAACCAGGTCTGTCGAGGCGACAGCATCTGAATGAAACGTCGTGAGAATTGTTTTATTATGATTTATTTTTATTATTTTATTATTTCCCTTCTACGTGACTTTACCGAAAGAACCAAGAAGATGAATCCCTGCAGTCACGAAAGCTTTAAATCGAAAAATGCTTACCAATTGGTAAGATTTTGAACTAAATACATATGTTGCCTATCCTTGTATATATACAATTTAGGGTTGGTTTTTGTGACCTTGGCCTTCCAATTGCATTTTAATATTTGATTCCCGGTTTTTTATTTCAGCATTTGTCATCAAAACCCACACTTTGAGGCAGTAATAACATGTTCCATGTGCTCCAGAATGCATAGTTTACTCCTAATTTAAATTTCATTATGATGGATGGTTGTCTCTTGAGTTTTGCTGCTTGGAATGCATATTTTCTGGTTTTTAGACCTGATAAGAATATCTTGAGAAAAGTGCCTCATATCTGAAAGTTGTGTTTTGTCTTGACTGCTAAGGTGCCGATATTAATCAAAACTCAGCTTGGCGTTTTGACACGCAGGAGTTTAGGAAGCCGTCGCTTTTTGCTGCTAAAACACGTCACGTTTTCCCATCACATTCTGGAATGACATCTAAATAACACCTGTTTTAATTTCAGTCACACCTCTTGTAATGGTCTTGCTCATGTGATGTTCCCAAAATACAATGGTGCTGGCTCAAAACGAACATTACTGTAGATCGGAGTGCAGCTGGCACGTGCAGGATTTTAAACAAGGTTATCTGCATGATATTGCGAGGTGGAGTTAACATTCAAATTAACAACAAAGTGGAATGAGTTTTGTGAGTACCTACAATGAGCACTATCGTGATTATATGTAGATACAATTTGTCATTAATGTAACTTAATTGATCCAACCTGGTTGGACAGGGAGAGCTAATCAGGTGTTCATCTTAACCATGTATTTTTTTGTCAGCATTGAATCTATTTTTTGTCCTATTTGACATCTTTAACTTATTCGTGTATCTAGCCCATGACTTGATTTTGTAGTCTTTTTTTATTCAGGGCTCAAAGTGACACTGCTGTCACTACAATTGCACTTATCAAGACATGGCCCCCTGGCGTGCTGATATACTAACTTATTAGGGGTTAATGGTAAACTGAAACACTTTATCGTAAGCACTATACAGTACTATGCATATGAGTTATTGTTTGTTCAATTACATTGCCACTATAATTTTTGTTAATTTAATGTAATTCGTCCACATTCGTCATTTCGCTTTTCCTTCGATTAACTTGTTTTACTTTAATCTGCACAGGGATCACATGGTAAACTGTGTGTATTTATATCAGTTGATACTATTGTAAAGACATTGAGTCCCATCGTTCCTTTAATCTCATTCGTGTACAGATATTTAAAGCGTCCTCCCTCTGGCATGGCTAGGCAGCGGTGGTAATGTGTTAATGACTCAATATGGATGAAGGATGGGGATATGCACTCGCGAAAGTGAGTGGTGCATTTACAAAAACACCAGAGGAAAGGGTTAACATGGCACAATATACTTTACCCTCCGGGTTTATATTAGAACAGGTTTTAAAACTATTCATGCAATTTTGTGGATTCGAAACATTTGATAGTTAAAAATATATCCAATGAGCAGTGGTTATCTGTATGTTAAACTGCCAAATTATAATTCTAGATATGTGTGCATTGATACATGCACTGTACATTGTCTGTTGGCTTTAAATCATTCACCAGTGTGCCATATTGTGTCTGCGTACCTTACAATGGCACATTGTGTATTCACATTCTGGCCTCCCACCATCTTTGGCCTAATGCCCAATAAATTCCATATGTTATAATCCCATACTGTGCTTTGAGTTAAACTGTGTATGTTTTGCCACTAAATCAAGGATTACTAAAATGGCGGGCTGCGAAGCCTGTAGGGGATATGAGATGCTTTCATCTGGAATTTCACTCAGGAGGCTGCAATAATTATTCTAAGTAAACACAACAAGGACAAATACTTAGGATATGGATTTATTTGTACAAGGGAATGTATTTCTGCAAAATTAGTAACACCCACATGAGCAGCCCCACTGATATTATTTACAGGAGATGTATTGTGTAACAGCCTGCAATGCTTTCGACTGACATGGCGGTGTGTGCGCGTGTCTAGTGTTAGGTCAAGCTTTGCTGTCACAATGAGTCTCGGAGGTACTCAGGCCGAAGGCGGCCCCAGCTTCACTCTGAGCATCCGTCTACTGATGCACAGCAAGGTGAGGATGCACACACTTGCACTCTGCAGCCTCATGCTGTAATGTAGTTTTTTTGTTTGTTATGGATGATTCTAATACAAACTATAACAAATATTGTCACTCTATTAACCTTCACAATCTCACACTGACCAACATGATGAAGAATGGTCAAACAAAGCCCTCACATGGCATTGAGGGCTTTATTCAGCAGTGGATTGATGGTGCTGTACACTTTTTATTTTGTATGTTTTGGACTGTCATGTCTCATTGGAAAGCGCCATGCTGTTTGAACCTTCCTGTGTGCCAATCGGCTCAATTGTTCCTGACATTGAACTGGATTTGGTTTTCGATTCCATGACTTTGATAAGCAATTCTGTAAACTTAACAAAAATCATGTTAAATCTATAACAACCAGAGGTGTGGACTCGAGTCAGACTCGAGTCATGAATTTGATGACTTCAGACTCGACTTGGACTTGCATAACAATGACTTTGTCCCACCTCTGAGGTGTGGACTCGAGTCATGTGACTTGGACTCGAGTCAGACTCGAGTCATGAATTTGATGACTTCAGACTCGACTTGGACTTGCATAACAATGACTTTGTCCCACCTCTGATAACAACCGTAGTGTCATGTTGGATTGGATACTCTATTCACACAAACAATTGTGAATATTGTACAGTTCTCTGTATATTACGTCATTTGTTTTGAAGAGTTTTAGTGCATTAGAAGTCACGCGCGATTTGCAGTTGAGAAATGCAATAAATTGTTGGTAATATGATGCTATCTTATCTCTTGCCCACAGGAAGTTGGAAGCATCATCGGAAAGGTGAATCATTCGCATCAGTATTATTGTAATCAAAGCCTTATACTGCACTGATGTCAAATAAATTTTTTTTTACAAATATTTGATGTAATATTCCACGCCTGCACAACGTGAATACAGATTTCAATAAGTAAAGTGAATGTGTTTAAAGTGTTTCTGAACTGAATGTTCAAACATAATTTTTTCGTATTTTGAAAAAAAATGGGCTTCATAAAAGCTTGCCTACAACACCAGGGTCTAATTGAGTGGCTTGTATTGAGTGGTGCTGCTGTCATTAAGTTCTTCCTCATCTCTTTGGAATGTGCAGAAAGGAGAGTTTGTGAAGCGAGTCCGAGAGGAGGTAAGCACTCGTCCCCTCACTCATCTTGGTCATCATAAACATAATCGTTCCGCCTAACATACTGGGGGAATTTAATTCTGAAGTTGGACTCTATGAATGTGGGATTTGGGTGGTGGAAAATTTCTACTTTTCTTCTGTCCCGAATGAAAGTGTGTGTGTGTGTATCTTCTTGGTTCTTTCGGAAATGTTACGTAGAAGGGAAATAATAAAATAATAAAAATTAAACATAATAAAATGTGTGTGTACTCTCTTGAATACCACATTTTCCTCATTGCACAATTTTCTGTTACATTTCACAAACGATTGAGCTTACGCCCTTTGTCTCCCATTCACAGAGCGGAGCTCACATCAACATCTCAGATGCAAATTGCCCCGAGCGCATTGTGACAGTGACTGGGCCCATGGAGTCCATTTTCCTGGCCTTTGCACTGATCACTAACAAGCTTGAAGAGGTAGCACTGTCTCGCATCCAAACTGTGGGGCTTGGGCAAAGGGTGCAACCATTGTATGAGATTTGTCTGGAATAGCCTGTTTGAGCTTTTCTCTAAAATAGAGCCTATTCTTTCGAAGTATGTTTTGTCAGTTTTATGAACCAACTTTTAATTGCCCTTATACCATTGTTCAATTAAATCCTTTATATTTCAGTAACAAAATTACCATTTAACCATCCAACCATCTGAGGTACCTGTACAACCCAGCCTTGTTTACAATTGCCGTTTGGCATGAGCAGATCTCGTGCTGTCTGCCGAGTGTAACTTGACAATTTCTCCGTTTTCCACAAGTGTTTAAAATGCAGGGTTCTTTGTTGTCAATATGGTTGTTTTGGTTGGAGAGTCATGGCCTGTTCAAATGTGCGATGCATGCAGGACATGGGCAGCACCCTGTCCGGTAGTGTGATGATGAGCCGCCCACCTGTAACTCTGCGCCTTGTGGTGCCGGCCAGCCAGTGTGGCTCGCTCATCGGCAAAAGCGGAAACAAGATCCAGGAGCTCCGAGAGGTGAGTGCCGAGTTTGTCGATTATAAATGTTATAGTAGTAAATCGTGTAATTGGTTCATGTGATCCCTGCGGCCACTAGGCATAATGTTAAAATACGTTCGAGTAAATCTTGACTTAAAGCTTTCGTGACTGCAGGTATTCATATTCTTTGGGTCTTTCGGTAAAGCCACGAGGCAGGAGACGATACGTATTGTCTCTTGCCTCGGCAGCTCTCGCTATATATTTTTTCACCTGATGACGATTGCTTGTGTTGCGATCGAAACGACGTGATATTTTTAGTATTTTTCTATCTATGTGGCTTTACCGAAAGACCCAAATAATATTTAATCGATTCTTGTATTGAATAGTGACCATGAAACTTTAAAAAAATCTATTGGAGAAGTTCAAATTTTTACATGATTATAATTGTATTAACAACGGCCCATTTGCTTTCTGTGCACGTGTGTTTGGCACGCTTGAGTGCAGTCGACTGGGGCGCAGGTGCAGGTGGCAGGAGACCTGTTGCCTAACTCCACTGAGCGTGCCGTTACTATTTCCGGCACGCCAGACGCCATCGTACAATGTGTGCGACAGATCTGTGTGCTCATGATGGAGGTGAGTGATTTTTGTTCATGTGTGTTTTACCTTTGTTTTTCCGTTGCATGCAAGGAGAGGTGTGACCCATGTTTATGTTAAATATTGATGTCGGTTAGATAGCTCAGAAGGTTAATTCCCAATTTCGTGCCTTGGCTATTAAGATGTATTAACTTTTGGTCAGCTTCCTCGAATAAAATTTTTATGTAGTGAGTTGATGGTTTCAGATATTTATACTTTTGCTTCATTGTACCGAACTCTCATAGAAACTGTTTTATCATCATGCTGGTTTGGCCAGTGCATTTATTTTTCTTTATACACAGTGACCGTAAAAGAATAAACCCTGTTACCATTTTTCATTAGTCGGGTTTAAATGTACGTGGCATATACGCACATAGCAATCCGTTAAATTATCTAAACTAAAGATTGCTATAAAGAGCAAGATTGATTTTCGAGGTTATAGGAAGCCTGTGGAACCTTGAGTTGAACTGGTAACACATTTAAGAAATAATAAACCTATAGGCTCTGCATGCAACATAAAGAAGTGACTTGAACAATACACTGCACGTACCAAATAATAAAACATTAAAATAAAATTATCAAAGCACTCGCTTATCAGTTGTGATCACGTGACGCTCGGCAGACAAAGCGTATGACTCGTATTGCAAGACCTCGCTCGTTTATCAAATGAATATTTATTTAAAATTTTTGCTCGTCTTGCAAAACACTCGCAGACCAAGTTACTCACAATCCAAGGTTTCACTGTATTGTTGAAAAGTAAAACTGGGGCTTGTGTACAGCAAGTGTTTGGGGTAGAGTGGTGTTTGTTCTGAGGACTTGATGCTTTGGCTGTTTATGTGGTGATGTCGTTTGATGTGACGCATTTGTCTTCAGTCTCCCCCAAAGGGAGCCACCATCCCTTATCGCCCCAAGCCAGTGTCTTCCAGCGCCCCTGTCATCTTTGCTGGAGGCCAGGTCAGGGACCACTCCACCTACAATGTGCGCCATTCCTCTTCTCGTTCACAAATGCATTGTTTGCCAAATATACGGGGGGGGGGGGGGCAGCAGCTCTTTTGTCAGTTCACTAATGGAAGAAGGCCTCCCCATGCCACGTAGATCATGGAGATTATTTGCTCACAATGGCCAGTGTGTGTTGATAAAGATGGAGAATATAGATATGGGACTATACATCATAAAACAATGGATTTTGGTGCACTGCCGTCGACTGAGATGCAGAGAGTGCTGCCCCCGCAAACGCCAGTGATATCATGCCCTGGCATGCACGATGTGTTCACCCATTCAAGCGTAATGCAATGCTTAAGCAATTAAAACGTTTAAATTAAAAATATGTACTTTTACTAAATCATTGAATTTTTTTCAACAGGCATACACCATTCAAGGGCAGTACGCCATCCCCAACCCTGATGTAAGTTGCATGCGTGTACCTCCTGCTGGTATCCGCATTGAATGGTGCTACTTGTAACGTTTGTTGAACTGTCCATTATGTCCTTCTGTTGCCGATTAGTTGAAAATTTGCACCAAAACAAATGTTAACTTCCATATTAGAGGTTTTTGGGTTAAATCGCGTAAATATATAAATGTGTCGTTAAAACCTGCTACCCGACACAGCCAACTAGTAAGGGTTGTCACATAAACAGAACATGCCAATTTGTCACTAGTTGACTTACAGAAATATATGTTTGAAAGGGACTGCAAACAAGTATATAAAGGGAAAAAAGCACATTCCATGAAAAGACTCTTATTAGTCGGTCATGGCCCTATAAATAAATGATGATGTTGGTGGTGCTTTGTGTACACAGCTGACGAAGCTGCATCAGCTGGCCATGCAGCACACTCCCTTTACACCCATCAACCAGGCATCCTCTGGCTACCAGGCAACACCGGGTGAGTTTTACACAAACTGGCCAGATGGCTGCTGCTCATGCAGCAATTTAGAGAGGAGGCCATGGATTTCTATGATTCTTTCGCTATGATTGTGTGTTTAGCATGGTTGGCTACATCCGGTGTGAAATAAGTTGAATATACACACACATCTGTTTGTGCCAGAGATTATGGGAAGACATTTTGCAGACGGGAAATTGACGTGCAGTAACTGGGATTAAGTTGAATAATTAAGATTAGATTTGTTTCTTTCATAGCAGGAGACGGGTCATGAGTTGGCGCATTAAACAGATGGTTTGCATTTACGCAAAGCGTTAAGTAGCAACCGATAAACAAAAGCCAGTGGAGTTGACACTGGCAGGTGACGAGATACATGGTGCGTATGGATGGGAAAAGTACTTTTTGTCTTAAGTATGATTCAGACTGGAAATTAGTTGTTAACCACCGAGAAATTATTAATCAACCTTGACGTTTAACTATCTTAATTATAAACTTTTGGAATATAATTATTCAGCATTAACCGAGCATCGGTTTCACATTCCTTAAAAGTTTACCTTCTTCACATGGGGAAACTTTGTGTGTCAGTTCTTCTTTAATGCCTTTATCATTAATTGTTGAGAGAGTCGAGCAAAAAGCTTGTTCATGAGCGGTGAGGATGCCAGCTTTATGCGGCTGTGTGACCGTGCCCGTGTGTGTGCTGTATCTTCACCTTTGTTCTTTTTTTTACAAAGGTGTTGACGCCAGTGCTCAGATGAGCACCCACGAGATCAGCATCCCCAACAATGTGAGTAGGCATGCTGGAATGCTGGATGGGCCTGGCTGACACACAGCACTGAAACCCCCCAGCTAAATAACTGCACTGGCAGCCTAGGATTTTTGTTGCCGATTTATAACTGTTCCTCATATTGTCAATACCCTTTTCAACCTTCCTCATAAAGCCTTCTCTTTTTCCAATAAAGCTCGTCAAATTCTAGTTAGAAAATGAAGGCAGGCGATTGAGGACCATTGGAGAACCACCGAAGTGGAATGTGTGGCTTGTTTCATAAACCGTCCATACACAATTGGATGGAATAATTTATAGCAGTTTTATCGTCCTTTTTGTGTTGCTTTAGATATTAGATGGTTTTTAATTTGGTTTCCACCATAAAAAAAAGAGTTCCTGAATGAGTTATCTGGATCTGGGGATTGTATGGTGCTACTTGAGTGTCTAGTGCATTTCTTAAGTGCTACAGGGTTACACTAAAGGGAATTCTGATTTGTAGGAGCAGTATTCTATCACCTCTACCTTTCATTTGTTCAATTTTGCAACAGCCAGACTATGCTCCATATACATGGATAGGTCCTGATGCATATATACGTGTGTGTGTGCGTACAGCTCATCGGCTGCATCATCGGCAAGCAGGGCACCAAGATTAATGAGATCCGGCAAATGTCAGGTGCACAAATCAAGATCGCCAGCGCCATTGACGGTGCCACTGACCGACAGGTCATCATCACTGGCTCCCCGGCCAACATCAGCCTGGCTCAGTATCTCATCAATGCCAGGTGAGCGGCTGTTCATTTTCCCTTGCACCTGGTCTTCAATTCTATACTTTATTGCTATGTCTCCAGATTTTTGGCGATCCTTCGGTCTTTTTCAATTCCGGTGCCAGCATTTTGTCATATTCGGAGGTCGTGAACTTCACAGTGCCTAAGCTACAGTTGATCGACCCATCTCATCACCACTGTCATCACCTTCTAATTCTGCCCACACTGCTGTCGTTGATTGTTTGCGAATGACCCTTGCGAAATTGTACGTGCTGCCTGCCGGGTGTGGCACTGTGCACAGTGAGAAGCGGTGGCGACACGCGTGATTGAGTGCTGGTGTTCTCTGGGCGCTCCTTGCAGGCTCACCTCGGAGGTGTCTGGAATGGGCAACATGTAGAGGGGGCTGCCTCCCTGCCCCACCCCCAACCCCGACCTGCCCCGTCCTGCCCTGCCCTGCCCTCTCCCACCCGCGCCCCGGCAACAAGCTTGGTCTCGACGCGTGCTATAAGATCTCACGTGCTGAGGCAGTGCGCCTGCGCAGGGGTTTTAGGGTGATGCCAAAAAACACCCCCGCATAGAAATGGAACTTTCCCGTAAGCGGTGCTTGTGTCCATGTGCCGCATCGCGCTCCTGTTTTTCTGTAGGGGTGTTTTATATCGAGATGTTTAAATTAACACCGGGTTCACCCCCCTCTCACACGGTATTTGATTAAATTTGGTTTAATAGCAAGGGACAGCATGTGTAACAACAGGCTGAGCATATTGAAAAAAAAGTAGTTGAAAAGGACAACTTTAAAGATTTTCAGAAAAAAAGGATAATTTTTTTTTGCTTCCAAGTGTGGCTGATTTAGAGCACAGTTCTGGCAAGTCTTGTCAGTTATTACTGCCTGCGTGTAGTGCAAGTGGTAAATTTTGAAGTGTTTTGACAATAACCTGTGCTGGAATTATTAAACTATTTTGAAGTGGAGGTGTCAAGCTGTACCAGTATCGGTGTACAGTCCCCTCACCTCTTGGGCTCAGTGAAATGCTCCAAAGTTTCTGTTGTCTGAAGCCATGATGAAGCCTCTTGCTTTAAAAGTTAATGATGTCTCCTTTTATACTACAGTACTATTGACATGTCAGTAAAGTCACTGTTAAAAATAAGCCTGTATAACATACATTGTTTGATTTTAAGAAATAAACCAATGTAATACAGTATATTTTCTGCTTTTTTTTGTTAATTCAAGAGAATCTCAGTGTAGTGGTCAAACGGGGGTGAGATCATTGTCTTTAGCAGTTGTAAAGTCATTAGTCATTACCATTGTTTTGTAAACATTAAAAACATGTTGGGTTTTTTTTTAAGTATTCATTCCTATTGATATTGGGAAGCAGGATTAAGCGGAGTTTTCACCCTTTCACTCATTATCTCCGTAAAGCAAGCCATGTAAGTCGCTTTCACTGGGCACTCGGGTTGGGGGTGCTGCCCGGGCCATAACTAGGTTTTGTTAGACGATTAGAAACGGACGTACTGATTAGCATCGGCTTAAATTGAACTGTTTAAATGTGCAGTCTCTCCAATCAAAATAAGTGAACAGTGCTAATGCGCATACTTACTGGCACTTCCCGTATCTTGCCAGCGCATGTTTTATAAGGTTAGAAAAAACAAATGCTTGTGTGAGTTGTATTCAAGAGTGTATATCTGCATTCTGTACTGGAAGGTGACACATCCCGCGATTACGCATGCGTCCGAGACCTTTTGAGCAATACAAGACTTGATGTACCGGATTCTTGTGGTCTGTTTTATCGTTCTAAAGTGAATGCAATACTCAAGCTTTCTCGTGACAGCGGCGTAGTGCTTGAAGAGTGATATTGCAGAATGAAAGGAGCTATTACTGGTGGTGTGGGGGTGTTTTGTATGGTGTGTGCGTGCATGCACTGTTTGGCGTGTGCATGTATGTTTTTTTCTGTGGTGCTTATCCTCAGGAGTGCGCATGAACACTAGCTGGCCCATCCACAGCGATCTTCTAGACCAGTCGTTCTAAGAGCAAGGTGTCCCATGTTTTGGTAGTAAATGGGTCACAAAAGGTAAGTGTCAATTCATCAATGGGGAACGGCTTTAATGCAGTGTTTCCTGGCGAAACATAGCATATATAGGAAGCCGGGACGTCTTCTAGAATAAGTTAATATAAATCCTTTAAGTGGGAATTCGTATGTGGATTTGATTAATTTGGTTGTGATACATTTTTATACAACAGGACCCATTGGCCTTGCAAGTGCTGTCACAAACTCTTAATATTCACACTACAGAGATTAGTGGGCAGTGGCAGTAATCAAACCATTCTCCATATCCTGCCTCGATGGGAAGTGCGCTACCGCCGCTACCAAGACCAGGCAATGTCCTCCCAAACTGGTGGCTTACAGAGAGGCTGGTGAATGCGTGTGTGTGTGTATATTGAGATGTGTACAATTTAATGCGAGGTCGTGAAGGCTGAATATTGTTCACCTCTGTGTGTATTGCTATTGCACGGTATTTTTAATGCACGCATAATTTTATGAATGTTTTCATGCAACCATTTCTGGTGTATTTTGCAGTGGCCAAAATGTGTTCAGAAAGTCCCCTAAAAATTGTGATGTTGACTACTAAATATTAGATATAAGTGGACCCTGCAGTTAACCATGGGCCATACTACATCAACAATAGTATTTGGCCCATTGTACCAAGTCTCAGTCGGTGTCTTTGGGCATCTTTACAGCAACCAAAGAAGAACCACACATTCACTCTGACGGCCTCTTATTTTTTTCGATTTCACTTAAGGAAAAAACCCATGCATTTATTGCGTAGATGACATGTGCAGGGTGAAATCATGAACAGGTGGGTACAACATGGCCATGCCTGCTCGTACTGAATGTACCACGCTTCCTCAAAAAAAATATCACCTGGATTCTATAAATTCCATAATTTTCAAGAGATTATTCGAATGTCATTTGCGTATTGCATTTTATGTGTGTGCAGTTCTTTATTATTTGCATTTACACCTCATTACAAAGGTAATTGAATGCCCTTTAATCGTGTGACCCTTTTGAGATTCGTTTTCTTGTATTTCATTATTTATCATACAAATGAAATATTTAACTGGTATTTAATGTGTTTGAAGCTTGATTTGCATTTCACAACCAAGGACTTGTTTCAAGTTTTTGGACAAGTAACCTCAATAGAAAACACTGATAAAATGAATTATTCGAATGGTTGAGATTTTTAAGTTGAGGGTTTTGTCCCATCGCCATTGGGTCATTATTTTGGTTCGTATTTCAACATTTCCTCGTGACATCTCTTCTTCCCAAGCACAACAACGCAAGTCTTTATCCTTCAGCTCTGTGCCCTACAAACCAGCAACCCAACTGACAATTAACCATATAACCGGACCACAGATTACACCTATAGGGCAACATTGGATAGAACGATTATCGACTTTCTATTGATCGCTTTAGTATATTTAATCATTAATTTCAAGAATCATGTAACTGATAGTCGAATCCAGTAAAATTTTTGAAGGAATACACTTGTTGGTACACTTGAACGGCGACACCACACGGCACGTTGCAAAGCGATTGGTAGTGGCAGCCATCATAAGGCACCGGTGGCAGGGGTACCATCAGTCACTGCGTGGTATGTACATCAGCCACACGAAGGACTGGACTTATTGTTTATGTTATTGTTCGACGTGTACAGCAAAGCTAATCCATTGTTTTCATATTGCATACAATTTATCGATAGTGCTAAAAACCTGCAATTAACCCTGTGGGTTTGTAAGCTCATAAATTACAGGTCCACTTTTTAAAATTTGACACCAACACATTATGGGCAATTTAATCCTACACGTCTGTGAAAGAGACGGTGCTTAAGTTATGGAAATGGTCAGGACTCCCATAGTTGTCTCACTGATGTATCTATTTTAGATGTGCATTTTGAGTTAATTTTATATTTTTGGATATTTTTTGGTTCCTTGGTTTGGATACTCTGCTCAGGTTCTACTTCACATAATGCTGACAGCACCGTTAAGTTACGTTTTTGGAAGAGCTAGGAAAACATGAAACTTACAAAATGCTTAAGTTTCAGAAGGTGCCAACAAGACACCTGTTAAATGTTTAATTGACAAGGTGCACAGTATTTCACTGCATAAACGGCAAGAATCCATATGCTCTGCTGTACACCAGAGTGGTTTCTATGATCATTAGGTAATATGGCCACGTGATGTGAAATACAGTACACTTGTTTTTGGGACCAAATGTTTCTAATATTGTGAGCTCATCCTTTGAGGCAAGTTATCTTGGAGCAGTGTATATTTTTAAGGGTAAAATATTCAAGTGTGGATTCTGTTGCCTAAAACAGTGATCAAAAATGTGTGCTGTACTACGTTGAATTGTGTATTGCTAGTTTTTTTGCATTATCCCATGACTTGCCTTAAGTAAAGATTCCATGTCTCTATAGCTGTTTTGCCTTTAGCCCCTAGAGGTAGAAACGGGAAGGTCCCCTTGCTGCTTTCGTCTGATATACTGTGGGCTGGCGAGTGATTTGTCAATTTATTGTTACAGTAAATACTGCGGGTTCCATCATCGCCACAAATATCTAATTTATCGTACAAAACGTTGCATTTCACTCTGCATGCCGTAGTAACACCACACTTGCTGTGGCTGCCTTTGCTTTTACATTTCCATCGAGCACTACGTAACTCATCCCCACGACTCGTATTTCTATGCTTGTGGGAATCTGTCGGCTCGCGTCCCTCGTCCACTCTTGCATACTTCCGCTTCACTTGCATCACGTAATTTATTTGTAAGCAATCTATCGTCATCGCCAAAATGCTTCCCTCAACTGTGGTTGCAAACGGTTTCATGAAGCAACCGTACGCTGGCGGATAGCCCCAAATATACCTGCTACTTATTCTTGACAAATGTAGTGTGGTATCTGTGGTGGGAATGAGTGAGTTGGGGAGGGTGGGGCGGGCGGGTGGGACGAGGTGGTGGGTGGGGGGGATGATGCTTGCAGGCGTACGCCGTATGTGCCTTGTTCTGCTCTGCCGAGGTCAGCCGCAAGTGACGCGGCGGAGGTCAAGGCTCGGAACCACGATGTGCTCAACTGTGGCGCATGCCGGCCCTCCCCTGTGACTTTCAAAAGGCGCCAAGGAACAACTTGAGTGACGTCGGGCGTGGCAAGCGAGGAGCAACGCGGCCTGCCGCCGCAGGCCCCACACGGCTGCCTCGGCTCGGACTTTCGCCAGGCCTCCTGGACGCTGCCCCCGGGGCCGTGTACAGGTACACTGCCCTGATGGTCGACGTGATAGTCGGCAGCGACGACCGTCGAGTGTCCCCCCCCCTCCCCCAGGAGTAAAAAGCTGCACGTTCCGCCGCCATTTCCGGAAGTACAAGCTCACTCTGAAGCCGCAAGGTCAAGCGAGAAATGCCCCTCCACTTGCGGGCGGGTTCATCCCTTGCCTCGGGTTGTAAAGTGCGCACCTGTCCGCGTGAAAGCCGTAGCCACGTTAGTAATCTCCTTAAGGGCAGTGTCTGCACAATGGGCGACAAGACTGCTTGGATGGACGTGGTTGGTGTCCTGGTATGATGTCCTGTGTCTTAACCGATCGGTTGCCACAAAGATAAGTTTGAAAAACTTGAGACACGAGAGGAAGTGCGGTTCTGCCGATCACCTTGTGTTAGCACGTGCTGCACACTCTAAAAATGTTTTTCACAAAGGCTCGGCTTTTTGCCTTAGCCCATGGAGCACCTGTGCCAGCACCAGTCTCATTTTTTGTGGATATTCAGTGAGGCCGTGGCCTCTGGCAGCATTGAGCTCTGGCTGCAGCCACGAATGTTCATGAGCACAAGACGGCTGTAGAGCCATGTGGACCAGCAAAGAATCTGCCTACAGCAGGAGAGGGAGGAGCAAGCATGTCTCGGGTTTAGTTAAAGACCCGTTTCCATCACCCAAGTTCCTCGACGCCGGGTACCCGAGAATGGAAGTAAAAAGTTGGTCTCTGAAGACGGCCGTAAATACATTGCTGCCTTCCCCTGGTTAATGAGCATAACTTGAGGTGATGTGACAAGTAGGTCACTCGGGTTGCCCAGTGGAGACCCTGGACGGAACTGCTGAACGGTGCTGACAAAAGTCCATCCGTGTTCTGTTATGTCCATGCCCCCCGCTTAAGTCGCAAGCATTTTTTAAAGAGACATTGTGAAAATGATCCCCAAGTTCTCTCTAAAAATTACTTCTTTAGCGTGATTATTATCGCTTATAATTCGGAAATGTAAATATTCCAAAGAGGGTTATTCTTAGGTAAGCATTTGGGCCATGCATTCCAAAGATTCACTTCCAAAATCGCAGCGGAAGATCTGGGACTTCAAGGAGTTACAAGATGGTTCCCACAATTCCAAAGGAGTCTTCCCTGGCCCACATTTGATGCCTCCATGAGCAATGCTTGAAAACTGGTGAAGGGGGGACCCCCCCCCCCCCACCCCTCCGTGTGTGTGTGTGGAGAATGGGAGCATTTTGTGGACTGATTCTTGGAAGTCTGATGGCAATGTTACGTGTTCCATAGCACTTCAAACTATGGTGACTTTTAAGCTCCAACCCTTGAGGAAGCATCCATGAAAATTTCACAAAGGTCAGCAATTACATTTAATATTAGTTAATATTAAAATAATTATTGATGCTTTATATTTTGACTCCCGTTATCAAGGAAGATTTGTTTAAAGTTTGAGAGTTTTAAAAATGTTATTAATTGCACGGTTAAATATATTATTTCTCAATTGGTATCAGCATTAACGTTTAAATGTAAACCGACGTAATTTTACATACAGCGTTGAAGCAAGTCAACTAGTATTTTCTTTGCAGAATATAGTTACCGATGTGGCTGGCACCACACGGAGGGGAGGATTGATGAGGGTTGACTGTGTTCACACACTGTGGCCCTTGACAGACAAATTAGTGCACACGTGTACAGCGTGCCATGTAGTCCGTCGGGAGGAAAGCGTCGCTAAAAATCCTGGGGTTATGTTTTTGTGAGGGTCCTGTATTTGGATATTTGGCCAATCCCAAAAATGAGTAGCTTCTTGGTTCTTTCGGTAAAGTCACGTAGAAGGGAAGTAATAAAATAATAAAAATAAAACATAATAAAATTACTTCCCTTCTACGTGACTTTACCGAAAGAACCAAGAAGATGAATCCCTGCAGTCACGAAAGCTTTAAATCGAAATGAGTAGCTTGTTGGACAGAAAAAGTAATGCCTGGAGAAAACCCGTGTTTATGAAGAGTAGCACTCAACACTGCCAATTTCTGGCTACTCCATTTGAGTGCTCAACACTATCCTTTGCAATAGGTATTTGCATACGTTTACACTTAATATACTCATGTATTATTTATACGTTGCTATTTATATATTCGTGTAAAAATCCTTATTTCTCTGTTTGCCAAATTGTGCAAAATAAGTACCTACGTGGTTTTTCCCCCTTCCATATGTTGTAACAATAAAAATATAAATAAAAGGTCAATGTGGAAATTTAAACGCATCTCCGAATCTAAACATCACTACCATTTTTACCGTGACATGCATGCTGTGCCGGTGCATTGCCCCCCCCCCCCCCTTCGATATTTAGTGCTTGCATTACATATTTCAAATTTGTTCTGTTGCACATGACCACAAACTCATTGGCCAACATGGAACCGATTACATTTAGCAATTTCATTTGAGATTAACACCAAATTTAGTTGTGCAGCTTGTGCGGATCTAAAAAAAATTCTGGTCAAGTAATGCACCTCCAAAAATGTTTACTTTATCCTGGGGTAACTTAAAAGTAGGTTTTTTTTTGTAGCCAAATCAACGATCCATATTTGTTTATTAGTTTTGCGATGTAGTTTTACGCCAACATTCAAATTAATCATTCGCTACTCGACAGAATTGTCAACATTTGCAGAGGATGCTATTTCAACGCACGGATGCATTTTTTTAATTTCTGACCAAAAAAATCCTTCACTGGTGGCCGACCAATTTTCACGGTGCCAGTTTAATATCCTGAACTATTGTCAGCAAGTGCATTGCAACTGCCCAATGTTTAGACGACTCGGAGCTCAGTGGTGCTGAGCGGAGCGAATGTGAAGAGGCAGCTTACTACTCCACTTTGTCCTATTCCGATTGCGCTGCTCACCCCCATCGTGTTTGGTTCGTGGAACCTCTCGTCCCGGGGATTTCCAGATTTTAACTTTTACAAATCCCGAGATGTGTGCAGTGTGCAAAGCTTTTAACAAGTATTTGAATGGAGTAGATTGGTGAACGTGGAAAGGTGGACCATGGTGGTGTGCAAGCGACTGGATTTTGAGAAGGCCCCACGAACATGTTATTTACTCACTGCGGAGAATCTACTACGACTACTTACGTGGCAGATGACCACCACAGGGATGGGGTGATAAGAGCAGCTCGTGCAGATGGATTGTGGCTTCGCAAACTTGTGGGATGACAACGGTGTGCGGCGAGTCTTGTATCCAGCAGTGGATAGACCGATGACTAGTAATGATGACTGGTCGTAATAACTACTTCGATGTTTCTCTTTGTTGCCCTAAATATACTGTAGCTTTACAAAACTATAGGCCAGTCTGCATCAACATTACCTTAAGCAGAAAAACGTGCAGCAAATGCGTGCAGCTTGACAGCGACTGGAAACCCTCCGTGGTTTTGACCTGCACTGAGGACATCCATCGGGTTCTGATTGGCTGAGCTACGATGCCCATACACTGCGAGCTATAATAACAGTGGAGATGGTTGAGTTGCGCTGGTGGTGGAATGTAAAGTGTCACGATGTCTATAGCTCTTCAGGTAAATGTTTATCGCCACTACATTGTGTGCATCCCACGTAGCTTTTTGCTCATGGCATTTTGTTTGAGCTGAAGAGCTACTGCTTTCTATTGTATGCCTGCACATGGATTAAATCGTAAGCTTTGACATAAAAAAACATTTATAAATACTCAACAAAGCTTATGCATTTTAAATTGACGGAAAGTGAATGAATGAAAGTTTTTTTTATTGTATCAAGACAAACACAGATCTACTCGACTCTTGTAAATCGCCTCACATTGGCTCAGGGTTTTTTGTGCACAATACGCTCGTGGAGTAACATTAACACACGTTGTACTTCACACCAACACTACACACGACACGGCTTGCACTGTTAACAGTACGCGCTGGCATTGACGTGAAACATGCCTTGAATACTACAGGTGATGAAACGGGGGCTTCTCAAATGGCAGTCCTGGAGTGGCCTCGGTGCTCGCTGGATGCCTCAGGACCGTGAAGAACACTGAGCTAGCACTGGCTACTTTGTTAATTCATCCGCCGAGACAGACCAGGTTCTCTAAAGGCGATGGTTTTCCCTGGTCACCGATTACTGCGCGACACCGCAATAACAAAGGATGTCTAGAATATTTTGACTTTCAAGGCACCACAATGTAAAATGTCTTTTCAAGTACAAGTCAAAATATTACATGGGCCCTTTATGCTCTGTATAAAAGTTAATCGGTTAGCTTGCGTGGATTTAGGCAGTGTTAACATCGGTCATGAGGTGTTTTCAGTCTGTGCTTGTACAACACGTCTCGTGCAGTAATTTGCTCGAATAAAGGTTCTGTGTCGAATTTGTCTTGGCTCAGCTCCGAGGGCCTTACTCGGACATATGGCTCATGGCAAATCGTCACTTTAAAAGAGCATAAAGTGTAATGATGGTACCTGGATCAGGGAAAGCCACTAATGGGACACAGGAAATTATAACCGTGGAAAAGACTCCTTTGTGCGACTACGGCTACGAACACCAAACCACGTACCATACAACTTTGAACGTCCACAAATAAAAATGTGAAGGTGGTGTGTCTGCAATTCACAAACTCTGAAAGCAATTGAATTGATAAATGTCTTAGAACTGAAGCCCGTCATAGGTCATACGAAATCATACCGAGGTATCGTCACCATCCTCCATAATTTCTGCCCGCGAAGATGCTGATGTAGGCATGTAACGATTGACTGAAATTATTCAAATCGCGGGTGTAAGAATTGATTGTTTACGGTGTATGCTATTATATTAAAATTATCTGCCGTTACATGTAGACGAAAGGAGCAAGCAAATTCGTACCAAAGAGACCAATGGTGCAAATACCACAGTCAACATGAGACAAAGACATTGATTATTAAATCAAATCACGACCCCGGAGCATGGAATTTCATAAAATGTCTTGTTAGCCTGACCGTACGTGCCTTCTCGGTTGCCAGTAAGAGGATGTGGATTTGTTGCATTTCCCGTAAGATTACTATTTTACTTTTACCATTTTTATTTTACCAGGTAAGGTCCACACAGAGCGATGTCTTTTTTCAGAAGCTACCTTGCCACAAATGATAGCTCTACAAAGTGGCTTATGTGGAAATGTATAGCAGCCAAATACACGTGTTTCTAAATGTGGAGAGAAAAACCAGGGGACCCGGAGAAAAATCCACTCCACCACGTGGAGAACATGCAAACTCCAAATATACAGGCGTTGGGGTTAGGATCGAACCCACAATCCTCTATACCAGGCGAGGTAGTTAACATCTCGCTACTTCCTGAACATGTCAAGAGCCGTATGGCTCACAGGGTTTATACCTAATAAATGAAACTGAAATGTGTAGGGAATCGCCGTCCGAATATCGGTTGCTTTTGGGCTATTTGCTGTTTATTGGTAAATGCCCTGCAAATCATACTATCTGGAACATGGTGTCGATTGAGCAGTTTCCTCTACAATTAATCGTGTTTCACTTTGTTCTTGATGACTTGCATAGCAGTTGGAATACCATTTGTGATCAAATACAGTTGTATAAATCGTTTGCTTATCGCCGCTCGGTTGTGAATGATGACGACAATGATGCAGTGGTCCAACCGTTAATTGATCAACACGAGGGCTGGAGTTTGAGCAGCCTTGCTCCGAGCATCATCGGATCGTGTACAGTACGCACGAGCTGATGGATGGACAACTTGGTAAGATACTGTGGTTGACTGGTGGGCTCACCTGCTTTGGTGAGAGGCTGACAAGGAGCAAAATAAAACACTTGAAAGCGAGATGCTTCAATGTCAGCAACTTTCATTTGGGCCAATTTAAAGGCCATTCTATTTTTAAGTGCATTTTCCTATGTGTTGAATAATTAATAAGCGCATCGTTTCACCTCTTAAGATCCGGCTCTTAAGACGCTTATATCGCCCATCTGTCTAAAACATCAAGTATCCGAGTTCCTGCAAACAGCGTGCCATCGGTCTCACCCAGTTGGGTTTATTGTGCGCGTTGTTCAACAGAAGCAACTGTTTTTGTTGTTTTCTTGGGACATGTGGCCCAAGATTACCAAGTAAAATGTATAAACATCCCACGTCACAAATCAAATGCATACCATCATAACTCGCTTGTCTTATGTTGCTACAATATTTAGTAATTAAGCTATTAAATTATTTTATATATACGAAATGGCTATTAACAGACTAACAAATCCCCCGCTTTGAAACAATTGTGGTTAATCCTTATCTGGTTTATCTCCATGTCACCACCACTCACTCCCAAGCACCCTGGGGTTTACAGTCGTTTCAAAAAGCCCCTGCCGAGGCCACATCTGCCACTGCACAGAAACCCATTTGGGTGGCTAATTGTAAGTATGTTTAAAGTGCGTTATGAACACCAACTCAAGTGCACGTTCGTTGACGCCTCCCGCACCCATTTTATTCCAAACATCCGCGACCAGGCTGGCACCACGAGGTTCTAGAAGACACCGCGAGCAGCAGCAGCCGCCGTTGGACATCTCGTGATTCCCTCCATGAACCACGGCCACATTTTCGCACGATCACAAAAACTGCTTTCTATAACGTTAACAACGCGGTCACTTCGTTAATTCTATTGCTCCGACCAAAACCACAGGGATTGGAGACGAGTCATAAGACGACAAGATTTCGACCACTTGACACAAGTTTTCAACTCCAAACCTCAAGGCCCCCCTCCATTACACGCCAATACGTCCCAAGGTCACAACGACCCGGTGCAAGTCACTAATGTCTGTATATT